GTACAGATACAATGTTTAAACTTGGTTTGATAATCAAAATCAATCCAATCAAAAAGAAATCATCAAACTAACCAATCAAACCTTGATATTTTTGGTGTGACAATCAATGATAAGATCTATTCTGTTGAAAAAATCAAAATCATCCTTATTATTATTTGGTTAGATTTCAATTATTTAGGAAAAATTAGTCCAAATCTCGATTGAATGAATGAGAGAATCGAGGCCAACCAACAAAATACAATCACTATGTGGAATCATTATTTAAAGAAAAGGATGATAATGATGTTGATCATTGTTGTTGTTGCTAGAAATAAATTATGCAATCATAACCCTCTATGTTATATTCCAACCAAAACAATCGATGCCTAGTTTTTTTTGGTTTTTTTTGGTCATGCAAATATTCATTGTCGTTTCCTTTTCTTTCGTTCGTTCTTCATTCTTCGCTTGGTTGTTTCTTCAAAAAAATGTTTGAATTTCCTCGTTGAATGAATCAAATGAATGAAAAATAAATTCAAATCAAGATCGTGATGGAAGATTGCTTTCAAACACACAACTGTCAATATAGGTGACAATTGTAATCACATCCCCTACATATCTCTTGGTTTTTTTTGCTTTGCTGCAAAATGATGGCCAAAACAATAGCCACTGAAGGAAACAAAACAAAATGAAATGAAATGACGATGATGATCGCTGTTGTTGTCGTCAATAATGATGATAATGATAAGTGTGGTAAAAGAATTGATGACATCAAAAGAAAATACCTTTCGATATCATCATTATTATCACTATCATTGAGTGTTCAAGATGACAAACAGTTAATTATTATTAGACATCCGTGAATGACATGACATGATGAGTAGGATGAACATTGTCACATTGTTCCTGGTGCACTATCAGATTGGATGTTAATGATAGCAAAAAGAATCAATTGTCAATCATAATCATCATTAACCTGCATGCTATATATCGCTATCTACCTACAATCAAAATCCAAACATCATGTCACAAACACACAAGTCAGTCATGTCAAAACATTACCGACATGACATTTCATCGCACACACCGGTAGTAGTGAATTCAATCAATGAAAAAATTGTCAAAGTTCAGATCGTGGTTTATGGATTACCCAGTAAAACAACAACAACAACAATATTTCGTTTCGTAGAAATGACAATCAACATTTGTCCGGACCGAAAAATGAATGATATTTTTAAAAACATCAAAATATGAAAAAATGTGGATGAGATTAACAATAGTGTTTTTGTTTAGTGTTTGGTTGGTCAGATGAATGAATGAAAATGCGATCATCATCATCATCATAATAATAATTTATATTGTCTTTACCCCATAAACACACACAAACAAACATCCAGATTAATCTTAATCTTTTTCTTTTCTTCCTTCCGTATTTATGTTTTTTAAAGTTTTATAACCTTACCTAATAAACCAAGAGGGAGAGAGAATCATGAGAATTTTATGAACAAAACACAGTGGCAGTAACAAAAAAAACTTGTCATAAATAAATCATAAACTAAACCAACAAACGAAAAAAAAGTATCAAACTTTTTATGATGTTTCCAACTAAACAAAACAAATAAAAAAATGTTCATCAATTTCCTGGCCATTTTTTTCTTCGTTCAGAAAAATATTTCTTTTTTTGAATGGGTGTAACACTATAGTTTGAAAAAAATTGTTTTTCGGGCAATAAAAATACATAAAAAGGGGCCAATGAATGATTAAAATACAATATCATTTCCATATTTCAATAATCAAAAAATCAATTTTTGAATTAGAAAAAACATTAAATTAAGTCAAACTTAAGTCAATTGGATATTTTTTAAAAATCAGAAAATTTCGACTAATTTTGTGCAACCTAACCTCACTCAACTATGAATCACAGTCATAGTCATAGTCATGGTCATCAACCTAACCTCACTCCACTATGAATCACAGTCATAGTCCTGGTCATCAACCTAACCTCACTCCACTATGAATCACAGTCATAGTCATAGTCATCAACCTAACCTCACTCAACTATGAATCACAGTCATAGTCATCAACCTAACCTAAAGTCAAAAACATCAGAAATTGATTAATATTTAGTAAATGAATAAATTCAAAACCAAGAAACAAAATAATAATAAAAAACAATGACAACCAAAAAAATGATGATGTGAGGCACTTTAATTTGTTTCATTTGCCGAATCCACATCCTCATTCACATTCACATCATTATTATTATTCACATACAATCCTCTCTCTTCATACACGCAACAACAACCATTACAATCCAATCCATTCTTATTCATCAAATAACAAAAAGACTTTGCTTAAGATGGTTTTTTGGCAAAAAAAAAGAAACAACAAAATTAGGCTAACAACAAGCAAAAAGATAAATTCATTCATGAAAAAACAACTTTGACTTTGTTCAAGTTGGCTATATATCAGGTCAGTAGTGTTTTTGATTTTGCTATTCATCTTCTGTCTATCTGTGTTTGAATATAATGGGGATATACCCATCCCATTATTATCATTATCATCAAATTATCATTTTAGAATTAATTAATTAAGACAATAATTAACACACACGCATCAACAAGCAAAACTGTATTTGATTAGATTAATATTACGGAACCGGAACTAAAATTTCCACAGTCAAGTGGAATGGTCCTTGAACAACAAGAAAAATCAATTTTATCCTATATAATCATATTATTAGAAAAAACATTATTCCATTGGATATAATACGAAAAATCAATATGGTAGCCAAACAAACAACTAATATTATTCTCAATGGGAAAAATAGCTAAAAAATTCACACAAGTGGTGATTGAAAAATCGAACCAAAAAAATTATTGATTACTTTCAAGTGAATTTCTGAAATTCTCATACATAGCAAATAGATCACCAATATATAAAATTAGTAAGTAGTCAAAATCAAATCAAGTTTTTACTGATTGATTGGAAATTTGTGATTGATGTGTTTGTAATATGAATGTGTTTGAAATGATATCATCCAAAATAATAGTGTTTCAACACAGCATTTTTGCATAACATTTCCTCATCATCATACAATCTATTCACACAATATTTGTTATTCACTTCAACAACAACAAAATGATGATGAGAAGATTATATAGCTTTTTCAGAATATTTTCACCATCATTATCATCATCATTCCAATATTTTTTCTCAAAGAAAAAGAAAAATCAAACATTTTTGTTTTTTACATTTCTGCTACAAACACCGGCTGTCGAAAAGACAATGATGATGATAATGATGAGAGCCATAGACAAAGACAATGGATAATGATGAAATGATGAAATGAAATGAAATGATCATCATCAATAACAAAATAACCAGCCAACAAAACAAAATCAACAGCTAAAATTATCCTTATCTTTTGTTTTTGGATGGTGTCATTTGTATTTCATTGAATGAAATCTATGTCAATCAAACAAATTCAATTCGATTGGAATGTTATCGGATGATGGTGATCACTACCAATAAAACACACACACTGGAAAAAGAAAAGAAAACATAAAATATTTCATTTCATCTAAGTGGCCAAAATAACAAGCAAAACAATGGCATTCAAGAAGTAGATATTATTTATATTTACCCCCTTTATTATCATCATGAAACAAAATTCGGTGACAACCGAATATCCTCTCGACCATCATCATCATCATTTGGTCATGCTATTCACTCATCATCATCATCCATTCTATTCATCATTCATGATAACAAATACCAAATGAATGAATGAAAAACTCACTTAATCTTCAAAGCTAAAATGACCTGGTTAATATTTTTTTGGCTTGTCCCGTTATTTTCCTCACACACACATGTACACATACTTACCTGGACAACACACACCTGGAAATGCAATGATATTCTCAACGACAACAACAAACACACGAAACATGACGAAAAACTAAATCCGGATTCATTGTTGTTGGATGATGATTCAATCACCATACATATATTATTGTGATACTACTTTCACAGCCAAAATAACCAAAGTATATTTCGTTTTGTTTGTTTGCTCTCAAGAAAGTCCTGGTCAAACAGTTGTTGTCCAACATCAAACAAAGACACACGAGAGCGAGAATAAGCGTGGGTTTCTTTTAAATATTGATATTAGGATAATATATCATTCAAATATTCATACCATAAGATGATGACAATGTCAAGAGCAAACATATATTCTTTTCTTTCATTTGATTAGATTTGCTTAAATTTTCATCATTATCAATGCGAATCGTATGACTTGTGATGATAATAATGATGATGATGATGATGATGGATACATTGTGTTTACAATGACAATTATATGACCATTATTATCGAATATCCTTTAAAGAAACCAATTGTTTATGATTATGATGATGAATATGGTAAATTTGTTCAATTTCATTCAAACAAACAAACAAAACGATGGTCGATGACCACATGATTGAGTTAAAATGTCGTGTTTGTTAACATTGTTGGTATACACGGTTGAACAACCATGAAAATGATGATAATGATTATTATTATTGTTCAAACAATTCTCATACCCTTCATCACCATCATCAACAACAACGAGTGTATGATATTTTCAACGACAATCGTCCAATGATATGTGATATGATCACTGCAAAAAAATCACATTTTTCTTCAATTTCCAAACCTAAAACAAGATAAAATGATTCGTCTTGGTCGTACTACCCATCGCTAATTGGTCATGATCCTTGGTTATCTAAATAAATAAATAACGAACAAAAGGAAATAATTGTTAGTTTATTAAATCTGATTAGATAATGTTGTTACCTGGTCAAACTGGTCATTGTTTGTTGAGGAAATATTAAATTGTTTGGGCGTCGGATAATCGTCGTGCTGGAAGATTATTAATAACCGAAACAAAAAAATCTTAAATGATGCTCCGATCGGAAATGTAAACATTCGATTCGATAAAAAAAAAGATTCGATTCCATTCACAATAATCATTACTGATTCATCGTTACGTGTTTTACGAACAGTAATTATCACACATGTTTGGGGCACGAATTTTCATTTCAAATGAAGAAAAATGCCCGACGATATTGATGATAATCAACAATCATCGATCAATTCGTTTATTCAACGAATAGCCGATAAATTTCGTTTCGAATCTATCGAACAACTTGATGTTCCGATCGATCCAAATGAAACTGGGTGGGATAGAATCCGTAAAAGTTGGCAATCATTCAATCGTGGTGAAGATAATGTTGAATTTAAAATCATTTCCAATGCAATTAGTATGGGGGGAATAACTGGTTTAGTTTTAGGTGCTATGATACAAAATCGTGAAGTTTTTCAATCATTCGTTCAAAAGCATAATACCAATGTTTTTCGCGGTAAATATGAAGCAAATCGTCTATTAACCGATACAATGTATGTTGAATTGTTTATGCGAAGTACTAAACATGGTATACGATATGGCTTATTTGCCGGTACATTTGTTGGTTCCTTGACATTGGCTGCATGTTATCGAAATGATCTATATTATCGTGATTGTGCTTTAGCCGGCGCTGTAACCGGTATCATTTGGAAAGCACATCTTGGTTTGCGGGCAACAATTGTCAATGCAACACTTGGTTCCTTGTTTGGTCTTTCATTTGCAGCAATCACCAGATTATTTATGAAACTATCCGGTACATCTATACGTCAGATGCGTTATGCTCAACAACTTGATGATGATTTTCCAACAAATTAAATTTAATCAATTTAGTTAGTTTGCTTTTTCACTCTATGTCCATTCAATGTAAATAAAGATCAAGTTTCTTTACAAATCGATCTTGATTTCCTCACTCACTCAATTACTACAACAAAGATCAAATCACAAACGAATGAACAAAAGACCAACCTCAATCGTTCCCCATACTCAGTTCATCCATCAATCAATCAAATCAAAGAACGCGCGAGAGAAAAAGAAAATGATTTTTCCCATCATTCCATCAACAACAATGGCTTTCGATTGTTGTTGTTGTCCAAAATAGCCAAGATTTAATCATGAAATGAAAAATGAAGATGATAATGATCATTATGGATGTTGTGATGGACGACCACTACTACTACTACCTTATTGTTCGTATGAATTGGAGCACAAAACATCGAACCATCGATCGATTTTTGATCTCAATCAAAACAGATGGATGGATTTTTGAAAGGCAATCATAAATCGATTGAATGACACTGTGTATATGTGCGATTATTAGTTATTTGCTTGTGGCCAATTTTTTTTTTGGTGGCCCATATCGTATTTATTATCATTATTAGATTTTCTGATTCCATTCAATTGCTCAATCTCAACTGAAGGAATTGAATTAATCAGAACAAATAAAAATAAGAAGGCTATGATGATGTATCCATTGATTCTTCACCAATTGTTATTGTTTGTTCGGATTCAACTTCGATCGGTATGATTCGTGGCTGTCCAATAATGGCTGTTGTATTTCGAGCATATTGATATGTTCCTTGCCTAGACATTTTTAGAAAAATATCAAATCAAAAAAGCAATTAGAATTGAATAAAATCAAGGTCACAATGGAAATAAATACCGTTTTCCCTTAAGATTAGCTTCATCATATGGTCGCAAATATTGTACATCTTGTTTGGTTATGATACACAAATCAATATTACTACCCGAACCAAGATCATTGAAAATACCGGCTGCAATTGCATCGCGAACAAGTTTTTTACCATCTTCCAACTTGATATTTTGTTTTTGTTGCGAAATCAAATTGAAAATAAAAATGAAAATCATCCATTGTCGATTGAAAAAAACTTACGCTTAAATCTGGCTTCCAACGTGTTTCAAATACAGCCATTGCTGCTAACGAACCAGAACCCATTGTTGCATAGGGTAATTTATCGGTTGAACCATGCGGTGCAACTGAATAAAGACGTGGACCAAATTTATCAACACCGCCCAAAACTAAAGCAGCACCAACATAACCTTGATATCTTTTGAAATCAATATTAATTGCAATTCAAAAATCAATCATGTTATTACTTACCGATAAAGATATTGTTTTAATAAACGATTTGCAACACAAACCGGTACCTGTTTGCCTGTATTCAAACGTAATAATTCTAATTGTGAACTAATCATTCGTGTAACGGCATCAGTATCGGCAGCAGTACCTGCACCACAACAATACATATTTTTAGCCAGATAATGAATTTTTGTACAATTTTTATCGGCAACAACTGAACCAGATGTTGCACGAGTATCGGCACCCAATATAACACCATCTTTGAAAATAATACCGGCAATAGTTGTACCAGTCTTTTGTACTTTAGGAATTGGATAACCTTTTTCTTTCAAATATTCATTTCTAAAATAATTTTAAAAAAACAGATTTTAAAATATTTCACACAATCAAATTTATTACCTTTGAAAATTTTCAAAATTAAATCCACCAGTAGGTATGTCGGGCAAAATTTTAGATGACATAATTGTTGAATGTTTCGTTTAACGGTTTGACGGTGACAGTAATAATTTTAATACAATTTTTTCAAATCAAAAAACAAAATGAATCCAAGTTGACAATTGAAAAAGGCAATGACTTGGCGAAATCAAGCAAAATATCACACACACACAAAGCAGTATGCAAAGAATCGAATAATCGATACAATCGATATTTTAATCAAAACAAAAAAAAATCATCTAAACCACGTAAACAATCAAATTCTGTTTTTGGATGATGATGATAATAAACAAAACCAAATTCTGTTGATAAATAATTTTATCAAATTTCAAAGCACTAACAACAACAATGGTCGATATAAATATTCCATGTAAGTACAATAAAAAAGTAGAATCTTATGATTAAAATGATCTAATTATCAAATGGCTAGCTGATAATCATTTCGGTATGCTATTGCCATCTTATTCGAATACTGAACAAACAACAATGATTGGCAATGATTATCTAGATTCGATTGATGAAAACGATTTGATTACATTCATTAATTCGGGTAATTTCGATCATTCATCATCATCACCACCATCATCATCAGATCAATATTTTATTGATACCCCACCCGAAACACCAGTCAATCATCAAATGACCACAACTAATAATATTGTTGATTTCTACAATAATAATAATAATGTTGTAAATAATTTGATGGATTGGAATGGAAATTATCATGAAATCAATTCATCATCATCATCATCAAACAATCATCATAGTGATAGTGATAATTCGAATGGTTCATTCACTGTCAATACTTGTCATCCTATGATTTATACAACCGATAATAAGACTGATACATTATCGAAGATCACTGGAAAAAATGGCCACAATTCTTTGCTGGAAAATAATGGCCGAAGAATATCATCTAATGCTCATCATCATCAGAATATTCAACCAAAAGCCACAACTAACAAAATATCTAATCACAAATTAAAAGAACAACGAGAAAATCTTCAAAAACAAAAACTTGAAGCACGTAAATTACGCAATCGAGAAACGGCATTGAATTCTCGATTAAAAAAGAAAGAATATTTGGAAAATCTGGAAACACAAGTAAAACGATTGGGTAAAGAAAATACTGATCTAATGTTGGAGAATGCATTGTTGAAACAAAAAATTCTGGATCTCGAACAAGAAATCGGTCGATTCCGATTGCTAGATATGAATGGCAATTTTACCGATTCTTCTGTTGTAGCGAACAACCAGAAAAAAGTTAAAATAAGTTTCTTTGCTGTGGTATTTATGTTTCTGTATCAGATTTCACCATATCTGATATCAATGTCGGCTGAGCAAAATGGAAACCACAACATTTCTCCTAACATAATTGTCTTTCCCAATCAAAATTTTACGGCCAATTCATTCAACAATGATGGAAATGATCATCATATTTTGCGAAAATTGCTTTGGAAAGGCGAAGAACAGGATTATTTTCGAAAATTTTCCACAAACAATTTTCAATCACAAAATTCACAACAATATTATTCGAATCAAACAAAAATTGGCTGTGAAAATTATTATAATCGTACTGATCTTATACGTTTGGAAAATGAACTTCGTGGATGGTTAACCAGATTTAAATTGGAAGAAAATGAATCTCGACGGCGACAGCAACAACATTCAACATCCTCGAAATCGAAGAAAAAATTATTATATAATCTTAAACATGTTCCAATACCAAGATTAAAACTTTGGATGATACAAAAACAACGTTATATGGATTATCTGAATGAAGAATCACCATCAGAGCATTCATCATCGTCATTTGATGATGATAGTCATTTTGTGCCATACGATCTGGAAAATCTAATGTCTACTATACATAGACGTGATGATACATTTTATTATCTATCCTATCCATCTAAAGGTCATCTAATCCTGCCACCAATGTCAAATCGAACCGATATTCGGCCACGTTTTTCGTTCCTAATACCAACTGTTTATAATTTTAATCAACAATCAAACAATTCCAACAACACCAATCATCATAATCATAATGAAACTGGATTAACATTACCATCCGATCATCTATATATGTTACAAATCGATTGTCAAGTTATTAATACTAAAGTTACATTGATCAATATCAATGATCAACATCAATATGGTAAACGTAAACTTCGATCATCATCCAAATCTAGCATTAGCGGCAATGGCAAATAATAACAATTTTGAAATTAAAATTAGAAAAAAAGCTTTATTTAACAATTTTGTTTTCAGTTTGGTTTTTTTCTCTTTTAAAAATTTCAAAAAAGCAATACATTTTTAATAATCAATAAAATCATTCATTTAATGACCACGACGATCAACATCACGTCTTCGCGGTGCTGCTTTGATAATATTATCCACACGTAAAATCATTTCGGCTGCTTCAGCTGCTGAAATCAATACTTGTCGTTTGACAACAAACGGTTCGATGATACCCAATTCAATCATATCAGCTGTACGCCCTTCATTCATATCTAGACCATAAGTATGTTTACCTTGTGAATGATAGGCACGTAATTCGGAAATTAATTGTGCACTATCATAACCACCATTATCGGCAATAATTGTGGGCAATTGTCGTAGAGCGTGAGCAAATGATTCGATTGCAAACGATTCTTTTCCAGGTGTTTGTTCGGCTAATTGTGTTACAACATGAGCCATTAACAATTCACCGGATCCACCACCATAAATGATTCGTGAATCTTTAACGGTTTGAGTAAGGACACAAAGGACATCATGTAATGATCGTTCAGCTTCATCTAAAATTTGTTGTGTTGCACCACGAATAACAATCGTACAAGCTTCACCTAATGGTACACCCGAAAATTTCAACACTTTATCATCACCAATCATAACTTCTTCAATAAGATCACATTGGCCAAGTTTCACTTGATCTGGATTGCCGAATGTTGAAACAATTTCACCACCGGTAACCAAAGCCAAACGTTCAATGCCATCAAAATCGGCATGTTCAATGGCCATGACACCAGCATCGGCAAACAATTGCTCGGGATAATTATAAATAAGTTGACGATTGATAAATACATTGATATTATGTTTCAGAATCAAATCCACTTTTTCACGCATTTTTTCTTTTTCGGCCAATTCTAATTCGGCAACTTTAGCAACCGAATCTACTTTGACACGTGAACCAAATACTTTGATTTTATCAGTATCCATCGGTGTATTGGCAATCAAAATTCTAGCTTTTTCAATTCGTTTTGGTTGATTCACTCCGGGTCTTTTGTTGAGAAGGAAACCTTCTTCCAGATATGAATCGCTTAGTCGACCCCCCAATTTTCTTATTATCTGTATAGCATTTAGATCACCCGATCCTTTCAATCGAAGAACAGCATCTACAGCCAATTTAGCGAATAAATCTTTATGTTGGGATAAAATTTTCGAACTTAATGTTGTACGGGCAATATTCATAAGATCCGAACGAAATTGATCGACATTGTCGCTACGATTTTGTGCAGATTTTTCCAACGCCAATCGGGCTGCATCAACAGCTTTACGCCAACCCGAAATAATTGTCTGTGGATGAATTTTCATTTCAATCAATTTTTCTGCTTCACGTAAAAGTTCGGCTGCCAATACGGTTACCGATGTGGTACCATCACCTACTTCATCATCTTGTGTTTTAGAAATATCAACCAAAACTTTACTGGCCGGATTATCCACACCGATCGATTTCAATATGGTGGCACCATCATTCGTTACTTCAACTTTTCCTTCATTTCGTCCTTCGTTCAATAGAATTTTATCCATACCTTTTGGCCCTAAAGTACTTTTGACCAATTCACCAATAGCAATAGCACCGATAAACGATGAAAGACGTGCTGTCTCGGCTTTCTCTTCATCAGCTTCGGTTTTTAAAATATTGACCGGATTCAACGAACGACTTTGAATGTTCAACATGATGAATGAATGGTTGAAAATGAATTGAATGAAAACAATGAAATGAAATGAAATTTTTTAAAAATTATTTTTCGTAACAATTCGAAACAATGAAACAACGTGCTCTGTTCGTGTATTTCACACACACCTTCACACGCATGCCTATTGAAGAACGCAAGCCCTAATTGGTCGCATTCACAACAAAAAGTACAGGATTTTTTCAATTTTTCAATCAATCAAAAAATAATTAATCAATTGGGTCGGTTCATATTTAAACATCAAATCTTCAATTTAAAAATTTCAAATTTTGTGCTTTTAAATTTGAAAAATTCGATAAAAATCTAATTAGAATAATGATTTTGAAGAAAATTTCGTAACATAGTTTATGAAGGGATAGTTACACGTTGTTATGCTTCCTTTTCTTCCTTTTGATTCTGTGTGTGGTGTGAGTTTTTTCATTTTGTGTTTGGAATTTTTTAATTTTTTGTCCGAAAATTCGGTTTTTTCTAAACAATTTCAAAAATGGTTTCTGGTCTTAATACATCATCCGATTTGAATTGGTTGATCACCCGTAATAGTTCATGCTATTTGCTAAAACGACGTGGTGTTAATCATCATTTCAGTACGGATCCAATGAATCCAAAAGGTCTTTATAAACCACGTTTTCAAGGAACAATTCAACGACGAGCATTAAGCGTTCAGGAAAATCCATCCGGAAAAGGTGTCGTTATGGTGTACAAAAAACGTTCGAACCAAAATAAACCGGCCCAAGCATTGAATCGTGTTGTTATGAATCGTAATGCTCGCCGTACTACACGTAACATTAAACAATTTGTTAACAAACAAAATTATCGAAACGATTTGAAGAATGTAAGTCATTCATCATTCATAATTGTTATTTATCTAACCTCTCGCGTTAATTCGAATAGGTTGTATTGAGAAAAGCCAGTGCATTGTTACGAGCACAACGAATTAAAAATTCCAAAAAAACTCGTCAATCCAAAAAGAAAGAATAATTAAATTCATTTTGAAAAAATGTATTTTTAATGATGATTTAAATAAATGAATAAAAACGACGTTTTTCATTTTTTCTAAATCCAAATTAATTTTTGTTTATTCTTTTCACTGCAAACCATTCGTCGATCCATACCAATCAAATAAGATTTATAATTCTATTAAGATAACGATGATAAAACAACACAAGAAAAAATAGGAATCCATTATGTGTTTAGGAATTAAAAACTGCTAATCAAATGAATGAATGATAAAGGAATGGAATCTTCTAACAGAAAAAATGTTTGAAACAACAACGAAATAAATGAAATGAAAAGGTTATATGCGGTGGTTTTGTTTTGTGAAACAAAAAATGAATAAAACACAAACAGAAACTAAATATCAATCAAGAGAGAGTAGTAGTTGTATGTTGGTTAAACAATGTTCCATGAAATGAAAAAACACAAATGTCACACAATGTGTTTTTCAATTGCTAAGTGAACGTAAATCTTCAAGAAAACTTGATGGTGTCATAAGATGATCGCCACCTAAAAATTGGATGAAAACAATCATCAATCAGATAATAATGATAATTGATAATTTTGACATACCGATAATAACTTCCCAATTTTTCGAAGCTGCAGTAACTTCATAAGCACATCTCATTTCGGAATAAGTTGAACCACCCAAAATGAAAACAATCAAACGTGGTACATTTTTGATATTCAATGAATTTTTTTCCTTATGCCAATGACCATAACGCATACTGGTTGGTGCTGGACGACCAAAACTAGTCGGTGCACCACGACCAGATAAATATTGAAAATGTTTTTGATCCAATTTATCTTCGATTGCATCCTCCATAATATCTTTGATAACCGGTGTCCATCTTGACATTTGATAAGTTTGTTCAGTGATTCGTTCTTTTCGTGGATATTGACATACTTTACGACGACTACCATCGGTAACAATATTGACACCCAGATGACTCATATTTGTAATAATTGATTTATCCGATACTGGAATCTGTGCATGTTGAATCAATTTTGTTAGATTCTCTTCACTAATACCATTTTTGGAAAGAATATAAAGAAGAATAATACGAATTTTATCGAAAATTTCAAAATTCTGATCCAACAATATTGGTACAATATTACGCATTGGATCTTTAATTTTTTCACCATCAGCATCGGTTCCCATTGCTAGATCCTGTTCCACCCGACATAATTTATCCACATAACCTTGATATCGTTTCATACAATCTTCGGCCAAATGTAAATGTGTGGAATATTTGCTCAGCTCTTTTTGATATTGTGGCATTTTTTTAATCATTTGTGACAAATCTTTCAGACTAGTTTTATCATTAGTATTCATTCGTTTACTTTCAACAAATTTTTTCAATTGTTTTGTTACGTTTTGTGAGACTAGTGCAATATGTTGATGTCTTAATTCGGCCCATATTTCATCATTCTCATCCAATAAAACTTCTTTTTCGCGAATTTCATTTGATTGTTGAATTTCAAATTTATAGACATCATTTTCAATGCTCAATAAATCATATGCCATTGCCTGGAATGTCAGTTCATGCAATAATGGGGATACACAATCGAAACCACGATCCAAAATCAATAATTGCGAACGTGCTTTTTCCGGTCCTTCACCCATGGTAGGTTCATCCGCTTTATAGGCAATCAATTTTTGATGTACAGCATGTGCAAATTCATTGTTTCGATCGAAACCGGTACGAAACCGGATGCTAGGATATTCGCCCAATGTTGCACATAATGTAGCCAATTGTTCGGCCAATCTTTCTTGGGCTTGTGAACGAACCGCAGCTTTGTTTGGGCTGAAAAACATGGAGAATGCTTCGGCCGAATCCAATGAATATACTTGTGATTCATATGGTAGGAAAGCAATATTCACTTCTTTCAATGATTTTATATGTTTTGCACATGGACTTTTCGATAATTCGTTGAATAAATCATCCGGACATGTTTCGGTAAAAAATACATGTGCAGCACGATAAAGTGCACAACGTGTACTAAGAAAATCTTGTTGCAATAATCGAATGGACTAAGTAAATTCAAACAAAACAAAACAAAACAATTTAGCAATGTAAGATTGGACAAATCTCCAATGAATATTTACCTCCTATAATCATTATCATTATGGGAGAAAAATAGAGATTTTAATGGAAAAAAATATCATTCCAATTTCAAAACATACCCTATCCATCGGTGAAATAAGATATATTGCTTCCATATTTGGTAATGGTTCGCGTTTTTTACCAATATCTTCAACAATAGTAATACCTTCGGTTGCAATTTCATGCATTTTACAACAAGATGATATCATACGCATACCCAATTGATCAACAATCAATACTTTCCATTCACCTTTCTTATGGCTAACACGAACAACATCGTTCATAATCTCTGTGTTGAGAGAAAATATCATCATTATCATCGAATCAAATCAATTTAATTAACTTACTTTGGCCAACTAATAATTTCAGAGCCATATTTTTCTTCTTCTTTCGAAGTTTCTTGACCAAAATTCTGATCAATTAATTTCCAGATTTGTTGTTGTTGTTGTTATTGGGCGAAATAATGATGACAGACTCGCCATAAACAAAAATAGCAACAAAAAAATGACACATATATAGCCATATGGCCACTACAACCAACCAACCAAACAGCAGCATAGAAGTAAAATACATCATACATTTAACACACACACACACATAGCCAAGTTAATTTAATGATGATAATTATATAGCCAAGTTAGATCCTGGATCACCAATCAGCCAACCGATAAGCTATATAGCGTTTGACATTATTCATTCTTTTTGACGCAGTCACATATCAAGACGCATTCAGGACGCTTAATTTTTGATTTTTTTGGGGGGAAATTTCATTATCGAATTTTGAATTTTTTTTCTGATCTGGGTTATAAATATCGATAGAAATTTGATCTGAATCATTGATGAAAAACAGCAATCAAAAAAAATGACGGAAGAAAAAAGTAAAAAATCTCAAGTGGATAAAACAATGGAAACAGCTGTGAATATGGGATTATTTAGTAAAAGTTTAGCCAATAAAGTAACAATAATTACATCGATGAATCAATTTGCATTCAAATTATTTCGGGTATTTGCTAGTCGTCATCAACGTGATTCGAAAAATATGTGTTTTTCACCATTGGAAGTATTCAATTCATTAGTAATGTTATTGATTGGTGCAAAAGGTGCTACCGAATTACAATTAGAGGATATGCTTTGTCTACGTGAATTTAATCAACAAGCCAGATATGATGAATTAATTGATTTGATCAAATGGATTATCAAAAGTAATCATGAAATTATGGTCTATGGTACAGTCATTTATTTAGATCATCGATTGAATTTAAATCCAGAATATTTAGAAAAGTTGAAAAGTATATTTGAAATTAAACCAAAACGTATTGATTTCTCCGGGATCGATAATGTAATCTATATGATTAATAAGGATGCATATGAAATGACTGATGGTATTATTGAAGGTGTTATCAACCGCAAAGATCTTCAAGATGATAGCCAAAAAGTAAACTTGGTTATATCGAATGCTGTATTTTTTCGTGGTTACTGGCTATTCAAATTTGGCAATATTCATAAAGAACAATTTTATTATAGTGAAGGTATGAAATCGGCTAACATTGATATGATGTCACATATTGGTTATCATCGTTATTATTATGATAAACAATTACAAGCACAAACTGTATCTATTGCATATGTTGCAAGTGATATTCGTATGGTTCTAATAATGCCTGATCAAATTCGTAACGAAGCTATTACATTGGTTGAGTATTTAAATTCGGATAAACTGTTGCAATTATTTTGGAATCTACAAAATCAACCAAAATCATTGACAGAATTAACTATACCAAGATTTGCGTTGGAAGCACATAAAGTTTCATTACAAAAATCGGTCAAACAAATGGGTGCCCGATCGATTTACGATCCGGAAAAAGCTGATTTAAGTGGAATTTGTTCTAATGGACGTGTTCATCTAACCAAACTTGTACATAAAGCATTTATTTTGGTTGATGAAAGAGGTTCACATCAATATACAAAAAAGGTAAGCGCTGTTTTGGGTTAGGCTGACCATGATAATTTGAATTTTTTTAATTTCAGGCTCATGAAACTGGTCGTTTTGCTCGGCAACAAATTGAAAATGTGAAAGGTGCAAGTAATACAAGAGAGCAATCGGATAAAGTAACTGTTCATTTTAAAGCAAATCATCCATTTGTATTTCTTATTCTGGATAAAATAACTGGTGTTGTTTGTTTTTGTGGTGTATTTGCTGATCCAACTGAAATACTTGAAGTTGTACCTGAACATGAATTATCTAATGAACAAATTACACAATTATTAGCCGAAAGTGATCAAAAAACATTCATGGAAGATGCATCAATCGATTCAACATCATCCAATGTTTAACTATCCTATGGTTTGATTTTGATTTTGAATTGATATTTGACAGAAATCCAAATCAAATCAATAATTTATTGTCAAAATGTTTTTGAATAAATGCAATAAAAATACATTCAAGTAATGAATTGATAAAATAAAAAATTCATCATTGAGAATCTTTTTCAGCAACAGGTAACACACTGGTTGGAACAGGTATGCATAAAACTTGATCATACGATCGTTGACAGCAATTAAACACAGTTACTACACAGCTAATATAACTGTAAAACAAAACTATTAATAGAATCTTTCAACTATTCAATACGATCATCATGGTCATGATTGTCGTCACATTTTAATAAATCTTTGTCCAATTAAACATTATTTGAATTTCAAATTAGTTAATAAGAGAAAAATGGAAAACACTTTGTTACCCAAAATGTTGTTTTGCAAACCAAAAGAATTTTTATTTGAATTAATTCACGGGAAAAAAACCACCAAAGAGATCATCAACCTGAAAATGTTTATTATTTTTGAAAAAAAGAATGATCAAAAAACGTGCACATAGCATCGTATGATAATTGATGATGAATAAATAACTTGACAATGACCTTGAAGAGTGGTGGTTACATTCCAGAAAAAATTTGAAAAACAACACTACACTGATTTATTGGATGATGATCATTGATCGATTAATTGATTCAAAATCAATGGATCGATGGATAATCATCAGCATCATTATTCCATCAACGAAAAAAAAACAAAAAGAAAAGAATTTAAATTTTACTGTTGAAATTGATTGTGGTAAGGTAAAGTGATAATTCGAAATAAAATAAAATAACATTCGAAATTCGAATGTTAATTTTTTTCGCTAAAAATGCCCGTCCCAAAATGGGAGGGGCAATTTTTTTGTTTTTCGTGTTTAGGGTTCCTATTTGTATTCGAAATGGATGCTTTTTTCAGTTTTTCTTTCTGCCTTTGATTATTGCCTATCAAGCCAAAAATTCATTGATTGGTTCTGTGTGGGAAATAGAGAGAGACGAGGAGAGTGGGAGAGAGAGGAACGATGGCTAGCTGGTATGGTTCTTTACCTTTCTCCTCTGAAAATGATGAACATTCTTTTCACTTTCACTTTTTTGAATTGAATTCATTTTTTCCCGCCAATTCGAATGGGAGTTTCAAAACGAAAAGAAATTTTTTCGTTTTTTTTGGTCAGCCCCTAAATTAAAATTCTTAAAGTTAGTTTTGAATGAATGAAATTTTCTTCAATGAATCAATCGATGATGATTACCAAAAAAAGAGACTATTTAAACGATTGTTTTTTGTTGAATTTTTTCCTGTGCGGCAACCGTTTCTCTCTTTCTTGGTCAACAGAATTGAATCAACAAAAAATTTTTGTTCACAAATCGTTCGACAATTTAATTAAATTTATTTGATCGATTTAAAAGATCGATATTCAAGAATTTGTTTTATTGTGTGTGTTTTTTTCAACAAACTTTGATGCTGATTTCCTTCAATCAATCATGATTCGAAAACTTGTAATAATATTTCTGATTACTCAATTGGATTGGATTGATTGTAATCAAAATGAATCGAGAAATCATAATAATAATGATGATTATCATCCCATTGATATGATTAAATTATGGCAACAACATAATTCACAAATTTTAAATATTTATCAAATGATTATTTCATCCAATTCCGTTTCCGATGATAATTTATGTTATCAATCAATCAAACACTTGGTAATGGATGCACGTAAACATGAACAATATGCATTGAAAAGTAAGTTTTATTTCAACTAAACATTTTCCATTTTCACTTCTTTTTGCCAAAGAGTTAGAATTTTCAAGAAAAAGTAAAAGTTTCTTTTGATTTGATGCCGGCAATATGTTTTTTGTTTTCTGTTTTAGAGAGGGAAGAATGCTACCGGTGAAATGATATTTGATGAGAAAATGTTTGGGTCATAAATAATTTTGTTTAGTTATATGGTGTGTGTGAGTAGAATTTAGTTTTTTGTTTCCAAAAAAAATATTTGGTGATTGATTGATCAAATGATAATTCTTGATCATCATGATGGTAGTGTGGGGTTATTAGTTCCCTTCAATGTGTTTTTGAACCAAGAAAAAAAGCCGCCAAACTACAGATACAGAGAGAGAAAGGTAAAATGACATTTGAAATATGTAAATGATTAGTGTGTTAAGGTGAAATGTGTGTATGTCTTTAACACACAGGGTTGTAATTATAAACAACAACAAAAAATTAACTAAATTAACAACAAAAAGAACAACTACCTATACAGTGAAAGATATGAAGCCGGATGTATTTTATTCATAAAGAAAAGAATTGAAATTGAATGAATCAATTCAAATAATATGCAAAAAAAGAGAGGAAACAAAACTCAATCCTTTTTTCTCATTGAATATTTTTTCCTCATACATGTACTGTAAATGAAAATTTATTCAACACAAGTAAAGAACATGAATGAAATGAATATGATTTGATAGGATGAATTTCTACGAATTTTTCTTCAAATCCCGATAACAGAGAGAGTATATTGACACAGTTTTTTTCATTTCATTCAAAGTTGAAAAAATTTGGCGAACGAATTTTGTTTTTTGTTAGATAAGAATTTTGCGTTCAATGTCCTTCAATAGATTGGATAAAATATCACATCACAATGTGATTTATTCATCGTTCAGTTGATTTATTCAAAACACCAACAATCTTCAACCGACCAACGACCCATCAACGACCAAATCAACGGCCAATCATTAAACTAACTTGACTGGCTTTTTGACTGAAAACAAAAACAAAAAAAAAACGCGCGCGCGCCGGCAATTTTGTTAAATAAGAAAGAAACATGTTCATTAAACACATTCATATTCGGCCGACATTGAAAATTACATACCTGTTTTGTTGCTGATGGTGGTTACTTCAGAGGATGATTAAGATTAGCTGAATGCATGTAACAATTAAATTCGTGTGAACGAACCTAGCTGTTATTCACGTTCTTGTGTCTGGCTGACTGGCTTCGCGCAAAACTTTCTTTGGAAAATTAAGAAAATAACATCCATAATATTAATAATAGAATTCGTTTTCGTTACGTTCATTTCGCGTTTCGTTTGGTTGTGTTTTTTCCAAGAAAAAGGTCGATGACCAAAAAACTAAATGAACAAGAAAAAAACAAAACAGAAAAATTTCGCTTTCACTTTTCAATGAATATTGCCTAAAGGCGATTCAATATGAGATAAGAGGGAAACACACATTTGATATTCAATTCATTTCAATTTCATTTGATTTAATGTTTTTTTCTTCTCAAAATTATTCAGTGATCGATTCAGCTGGACGATTATCAAGTGGTTTATTGGAAGGTAGATTCACTGATTTAGGACAATTTAAAGAATGCATCAAATCAACAGGTCAGGCATTTTCGGGAAGATATTGTCATGCTTTTATAACAATTCCCGAGGATTTAATATCACTTTTATCGGTAAGATTTTGTCATATTTCACAACAAAACAAAATTGCTCATTCCAATGGTGGTCACTATTACAGAATATTTCCGGTTTCGATCCGGAAATGTATCAAATGGTCACAGCCAAAATAGGCATTTGTTTGCCATCAACTTGCGCACAAGATGATATTGATTCTATCGTTCATCGATGTGAGTATAATTATACAATTTCGATACATTTCTCATCCAAAACGTTCTATCAAATAAAAAAAAAGTTTCAAAAATGTTCGTACCAGAATTGGAAATTCGTGTATCAAATTGTTTAGATAGTCATGACAACAATAAGGATAATCCATTTGGTTTGGGCATTTTTTTCGCAACTTTTTTCGTAATTTTAATATTGGTTGTTTCGGGAACAATTTATGACCATTATAATCTTCGATTAAAATTTGTTGGCGAATCATATGGTATGATCACTGCCAAATTAGGATCACAAGAAGAAAGTGAAGAAGAAGTCATACAAACAATACGCGAACCTACCAAGGAAGAGAAAATTCTAATGGCATTTTCAGTGAAAGAAAATTGGAAAAAAATATTCCATATTTCAGGTGGAGCCAATTCAATCAATGTTTTTCATGGAATGAAATTTTTGGCAATGTTATGGATTATCATATCACATTCTATATCATTTTCAATGATATGGCTCAATTTCAGCAATCCATTTGATATGAGAAAAAAAGTTTACAATATTTTTCAAATATTCATGTTGAATGGTACATTTTCGGTGGATATTTTTTTCTTTATCAGGTAAAAATCTTTTCCTTCAAATGTTATCAATTAATCTAAATTGAAATCAAATCAATCAAAATATAGCGGCTATCTAGTCATGCACAATTTGGTCCGTTATATGTCGGCGGATACATCATCCGGTTTAAATTTGAAAGCAATCTATTTGAATCGTTATATTCGTATGACACCGACAATGATGTTTATTATATTTTTCAGTACAACCGTATTAAGACATCTGGGTAATGGACCAGAATGGTTCATTACAACAATAATGTATGATGTATGGTGTCGTAGTCAATGGTATTTGAATCTATTTTATCTACATAATTTTATCAAAACTGAAACTATGGTAAGAATATCTTTTATTACAAATGTTCATTAATCCATTCACAATCAAATTTAGTGTATAAGCCATTCATGGTATTCAGGTGTTGATATACAATTCTTTCTTATAACACCATTAATAGTTTTGTTGGTATTACGAAATCGTTGGTTAGGATTATCATTAATAATGTTCATTTTATTATCATCAATAACCATTACAGCTATTTTAACATTTGTTAATGGTTATCCACCTGTTCCATTATTCAATGATCTTATGTAAGTATCAAAACCAAAACAAAAATCCAATCCTTGTATTGATTATTGTGATTGACCAACACAGAGATCTGGAAACAATAAATTCCTATTATAAAAATATTTATATAAAACCCTATACACGTATTGGACCATATATGATTGGTGTATTGTTGGCATATGGATTACTAACAAATACAAGGGATGTTCGTCTTTCAAAGGTAAACATTATCATTACACAATCAACAAAAACACTAATCAATTGAATAATCATCATTATAGAAAGTATTATCGGCCGGTTGGATATTTGCAGTATCATCAACATTGGGCATTATGGTGTGTATGTTACCAGCAAATAATGGTTATTTACCATCAAAATTTTCTGGTGCAATGTACAGTGCATTATCACGAAATATATTTGCTATTGGTTTAGCATGGATCACATTTGTATCCATTACTGACCAGGGTGGTTGTATACAGACATTTTTTTCATTAAATTTTTGGGTACCATTAAGTCGCCTAACGTATTGTGCATACTTACTTAATCCAATTGTAATTGCCATATTTTATGGTAATTGTAATCAAACATTTGAATATACACCCTTACTAATGGTAAGTGTTTCAAGTGACCAATTGAATTAATTCGCTAATTTTTGTTTTTGTTACCACCCACCACCCAAAAAGATTTATTTTGCCATAAGTAACCTATGTGTTACCTATTTGGTATCATTATTATTGGCATTATTCATTGAATATCCATTAATGACAATAAGTAAAATTCTTTTAAGTAATTCAATGAAATGATTTCAAAAAAACACAATTATTAATTATCATCTTTATTGAACAAAAATTGTACAAATAATATTCAAATTCAAATAAAAAAAAATCTTTTTATTTTTTTATTTTTCAAAAATTTATTTTAATTAATGAATGATTGTGAGAAATGAAAAAATGAATGATGAGAATTACCAATTTGGGCGCTGAATATTGATTGAGACATGGATGAATGAATGATGAGGATGAATGCGTTGTTGTTGTTTGCGCGATCCATTATGATCTTCTTCGGAAAAAATGTTTTGCGAAAATTTGATAATGTAAATAGTGAGAAATATGAATGAATGAATGAATATACTTGGTTGGCATCATTTATTATTATTATAATCATCATCAATAAAGCAATAATATAATATTTTATATATATCGATTCAATTCATCATCATTATTATTATTTAATTATCAAATCAATCAATCAATTTAATCAATTGGGCAATAAATATTCACTGTTTTAAAAAAGGAAAAATAAGGAATCGATTGCAATCAACATAAATAAATAATAATCATTTAGAAATTCGGGAAAGCATTATATATCAAGTTTTTTTTGGAAAAAAATAGATAAACGGTAATCTAGAAATTGTAAATATCTCGTTATATATGCAATTAATTAATTTATAAATAAAAATAATAAAATAGAATAATTATATGACAAAATTAATATTATAATTATATAAATCACCTGTCCCGGACAATTATATTTATAGAAATCAGTCGGTAGATGACAATCGAATACGATTTTTTTTATAAAACATGAATTAAAGAAAAAAATAATTCATTTTCAAAATTCAAGAATATTTTTTATATTAAAAAAATAATAATATCATAAAAATATATTTCAATTTCAATCAAATCAAATAAATAGAAATACTCACGGAAAAAATATATCAAGATAAATAAGATTTAAAATAAAAAATTCATTATCAAAAAATTTATATTAAAATAATAATTGGTTTGCAAATAAATCTCCTACCCGGCAAAATGAAATATTGAAACAAAAAATGCTAGCTTATATAAAACCTATTCATCACAATTAAGATAATACCTTTTTGGAAAAAAGTAGTAGTTAAATCCGACTGTAAAAAAATGAGTTAAATATCAATTCATCAAAAACACCTACAATATATCAACAAATACTAAGCTTATTTTTTGAAATAAGGAATCAATGGGAAAAATGAAGAAATGTTCATTAACTTGAGATCAATGATAATCAACATTGGGGCAGTGAATGAATTCAAGAATTGTATATATAGAAAATAGGGAATGAGAGGCAATAAATCAAACAAAATATTAATATTTACCTTATTTAGGTGATTTTCCATTATGCGAATGATTATTATCATCTTTTTGTAATGATTTTGCATTTTTAAATTCTTTAAGTTTTTGTTCAATTGCTTCCGCTTCTTTGGTCATACCGCATGCTTTATAATATTCGATCCATTGTTGATAAACGGCTTCATTATCTTGTCCAGCAGCAGCAGCAGCGGTTGAAGTAGAAGCATTGGCCGCCCAAGCAGCTTGTTGCTGCTGCTGTTGTTGTGGATCGGTGGATGCGGCTGCAGCCGCAGTTGATGCACCATTTGCTTGTGAATAATATTGTGCGTAATAGGCGGCCCACATTGCATATTGATCTTGTACAGTTTTGGCTAAATTGTTTATAGAAAACAGAAAAATTCATCAATCAATTAATCATGATGATCGATAACTATGATAGTGATTCTGAATTCTGAATTTCATTTAGCACAAGCTTGACACCAAATAGCCGCGTAATTGAAATCCAATGAAGGAATTTGTACTATTTGGCTCTAATGCTGTGCATTCTACACATCCTAACACAGTGAAACAAAAACTTACGATCCGATGATGTTTGTGGCCAATAATATTGTGATTGACCAATTTGATTGGCATAAATCTGATTAGTTAGATAACCATACTGTCCATCAGTACTTGTAGCAGCAGCTGCAGCTGTTGCCGCCGCTGCATACATTGGATTATTGGCCAATGTATTCAATATAACGGTTGCATGACCACCAACTTTATCGGTAACCAATTGTTGAGCATAGGTAATCTTATCGGCCGTACCACGAATAATGAAACATTTTTCATCATTATCTGATTGAAAATTTTTATCCAATTCGATGTTACAACCGGATTGTTGTTTCAATTGACGAATCGTTTCACCACCACGACCAATTACTGTACCTGTTCGTGATGTTGGAACCACTAATCTAATCTCATCGATTGAACCCTATATGATCACAAGGACAAAATTATATTAAGCAAAACATCAAAAATCACAATAACAAATTACCTGACCACCAGTAACAGTATCAATAATTTCTTTAACCATATCCAATGCTCTATTCACTGCATCTTGTGTTCCAGTAAATTGACAGATTTTATTTCCTTGTGCATCAACTTTAGTAGTATCAAATTGTACTTTACAACCAGAATCAGCCTGAATTTTTCGTATAGTTTCACCACCTTTACCAATAACCAAACCAATTAATTGTGGCGAAACTGGATATTCAAAATAGGTAATTCTTGCTGATCCGTATTCATTTAATGGTGTTGGAAAAAGTTTATTATTATTATTATTATTATTGTTGCCCATATTATTATTATTATTATTATTTTTTGATGTTCGATTAGCTAATTCAAGCTCTTTTTCAACCAATAAATCATTCACCAATTGTTTAGCATGATCAACTTTATCCGGTGTGCCACTAATTCTTAGCTGTTTATCACGATCACCTACTTCATTTGTTTCCTGATATATTACCATTTTAACACCAGCCCTTTCCTAAGACCAAACAAAAAACGCAATCAGTATTCAATTACCAAATAGAAAAACCAAATCAATCCAAACCTGAAGATTTCGAATCATTTCACCACCTTTACCAATAACGAATCCAACTTTATTACCCGGTATCATAAAATCCAATACTTTTTCACCATTAAAAATTGTACCATTCAAATAAAGTTGATCTTTCATTGGTTTTATCGGGGTATTATTTTTCATTGCCGATAATTTTGATCCCACTTTGTTTGAAAAAAGAAATAAAACATTAAGCACAAATTCGAATTTTAAAAAAGACAAAGATATTTACAATCAATTTTTTTGACATCAGGAGAATAATCAGAATCTATAAAAAAGAGAAGAGAAAAAAAAGAAAATGTAATAAGATCTACTATCAAACTCCACCTATCAATCATAAGGATGGTGTTAGCGAATTCTTATTTAAAAAATGATGATTTTGCATTCATTAGCTTATGAAAAAATGACAAGTGGATAATTCAATTTTTCATTGGTAAATTTGAATGCCATTTGTAAAATCCATTTAATGGTCAATTTACCATCATCATTTGGCCTTTTCATTCCGCCCATGCTTTGACCACCACCCATAGATCCACCTATACCAGGTTGTGATATTTTTGCAGCCAACTATATTTCATTCAATATGCAATTTTTAGATTTTTATTATAACAAAAAAAAAAACAAATCAAATTTACCTGTCGAGCACGTAATAGTGCTTCTTGGAATGCATTATTCGATTCCATCTTTATTCTCTAATTGATGATTGATTGATGGATTAAATGTGAAAAAAATGAAATATGAATTTTCGTGAAAAATCAACAAAAGAATCGTGAAAAGGAAACCACTGATGGCGTGTGGCAAAACAGCGATACAAACACACACTTTGCTCACACACAAACAGTGCTGCATGCCAAACATTCGAAATGAGTATTTCTCATCACAAAAGAACAAAAAAAAAATGCTCAAAAAACTATTTGGACCTAGATCGTACATTCAAGGTAGAAATAGCTGAATATTGCACTGAAACAAAAAAAAATCCAGAAACATAAATTAGGTCCATGTTCCAAAAAATTGATTGATTGCTCACAACTAGGTCTAGTCATTTTTGTTTCAATAAAAAAAGAAAATTTTTTTGATTATTTAATTTTGGATCAGATTTACGCAAATCACGCCATAAGTGAGAGAGAGAGAGAGAGAGAGAGAGAAAGAGTATCGAACGCGCCCAATTCAAATCTTAATTTTTGTTCGAACATAAAAAATGGAAACATTTTTTCTTTTGGATACAAGTATAGTTATACCATTTGTTCATCATCATCGCAAATATATCAAGATTTGAATTGTTTTCTTTGAATCATAATTAAAGATTTTCAATAGAGAAAGAAAAATCATTTACGTTTTCTCAAAATGATACAATATGAATGAAGAGAGAGAGAAAAGTTGTATAAAGCTATAATCGATCGGATCGATCGATCAAGGATCGAGATGGTGATGATAAAACAAAAAACGCGAAAAACAAAAATATCCACATTCAAATATCATATTCAATCATTCATTATTTCACATGAATTTGATGCATGATAATGGTGAATGTTTGTTTGTTTTTTTAAAGTTTGTTTGTTTTTGTTATCGCGACAACAATTTGCCTAATCATCATAATCATCAACAATCAGCGATTCAATTCAATTATCATTATCCTTTTCGGAACTGTTTATTTAAAACATCTCGGAAATTTTGTTTCTTTTTCTTGGAATTGATTTGATCACGTTATATGTGTGTTATTTGATATATAATGGTGTCTTATGAATAACTAGATATTCAAGTTCTTCATCTTTGTCTTCAAGAATTTTCCTTTTTTGTTTTGCAAAAATGTCACAACAAGAATTGAAATCCTCGATTTATAATTCAATAATTTTCCTTTCCAAACGAAATAAACATTTATTTGAATGGCTAATTGGTTCATTAAGTTTGATGACAATATATCAATGGTCAGCATCAATAATCCTATCAATAATAGTTATAATTCTTTATCTAATCTATTCATTTGTTGGTGGTTATCATTATGGTTATATTGTTTTAATGACCATTTATCGTGATGCAATGTAAGTTTCATTTATTATTTTACACTTTCATCAATGTAGCATATCATGACATCAATCAGCAAAAAAATATATAGGCCAAATCGATATCGATATTGAATATATATTTAGATCATCATTACACTTTTACTAAAACGACTAACGAAAGCTAAAGATTTAATTAATTAATTTAAAACTAGAAACTAAAAACAGTGATCTTTAAAGACAAGCAAGATTTAGCATTCATTAAATCGATAAATGAATGGCCAAGGTCGTCTTGTTGTTGTTGTTGTTATCTGTTATAATGTTTTTGCTTTTGTCCATTTTTAAGTTTAAGGTCATTTTTTAAAAAAATATTTGATTTTTATCACATTTTTTATTATAGAAGTTTATTTCGATTTTTGCGAACACAATTATATTTATATCGTATACGACGATCAAATCAATCGGTACCGAAATTATTTCAATCAATTTGTTCGAAACATCCAAATAAAACATTATTCTATTATCGTAATGAAAAATGGTCATTCAAACGTGTGGATATATTTTCCAATAAAATTGCCCAATATTTTCTGTCGAAAGGTTATCGAAAAGGAGATGAAATAGCATTGTTTATGGAAAATCGTCCAGAATATGTTGGTATTTGGTTGGGGTTAGCTAAAGCAGGTTTAATATCTGCATTGATCAATAATAATCAACGTATGAATCAATTAATACATTCATTATTAGTTATCGAGTGTAAAGCATTCATATTTAGTTCGCAATTATTTCAAGGTTAGTTTGTTTTTCTTTTCTTTCAAACTCTGTTAACATTTTTTCGCCATTAAGCTGTTGATGATATTCGTGATGAATTAAGCAAAAAAAATCAACAAATTGAATTTTATTGTTTCAATGTTGATGATGGCGATTCAAATGATGATGATCAATCTATTTCGACGACAGCAGAAAATGGTGAAAATAGAAATACATTTTATAAAAATTTAAATATCGAAATGAATAAAATGTCAAGCGAACCACCGCAATCAACAATCGATTCAGTTTCTTTTAATGGTAAGTATGATGATTTGGTTGATTGATTTGATTTTCCATTCAATTCCTTTCAGATCGTTTACTTTATATTTATACTTCCGGAACGGAAGGATTACCAAAAGCAGCCATAATAAAGAATAGTCGTTTTATTTATATAAGTGCTGCAGCACGTTTTATGATTAATATTTATTCAACAGATATTCTATACATTTGTTTACCATTATATCATCTTGCCGGTGGTATAATTGGTATTTGTCAAGGTATTGTTTTTGGTAATACAATCGCTATTCGTAATAAATTTTCGGCATCCAATTTTTGGAATGATTGTATTCGATATCAATGTACAGTAAGTATTGATTCGAATTGATTGATTGTATTATGTTTTCTCTATGTGTTATAGGTAGCACAATATATTGGTGAAATATGTAGATATTTATTATCACAACCTGAATCTGAATCAGATCGTCAACATTCAGTACGTTTAATGTTTGGTAATGGTTTGCGACAAAAAATTTGGAAACAATTTATAAATCGTTTTAATATTAAACAAATCGGTGAACTATATGGTTCAACCGAAGGAAATGCTAATATTAGTAAGTAAACTAATCTGATGCTGTTATCTTATCTTATCTTTTTTTTCAATTTATAGTTAATGTTGATAATAAGGAAGGTGCATGTGGTTTTATATCACAAATTGCGCCATCAATATATCCAGCAAGATTGATACGTATCGATGAAGATACTGGTAAGCCAATTCGTGACCGAAATGGTCTTTGTGTTTGTGTTAAAGCTGGTGAAACAGGTGAATTTGTTGGTAAAATTACTGCCAATCCAACCCGGGCATTCGATGGTTATGCGAATGAAGAAGCAACTAAAAAGAAAATAATTTATAATGTTTTTCGTAAAGGAGATTGTGCATTTGCTTCTGGTGATCTGTTAACAATGGATAAATTTGGTTATATTTATTTTAAAGATCGTTGTGGTGATACATTTCGTTGGAAAGGTGAAAATATATCAACTACCGAATTGGAAGCAATTATCAGTGATACTCTACAATTGGCTGATTGTATTGTTTATGGAGTGGAAATACCCGGCTGTGAAGGAAAAGCAGGAATGGCTGCTATTCTTGATAATGATCATCAAGTTGATGTTGATGAATTATTAAGAAAATTACGTCAAAAAGTGCCCATATTTGCAATACCTGTTTTTATTCGTTTGGTTGATCAATTGGAATTAACATCAACACATAAGTTACCTAAAGTTACTTATCGTAAACAAGGATTTGATCCACAATCAATAAAAGATCCATTATATTTTTTTGATTCAAAAAATTTTCAATACATTCCATTGGATCAACAATTATATCAACAAATTATTGATAACACAATTCGAATCTAAATCAAACCAAACAAACAAACAACAAAATCCTGCCAATCTGTGATACGTTTGTGTCAATCAAAGTGTGTTCGTGTGTTCCATATCCCAATGTAATTTTAACATAATTTTAATTGAATTAAACATATTTCACATCTGTTTTTTGGTGTATAGTTTTTATTTTAACATTTATAAAGACCGGGAAACCAATAAATTGTTGATCTACCGGATCCAGGTTGATCCAACCAAACAATAGCATCCATTGTTAAATCAGTTAGGGCTTTTTCCGATCGATTTCGTTGCCAACCAAGTTTATCCATTAAATCTTTTACCGTAACGTGTCCATTATTTTCTTGTGCTAATTTGACAACTTCATTTTGATCCATATTTAATTCACTTGATAATGATTGTACTACATAGGTATTTGAACATTTAACCAATTGTATTCCAGTACCTAATGTTGACATTTTTTCAATTGCTTTCAGAACATCTTCTTGAATAATATCGGCATCAGATTTACTTGTTACACTTCGAGTTCGTAACAAACGTTTATATAATTCATCAATTTCCATCATACCACCAGTTCGATGATTTAAAGCAACACAAATTTCAATTATCTGTACGGCCAATTCATAATAAATATCACCAACACCAAGCATTTTGGTAAAAAAATTCGTACTCGAATACAGTGGATCGACACCAATATTGGCACACATTTTCTGAAATGCACGACGAAAATTGGCATCTTTTTTAATATCTTTTTTATGATTAACAGCAAAATCCTGAAGTTTACCACGAAATGTTTCAAATTGTTGTGATAATTTTTCCAATTGTTCTTTAGCAATTGTTGCACTCATTTCCTGATATTTGGCATCGATTTTTTGTTGCCGATGAATGGCTCCGACTCCTAAACCTCGTCGTCTCATGATTTATTGATTGAACAAAAAAATTGAAATGAATTTGAATCAACAAAATGATCGGATTTATTTTTCAAAGCAAATTCAACAGCTGATTCTAATAAGACAGAGCGCAAAGCGACATCTAGTGTTGCGAATTTTCTCATTAAAAAATTTATTTAATTATTTGAAATTAGAAAAAATTAATCGACCATCATTCAATTTATATATGTAAAATAATCATGATAGAATGACAAAAATGATCAAAACTTGATTTAAGATTCCTTCACAGCATTTGGAATTAGAATGTTTTTTTCTGAACAATTCTTAAACCTTCTTCATCATATTCTTTTCTTGAGATCCACATTCGTTTGAATGATTCTAGACTGGCCAAAATTGAACCACCGATCCATGTTGAATATAAACGTTCTTGTGGTGCACTAATACGAATTTTTAAATCTTTTGGACCAATCTTTCTTACTTCATTCAGTAAACGATCACCAAATCCTTTGAATAATGTACTACCACCGCTTAAAACAATATTTTGATAGAAAATTTTTCGCAAATCTATATCAGCTTTTTCGATACTTGATATAAGAATTTCATGTACACCTTCAAACTCATGTCCAATAATATTGGGTCGAAATAGAATTTCCGGCGCTTTAAGTCTTGGTAATACACCAATTTCTACTGTACGACCATCCGGTAAAACATATGAAGTATTTTCTAATTCACCCGTACCTGTAGTGGATACTGTTCGATCATCATAGGTACGTTGTTGATTACTGGTTAGAAAGCAGATTTTCTCTTTAATTGTTTTGACAACTTCAAATTCAGCCGTCGTATTAAAAACAAGACCTTCTTTACGTAATAATAATTTCAGATGTCGTGTTACATCACGACCTGCAACATCGGATCTTGTTATCGAAAGTGGTAAAGCGAATCCTTCATAAATAGGCACTGCTTGTGTAACACCATCACCAGAATCGAGAACAATACCCGTAGTTCGTCCAGTTGCATATAAACTTAACACTGCTTGTATCGATATAAACAATGCTGGTACATTGAATGTTTCGAAAAAAATTTCCGCTGTTCGTTCACGATTTTGTCTTGGATTGATTGGTGCCTCTATTTTTGCACATTTCAAACAGAATCAAATCAGAATAAGGCGATAAAACAATCGAAACAAAACAAACCTGTCAATAAAACTGGATGTTCTTCCGAAAACGTTTGTAACTGTTCTTTTGAATAAATATAATGCCATATTTTTTCCATTTCATTCCAATCGGTAACAATACCATGTTCCATTGGATATTTTATCGATAATAAACCACGATGTTCTTCGGCTCGTCTTCCTGAAAATATCATCGAAAAAAATGTTTCAATTTTGATTACAGAAAAAAAAATATCAACAACAAAGTTTACCAATAAAAAAATCACCCTCAAGTGCACCGGCCATTACACGAATATGTTTTGGACGACCAACCAGATTAAGAAATATACATTTAGGAATTGAATCACCAGCAAAACCGGCCTTAATGACACCTATTTCCAAATTCAATATAATTTATCAATGAAAAAAACAAAATTCAAATTCACACCTGATCCATTATCAATGACAACCGGTTGATTAACCATCATAGGTAGATCCATTTTTGTTGTTGTTTTTGATTGATTTTTTTATATTAAAAATAAATTTTTGATTATATTGATGATCAAAATTGTTAAATTTTTCTCTAATGAAACAAGCTGAATTTTTTAATTATAAATAATCAATTCAAAGGAATTTAGCACCATAACAAGATATTGACGAAATAAAAAGTTATTTACAATCTTCAATCTGGATATATTTTAAAAAAACTATAACATTCTTGAATTGAGCATTAATTTGGTTTTGTCAAAAATGAATCCAAATGATGATAATCAATCAATCAATGGAAAGGAATCAAAGAATCGTTTCGAATCAACAATTCAATTGAATCATCAGGGAACAAAACTCTCGGCCAAAAATATATTGATTACAAAAAACCGAACCCCACTATTGGTCGAATATTTAAACCCGAATGGATTTGATTAGGGTTAAAATAGTTCATTCACAAATAATAATAATGATGATGATAGTCGGGAATATCACAGTGGTTGCCGTTGGATATTTCTATTTTATTTCGGTAGTGGATCATTGGCAGTAGCAGCAATTTCTTGGAATTGATACATTGGATGGATACATTTGTGTAATGCTATGTGAGTATGTAAAGGATCTTCACAATTTGTATTTGTTCGCCCATAACCTATATTTTTCATTTTATAACGGCCACCACACACATTATAATCATAATCAAAATCGGACACCTGTTCGCAAGATTTTCGATGCTGTTTTTTGTTTTGTTTTTTTGTTGTAATTAGTTAGTTTTGTTTTGCATAATATTTTTAGATGTTTGAATTATGAAAATGTTTGCATCATCATTTGGTCGTTATTCACATGCAATTGTTGCCCGTGTTCCGGATAATTTTTGTGAAACACCCTCAAGTCTTCAACAAGCACGACAAGAACATGAACATTTTACTAAATTATTACGTTCATTAGGTTTGGATGTTATTGAATTACCTGCCGATCCACAATTACCGCATAGTGTTTATGTTGAAGATACTGCATTCACTGTTAATGGTACGGCATTGATTTGTCGTCCCGGTCATCCTTCACGAATCAAAGAGGTAATGTTTGGATGTTTTGAAAACAAACAAAAACTTAATCAATCAAATTGATCCAGGTCGATACTATACGATCAATTCTAAGTAAAGAGCTTAATCTACCGATGATCGAAATAACCGATCCCAAAGCCAAATTAGATGGTGGTGATATTCTATTCACTGGTCGTGAAATATTTGTCGGTGTTTCACAACGTACTAATCTTAGTGGTGCATTGGCAGTTGCATCAGCATTTCCTGAATTCTATGTAACACCAATCAATGTTCCACGTAAAGTTCTTCATTTAAAATCCTGTGTATCAATGGCTGGTCCAGATATTCTTGCGGTTAGTTCTACGCTAGAAGCACAGGAAATTTTACGTGTAAGTTTTGTTTATTCTTGGAAATGATTTTGTTTGATGAATGAATTTTATCCAAATGGTAGCGTATTGCTTCTGAAGCATCATTTCCATATACAACAATTACTGTCAATGATAATGAATCTGCCAACGTTCTTTATATAAATGGAACATTAAGTAAGTGTATATTTCGAATCGATCATCACTTTCATTGATTTACAATTTTCAATTATCGTCTAGTTCATCGTTCAGAATTTCCACAAAGTGTTGCAATATTTGAAAATAAAGTCGATTATAAACGTACCGAAACATCAGTATTTGAATTATGTAAATCACAAGGTACATTAAGTTCATTATGTATTTTGGTTAAAAAAAGTCGTCCCCATCATACAGTTGTTTGATTCGAGATTCAATCAATCGATAATATTCGCAACAACAAATCGCATTTCCAAATTCAATTTTCAATTTCCAAAAATGAAAAACAAATCAAGTATTAATCAAGTAAACATTCCCCCTCCCCACTATCTAAATTTTTAAAAAAGTATTCCATCTCTATCTTATTAACCCTTTGATGATCAAACGAAATTGAAAAAAGCCCATAAAATATAAATTGTTTATTTAAAAAATGATTTTACAATTTTATTACAATGAATTATTATTATTATATAATTAATAAAATGTTTGTATTTTTTTTTGTTCGTGTTAAGTGTGTGTGTTCAGTAAATCAAACTTTCGTATTATCACCATTATAATCAGGTAATGTCCATATAATAGCCGAACGATCAGCACTTGTTGTTATAAATGAAAATTCATTCGGATGCCAACGACATTGTATAACTTTATCATCATGATTAGCAACTTGTATACTTTGTAATGGTTGTGTTAGATCACCTTGTAGATCAGTCAATACGATTCGATTATCATAACCACCAGTTAGTAGATAATATGCTTGATTACTAAAACGAATGGTACGAATATCCGAATGATGTGGATGAAATGTTTGTATAACTCTACCACCGCGAATATCATAAAGCATACAAGTAGAATCTTCATGACCAGATACTAGTAGTTTACCGGATGGATCGACACAAACAGCCGCAACAGCACCACCGGGTTTTTGTCTTGAAATTGTTGGACATGTTACAAAATTTATACAGCTATTTGTACGTAGATCCCAAAATCGTATAGTACGATCTTGGGATCCAGAAACAAACATAGCACCACCCCATGTATATAATGATAAAATCGGACCAGAATGACCAGAAAGACTTAAAAAAGTTTGACCAGTTTCACAATCAGTAATATAAACTTTACAATCACCCGAACCACCGGATAAAAGTAGACTTGAACCATTTGTTAAATCATCCATAAAACAAAGATCCCGTACAGTCCCATCATGTGTATTGATATTGATTTCATTAGTTACCGGTGATAATAAATCATCTGCATCTTGATTGAATGGTAATATTTTTACCATTTTATCATTCGAACCAGTTGCCAATAAATTTCCCAATTTATTCCATGTTAAACTGGTAAAATGAACCAAAAACAAGAAAAAAAAGTTAAAAAGATAAGCAACCAATCAACCAATGGTTACTAACCAATAAATAGATCCTTTATGATAATTATATCGTGCAAACAATTCAACCGGTTCAATCAATTGATCATTTGGAATGCTAAACATGAAACAAAAAATATTATGCAAATTACAAATAAATCAATCATAAATCAAAAAATCAAATCACTAACCTGTGATCTTCATTCGTTGCTGATTGAACATTGTCGGCAGAAGGTTTATAATGAAAAATTCTTAATAATTTTGAATTTGAACCAATCGCATAATAATGACCATTTGGATGAAATTCACCAGTTCTGATTGCTTGTTGATCACGAATTTTAATTTTTGGTTGAAAATTTATGATATTATCATCCGGTTGCTGTTGTGATGTATCGAATGATGAATCATGATGATGATGATTGTTGTTGTTGTTGAGTAGCAGTCGATGTTCCGAATTATTGGACAATGTTGATGATGAACGGATTCCATGCTGTGTGTATGGTTGGTTGATTGGTTTTTTGATTTGAATAAAAAAGAAGAAAAAATCATCGATTAAAATCATTTGCCAAAATTATTATTCATAAAAAAAATTTGGTTATTTTTAGCCATCATGATGAATGTTATATAATCAACAACAAAAACGAAACAAAATTGTTAGCCAAAGATTTTATATGAAAAACGAGATCAAGATAATGAATGAGATAATAGTAGTAAGTAAACCATAATCAATAAAAGTCAATAAATGTTATTCTGTGACAAGTGAAATATTAATTGAATGACAGTGTGTTGAAATTGGAAATTCAGATTAATCATCATCATTTTTTTTCATAAATAATAAACGAAAATATATCACACCTTTTTTCGCTTCACTCCAATGTTGTTGTGTAATCAGTGTGTGTGTGTGTGGTGTATTTCGAAAAAAATTGCAATTTTAAAGATGAAATTCGGGATGTAAACAAAAAAAGTATGTGATGATAATAATAATTTATGACAGTTATTTTTCTTTCTTTCTTTGCAAATCTCTTGATCATCACTAGACGAATACCAAATGGAAAAAAAAACAAAACAAGATAAATTACGATTCAAAAAACTAACTTTACGCTAGAAAAGTAAAACATTTTTTTTGTTTATTCATTGGCAACTTACAAACAATTTTGATTGGGAAAGATTATCCGGATAGAATGATTTACAATTAAGATATTCATTCATACTTTCATCCGATTCATTACCACCATCACTAATATCATCATTATTACCATAATCATCATCAAATAGACCTTTATTCTTTGTCTTCGTCGTTGATGATGGTATTGTTTTCAAACTACTACTATATTTATATGAAGAATAAGGTTCAAATTCTGGTTCTGAATCAGAATCATCATATGAAACACCTTTATGACCTTTGATTACCCGTGTTGTTGTTGAATAACCGGTTGATGTTGGATAATTATTATTATTATTTAAATCATTATCATATGATCCATAGGTTTTTCCTTGGCCATATCGATATTTACTATCTGTTGTTGCACCGCCATCCCCACCACTTTGATAACGATTACGTCTAGCCGATGCTGATGATGGTCGTTGAAGTGAATTATAACGATAATTATCACCACCATGGCCACCACCACCACCGTTTAAAGAACCGGAATCATCAACATCTTCTTCCAAAAAACTAGTATCATGTGCACCAAGACTTTTATTCAATGCATTAAAATAATCATCATCTATTTTTAGATTTGATGTTGATGATGATCGTGATAGCGATGAATTTGAACGATACATCATTGGTGATTTTGAACGTAATTTGGATGATGGACGTGATAAGGATTTTGTTGTTGTAGAATATTTATCATAATTTGACCATCGATCACCAACAATACCACATGATCGATTCATTTTTACCAAAACAAAGATTTGCAAAAAACCAATGGAAAAAATAAACAGAGAAAAATTCACAATCAAAAAAACACACTTTAACACTTGGCTTCGACAAAATTTTATCCTCAACGAATTTCAAAGAATTTATATAGCATCGGAATGATGGTGATTTTACCTACACACACACACACCACTGGTTAGTTAGTTAAGAAGAAAAGTGAAAAGTATTAAAAAAAACCCTGAAATCAACAACAAGATGAAGAGGTAATAAGAACAGGTAAGAAAGAAGCTGAACAGGAAAGAAAGCTAAAAACATGAATATAAATAAAAAAAAACCAAGTTCAAGCAGCAAGCAAGTAACAGCAATAGTAATTAAATTTATTTTAAAAGTTTTTGCGTAGGTGACATTCCTATGCAATGAAATGGAAAAAATATTTTGCTTGTTTCCAGGTTTATATTTTTAGCCATCACTTTGTTGTTGTTGTTGGACAATTCTTTTCAATTGTTTTTTCGTTTCGTTTACGCCTTGTGGACACACACATAGCAAACACTTGACAAAATCATCATCATCATCATTCAAACCAAAATGGCTGACTATTTATCTTTATACCTAATTGAAAGTCAATTAAGCAAACACAAGTAGACATGATGCTTTCATAAGCAAACAAAACGAACGAAATGGAAAGTGTAAAGAAAAATGAAGGTGAAAAAAATGTTGAATTTTAAAGAAAAATTAACGTTTTCTTCAATTTAGTCAGGTAATTAAGAGAGAATACCTTTGGCTGATGTTGTTGTTGCTGTTGCTGTTGATGAAACAATCTTTCCACAATAGATTGCATTATTCGTTTAGAGATGTTATTCGAGATTTTAATTTGGGTCAATCAAATTACCAACAACAACCAAAAAACTCCATAAATAATAATAATCTGGCGTGTGTGTAAAAAGACAATAAATAAAGAGGCAACCAGAAATCAAAAATCAGAAAAAATCAAAATAAAAAATCCCATATGTTTTTTTGTTGCTCATTTTTCATTTGGCATTTTGATTTTTTTGATTGATTTGAACAAACATTTTAAAAACAAGGATGACAACCAAAAAAAAACTGTTGTTGTTTATCACACACACACAATGTCATCGATTTAAATCAATTTTATCATCATCAACATTTTGAAAATATACTGCACTAACGCTATGTTTACCGTTATTTAATTCATCCAATAAAAAGAATCGGGTACATATTAGACATTCATTAAGTTCAAATCAGTTTTTTCGTGAAATTTTTTTTCAAAAACAAACAAACAAACAGCCAAAAACACCTATACCTTCTTTTCGCTTTCATTTTTTTTTTGTTTTGCCCATAAAAAGCAATGGAATTCAGTCAATCATTCAAGTGAATCAAGCGTAGATACACTTGTTGTTTTATTTTCAATCGAAAATAAATAAAAATAAAGGGGGTAATCGGAAAGAAAATGGGGAAAACTACTTTTTATTCATGTGCCTACACGAATTTTCAAAAAACGAAACGAAAAAATATTTGGTAGGTAGGTAGATAGATAAACGTATTGTGTGTATTGATTTTTGATTTGTTCAATTATAATGGCGCCTGGATATTAGAAAAATGCACGGCCAACGCGCGCGCTTCAAACAATATCTGACCACCGCCATCATATTGCCATGTATGTAGATTTTCATTTTATTGTTGTTGCTTGATTCTTTCTTTCTGAAAGATTTCATTGCATTATGAAGAACAGGTTTTTCTTTATGAACCATAGAGAGGGTTATATGGTAGAAAATTAAGAAGAAATTTGTGAAAATCATTTGATTATCATGCTAAACCAGACTTGGTTCGATACCCTTTTCTTTCTTTCTGTCTTTTTTGGTGTGATGATTAGGGGATTCTCTTCACTCAGGATTGGATTCATTTGAAAACAAAAAAACAAAACCTGCAAACATCATTTCAGGCAGGTGGAAATCTTTTAACAAAATCAACGCTTTAACCTTGATTCAATATATATTTGAACACATTGGATATTCAATGAAGAAAAAAAGGGACAAATTTTTTTTCAAAACACAGAAAATAACCTCGAAACAACCACCACCACAAATGGCTACTTTCAAAAATCAATGATAGGGATTAACATTTTGTTTTCTGCTGATGATGGTAGCGTGGGTGATCTACTAATACATTCCAAAAAGATCCATTTGAAAAGCAAACATTACAAATTAATGCTAATTTCCATTGACTAAAATTTTTTTCGAAAAAAGTTTAACTCACATGACATGAACGTAATGAAAGTGCAGATTGACTTAACAAACGATTTAACGATGATGGTGATGATTGACAATTACGATCAAATTTTCTATTACTACTGTTGATCATTAGATTTAAATGTTCACGCATTGGACAAATACGAAAATGATGAATGAATGGTTGGGATAAATTCGGTGATGATATTGGTGATGGTGATGTCGATGTTGATGACCACATTATTGGTGATGGAATCGATGATGATATTGGTAATGATAATGATGATGACAAATTCGAATGATCATCATATCTTTTCGACGACGACATTATGCTACTTTGTTTGTTGACGACCGATGATGGTCGTGGATTATGAATTGGACAAAATGGTCGACGTGATGATGATGCGGCTGACATTTTTGATTCGATTTGATTTTTATCAAACAACAGAAAAAAATGGAATCAAAGTCGAATGTTAAATTCGGAATGAATGAAAAACAATTGTTTCACAACCAGAAAACAAAAATCAAATCTTATCAATTCAATAATGATAACGATGTTCTTATTATTTTTTGGCAAAACACAACAAAACTTTGAAAATGAAAATGTTTTCATGATTTTATATTCCATCAACCAACCAAACAAACAATCATTAAGTTCAAACTAACCAATCAATTCAAATGAATATAGAGAGAAAGAGGAGACAACAGAAAAAGAAGACATTTTCTACATATATTCCTGACCAAATGTTTTCATTCTTCTTCTTTTTTGTTTGAAAGATTCCATAATTAATAATATCAATAATAATGATGTTCATGGTCAACTTTTTTTTCAAACAATAATAACAATTGTCATTGTTATCATTATTATCATTCCACATGTGCGCATCCATAAAAAAATTAATAAAACAAACAGGTAGGTACGGTCATCAATATCATCATTCAAAATGATGATTCAAATGTCGTGCGTAACTTTCAATTTTATTAATGAAACAAAAAAATTGATTGTTCCATTGTTGTTCCGTTTGAATCATCATCATGAAATGAAGAAAAAATGGAAAGTCTCTTGATTCGACAAATGTTTGTTTGTTTTATGTACGAAAAAATCAATCAAATTCAATTCACGAATTTTGCATATGGGAAAAATTCAAAATTTCCAATTTCAAACCAGCCTTATCGATTTTTCTCCTTTTCTTTCTTTCTTTTGATAAGAATCGTGATTTTTTCCAATCAGACAGACTACCGAAATCAAATCAACCAAACAATATTCAATCGAATTGAATTGAAAATCAATAAAAATATAAAAATAACAACTATGTGTTGCATGTTTCACCTACCTCAATATGATGATTATTATTTAGATTTTTGCTACCTTTATTAACCAGTTTGCCAGTCGTCGTTAGTGATGCGGGCTTGTCATCATCATCATCATCATCGATGTTGTTATTGATATTAACAGTTTTCAAATTTTCATCATCATCAACAATTATCATATGGCCTTTGGCATTTATCGTTGAATGTTGTTTAGTTTCCGAATTATTATTACGATCAACATTAGACATGATCGTCTTGTTCGTAGTCGATTTTGCCGATGATGATCGTGCCAATTTATTCGATTCTTTTCGATATTTTTCGGCCAATGTTGTCGTTGTTGATGAATGTTTGATGCCCGTATTTTTATTAAATCTTTGCTGCTGATGCTGGTTATTATTTCGTATTGTAGTGGCGGCACCTTTTTCGTTTTCGATGATAATTTTTTTCTTCTTCGTTACTGATGCTGCTGCTGTTGTGGATGAATTCAATTTACTTTTTTGCCATATTTTTAGATATGAAGTAGCCATCAAGCCATCATCATCATTATCATTATCGTTATTCGTTTTATCATCATCCTGACCTTTCGGATTAAGCATCAAATTGATTGCTACTGCAGTTGTGGATGGTGCCTTCGATAATGGTAATAAATCAATTTGATCATCGATCGGTGTTGCTTTTTCACTGATTGTTGCCATTTGATGATTTTGATCATAGTAACCATTATTATCATCATCATCATCATGTTTTAATGTTTTGATCTTCAACGGTAAATCTTTATGATGATGTTTATTATCTTGAAATAATCGATCAATCGATCTGATCATCGATTCGGTATCGATTGTTTTCGATGGCTGTTCGATTGTATTGATTGGTTGTTTATTTGAAAATTTTTTCAAATGAAATCCTGTTTCCAATAATGTTGAACGAGTAAACCGTGCAATATCACAAACAGACATTGTCATCAAATCTTTTGTATTCGAATGATGCATTAGACTAGCTGTTAATGATTTGGACATTAGATCGGTTGCTTTTAACCGGGTATAAGGAACATCGATATGCGGAAAAATTTTCGGTTTTATCGGTGCGGAAAATATCATTTCCGACCATGATGCAATTAATTCCGGTTTTTCGTGTTTTGCTATTGAACAATGATTATGATTTTCGATTTTCGAATGTCGACCATCACCATCATCACTATCGATCATTTGATGTAGATATTCGATTGGAATTTTTGCGAAAAATTGATTCAAATTTAGCCATTTCCATTGATTATTATCACCATGATGGTTGATTCCATTGAATATATTTGGCTCGAATGTTTCAGATTGTTGTTGTTGCTGTAAACGTTTCATCACTGTATTCAAACATAATTCATACAGTAAACCTTTGAATATCAAATCCATAAGGCGATCATTTTTGGCAATTTGTTGTTGTTGTTGGTCATTGGATTTGCCCAAGTTACCATCATCATTATTTGATGATTGCATAAATCGTTCGACTAATGGTAAAATATCATTAAAACATTTTAAACGCCAACTATTTGGATTCCAATTCTTCAGTTCATTATCATCTTGCAGATTCGGTATGGTCAACAGTGAATTTAAATGATTATATTCATTACGATCATTATCATTTGTACAATATCGATTCAATCGATCTAAACAATCGATTATTTCCGGAATGGCAATTTCAATTGTTGTTTGATATGGTTGTCCTGCTTCCGATCGGATACATAATAATTCAATATATTTATGTTTGTAAATTATAAAATGAAAACGTTTTGTTGAAAATGATTCAAATGATTCCAGTGGTGATACAAATTCCAATACATCATTCCATTGACCATCCAGAATGAGTTGTCGTAAAAAGATTAAATCATCATTGAAATCGCAATTATAAACGCCAGTTTCACGTTCTAAATTCAATTGTGTTATACATAATTCACGATTCGATAGAAATTCAATGATCAAACGTATAGTATCTTCTTCACGAATACATAACATTTTTTCATCGTTTATTTCAATGTTAGATGATGGCCAGCAGACGATACCATAATGTTGGTGTTGTGATTATATTTATCATATGTAACACAGTGATCGCAATCAATCAACACTGAGAAAAAAGTCCAATTTGGATGCCGTAATAACGCCAACATTGATGTATGCACGCCTTCAAAAAAAGCATGTAAATGTGTTAGCGATTGGCGTGCAAACCTCAAAAAAATTGGCGTGTGCAAACCACACTTTTCTCTCAGTGAATCAATCGAGAACAAATACAAAATTCATGGCCAACGTTTGTGAAAATAATAATAACCGCAATAAAATCGAGAGAGAGAGAAAGAAAACAATATTGGGAAAAACCACCGGGGCCATTCAAAAAGTAGATGTTTCCCGAAATTCGGTTAATTTTTCTCGAAACAAAAAAAATGATCAATTTTTTTTGTAAAAATGTTTTTTATTTTTATCTCGAAACAAAAAATTACATATTTCATGAATTTAATAATAAAAAAAGAAAAGAAGAAATGCAAAAATGGAGAGCAATGTTTGTTTGTTTGTTAACTAAATAATGTTGAAAAAATCTTTTTTAGCGGGAAAAAATTCCCGTTGTTTTTTTATGGTGCACATTTTTATTTATGGTTAGTTATGTGATTTGTGTTGTTTAGCAAAATGAAATTAAATGAAATGAAAAATTAAAAAAATAAATTAAAAGCCAATCATGGTGTGTGAAATGGGTGGAAATAGAAATGAATTTGTAAATAGAAATAGACAAAAAAAAAGCGAAAAAAATTTACAAAAAAGCAATCAGAATTAAAAATGTTTAAAAAAGGAACGAAAGAAAAAATGCGACAAAAATAAGATGGAATGCCAATGGCAAATTGATTGGTTTGTTTGTATCCGACGATTTGATGGTTGTATGGTTAATCAATGTAAGCGGGTCTCAAAATTGTACTAAAAACGTAAAAAAAATTTTGGTTTTTTTCTTTTGTTGAAAACGAACGAACGATAAGTTTGTCAATTTTTCAAAGATTAAAATTTTGTTGTATTTTTGTTGGTTGATAAATGACTTGATGTGTGTGTGTGTTTAGGTTTAGACGAAAAAAAAACGATAGACAAGATGCCATTTGTTTGAATTATTCTGAAGCAGTCACTTCGGTTTTAGGTGCTTCACCACCATTTGATGCAGCAGAATCTTGTTTGTTAGCTGGTTGTTCAGGTGCTGCTGCTGCAGCAGCAGGTTCTTTTGACGCATCTTCAACTTTATCTTTAGCGGCATCACCACCAGCATTTTCTTTTGCTTGTTCATCCGATTTATCTTTGTTCGTTTCTTTTTTCTTATCTTTTTTTTCTTTCTTTTCCTTTTTCTTTTTTTCGTCCTAAAAACCAAACAAATTAGATTAAATCAGATTACCAAAATCGAATGCGATTTACCTTTACCTTTTTCTTTTTCGATTCTTCATCGGCGGCATTTTGTTGTTGTTCAGCGGCAGCTTGATCGGCTGGCACTTCTTTTTTCGGAAGATGAGTATTTAATTCTAATGAAGAGCACATTTCTTCCCAATCAGGCCAATAAGTTGTTTTCATACGATCCATCCAACCGATCAGATTCGATGATTCGGTTTCCATCCATTCTTTAAGACCAGCAAATGGTACATAGAAAAATTGGGCCAAATGTGCAAATGCAACACAATCAAGCTAATCATGATGGATAAAACATAAGAAAAACTTATTGATTTAATCAAACATTATAAACATACCAAATGTGCTTCTTTACCAAAGAAATATTCTTTATTACCAAGAAGATTGCTTAATGCTTTGATATCTTCTTTAGCCGATTCTTGAATCTCTTCCAATGTAAAACGTCCACGTCCCAAGCCTAGTGAATCACTGAGATGCTGTTTTGCAAAATCAAAAAAATTGAATAATCAAACACAGTCAATTCACAATCACATTAAAATCACAATTACCTTTTTGAATCCGAGTTTGAAAACAAAATTCAATATTGAATTGGGAAAGCGTGAATTGAATGTTCGCTTGATATCAAGTTGAGCGCTTTCAAGAAATTCTCGTGGATTATTGTAACGCCACCAACGAACAATCCTGTTTGTTCGAGAAGGAGGGAAAAGGGGGAATCACAAAGAAAATGACCAGAAAGAGAAAACAAATTTTTTAATTCATATTCATAAAAATCATTAGCATGTCAAAAAAATGATGATCTATATAAACCTAAAAGCCTACACCTTTTTTCATCATTCTTAAATTCATTTCATTTCATAATATTGGGCGCCTGTGCATCATATCAAATCAAATCACATCATGAGATTGATGATGCGCCATTCATGTTTTGCACATGTTTGAAATTTTTCTAGGGCGCAATTATACTATTATTCTGCTTTTGGGAGTGGTTCCCTCTCTATCCCTGTATTTCAATTGTCGCATGCTCCTACATTTACACACACACACACTAGACATATCACCTATCCAATTGGATGTCTAAAGAATTTATCCCAAAGAAAAAAAAGGAAAAAAACCACACAAAGCTAAATATTTGTTCAACATAATAAATTAACTGACCCGCCTACGTAATGTTGGAAAAATCTTAATCTTTTTTAAATTGAAAAAAATGACTAAATGACTGACAAGATTGAATCAGTTTGTTTTTCAATTAAACAATTTTACCAATAAAGGCAATCTTTAAAACATGACTTACCATCCAGTATGATTATTCAACATTGATACAAATGCATGGCTAGTTGTTTTTTGTTCTTCAGTTAGACCAAAATCTAATTCTTTATCAAAATATTTTGACAATTCTTTTATAATTGTATCCGAATCTTCAATCTCTTTGCCATTCAATTCTACAAATGGTAATTGTCCTTTCTTGGATTTAAAACGAAGTTTATGATCAACGTTCTACACATAGACAATAAGACAAAACAAAAAACCATATTAAGCATTTTTTAATCAAAAAATGCAAATAAAAAACAAAACTTACCTCATAACGAATGCCGGACATACGAAGCCAATTTTCAACTTTCAAACAACAGGCCGACAATGATGGAATTGTTGCCGATCGTGTGAATTGATACAAATAGACAACATCTTTTTCAAAATCTTTTTTATGTGCTGTAATAGCCGGTTTAAGTGTTTCAGTTTTTTTCGTCGGTGATGATGGTGTTGAATTATTTGTTTCATTTGCTGGTTGATCAGATTTTTTTGAATCGACCGTTTCGTTCATTGTTTCATCTTTTTGTCCTGCTTGTGGTTCAACCACTTTGGTTTCGTTTTCAGTAGTTGTCATTTTGTCGATTATCAAGTGACTTTTCTTTTAGACAATGATGATGATTTTTAATCCTGACAAAACCTGTAGATTTACTTTGAATAACCCACGTATTGTTTTCTATAAAGGAAAAAAGATATTGAGGAAAAAAAGAGAAAAAACATCGAATTAAAATGACAATTTTTCAAATATTGACAGCAAAAAAGTTATTGAACTTTTACTAAAAAAATATTTATCCTCAAACACAGCTCTATTTGGATAAAGGCATAAAAGATAAGTCTTTTGGAATGATAATGATGATAATGATCACCACATTAACAAACACACACGATCATTTTTATATGCTTACCAGCACAATATTATCAAATGATGTAACACAATCAAAATGAAAAAAATGGATGGATTATGGATATATATTTTTAACGGGCAAAATAATAAAAATTTTATCTATTTTTTTCGCCAACAACAAATGCCAATGATCTTTAGTTTTTTGATCGGATGTTGAGATTTTTTCAAAAAAAAAAATCAAAAAACCTCAAGATTTACTGCACACACACACGTAGGCAGAAGACAGCGCGAAATAAGGAATAAGATTTTCTTTTCCTTTGAAGCAAGATGGTGATAATGATGATGATGGCTATGGGGCTATGTACTCTTCTTATTCCACTATGCTACTCTCCTATTCACACACCGGACAAAAGACTAAAAATTCAAATCCTATCAAAATGAATCATTGTGTGTATGCTGTTAGCCAGTTTTTTTTGGTTATATTTCAAGAGCGGAGGGAGGTTGAAATTTCTCTGTTTTGCAACGCAATGCGGTATTTTTTTCCCATAAAAAACCTAGCAGCATTATTCAATGTAAAGAATATTGATAATGAAAAGGGCAAAAAAAATGTATATTCGGGTTGTTTCATCATCATCATCTCTGTTTCAAAAAAAAATTTCGTTGCCCTATCCCTATTTTCTATTCGATTCAATATGATGATGATGATGACGCATACCGAACTAGCAGCAGCTTTGGCTACCACCACCACCATTACCAACAACCATTATCGGCCAAAATGGCGGCAATTCGGGTATTAAAAAATGCAAATATTGTTGTTGGAAAAACCAACCAGACAACTCTGCTTTTCTCATTATTTAATGATGATCATGATCAATTGATGATCATCATGGATATAGAGAGAGAGAGAGATTCCCAGTGGATATTTTTTTGGTGGCCATATGGGCGAGGTACTCACACAGCACATATCGTATCGGTGACACACACACAGCGCAAATGGGAGTCAAATGAACAAAATTAAAAAATAAAAAACGCCAAAATAGCCGCGCGCGCCGTCATTATCATCATCATTGGAGTCTACGAACTCTGCGATCTTTTGGTTATATAATCAAACATTGTCGTCAAGTCAAGTTTTTTATTTGGAGGCCACGAGTTTTTTTTTTGATTAAATCAACATTGAAAAATTGGAAAATCGGGAAACAAAAAACTTACCAAACAAATGAACAAATATTTTTTCTGAATTATTTTTGTAAAAATTTTATTCAACTAAGGATATTTTTTTCAAATGAAGATACACCAATAAACAAAGCACATGAACGAATAAAAGCCGGTCAATGTTGTGGTCAAGAAAAATAATAATTTTTTTTAATGATGATAATTCTTGATGATAATAATGTTGATAATGTTGTCAAAACCGTTGATGATAATGATGATCACAATATTTTGGAAATTTTTTTTTGCTAATAAAAACACAAAACACGGCAATTAAGCCGAAAAGTTTTTAAATTTTGATTTTCAAGAAATTTAAAAAAAAAATTTGTCAAATCAATACCAAAATCAGAAACAAAATCAAAAAATCGAATGAACGAATGACTAAAAGAGAGCTTGCGAATGTGATTTTTTTCAAAACTTTTCTCTTTATATTTTCTCTCTCTCTCTCTCCGGTCGTCGTCTTTTTCTCTCACTCACTTTGCTATATGACTCACCCTCTTATCACCACTACCACCACTTACTCATATGCTTCTGGTCTTATTATTCTCTCTTCCTCTCGGGTTACCAACAAATCGCAAGCGCGGCTATTTTTCAATTCGGTTTTTTTTTTTTGGTTTTTTGGTTGTCCGCGGTGTTTAAATAGGTAGTGGTAGTGATTATCGTGGACGATGGTATGGATGGATGGACCACACTATCACCATCTCGATATCAATCTTTCCAATAAGGCTAATAATCACTTTGGTTGTTGGCAGGCGTAGCCTTTTTTTTGATCCCCCTTTTTAGTTATATATGAAATTCTTGCCCTCCAATTTTGTTACCCCCTTTATATTTACTCTCTCAATATGAAATTGGGTGGTCATCAAACAACGAATCACAAATGACAAAAAAATTATTCAAATGTAACATACTCGGATCATTGCATGACAGCGCCACCATGATTCGAAATTGGGCGTAATTTTTTATTTCCATAAAAAACAAGTGTCCATTTTTGAATTGAGAATGTTTAATGGATTGGATTGGGTTATCTAATGGCAAAGAACCACCCAATGAAGAAATTGATCCTGAATCATCCTATATTTCAGGTAATGAAATCTAATAAAAATTTCCATCAAAACAAGAAACATCTTGAAAAACGAAAGAAAATCATTAACCAATGTTGTTGATCACTTGATGATTCATCATTCATCATTCTTTCGATTCGAAAAGTGAATTTAAAAAAAATTGAAAAAAATAAGTGGCAATCATGGATCATCCAACTATTAATCTAAACGCATTGAAACACACACAGATACAAAAAAAGCACGCGCCCATTTTTTCACAATGAAATTTATAACAGAAAAAATCTCTCTCTCTCCACGATGTTCAGTTATTTTATTTTTCTTTGAATGCATATTGAGCACATTGCACTCTATTGTTTTTCTACTCTTTTTTTTTGAATTGCTCATTTACACACACACACCATATACCGAATTTGATAATGATCATCTCTATTTAATATCATTTCCGTTACCCTGTATGTTTTTTCATTGATTGTTACACTTCTCTCAGTTACTTATTGCCTGCTTGCTATACTCTCTCTCTGAAATGAAATGAATGAATCATACTCATCCTATATACGCTTGGTTGAATATAGAATAGAGTGTATATATTGCACCATATTTGAAACACATTAAACGAACCCTACCCAAATATAAAAATTATATATTTTTTTTCACAAATTATTCTGAATATTTGATTTTGGATAAGTGGCGCCATCCGCTTAAACCATAGAATTTAAAAAAAAAACGATTAACTTTTTTTATAAAAAAAAATGAAATCCATCTCTGTTTTAATCGATTGATTGATTGATTACATCATGATGATTATAGCAGATGTTGTTGTTGATTTGTAACCAAGGAAAATAAAAAATTTAAAGAATTTCTTTTACAAATCAACAAAATAAAAAATTCAATCAATCAATTAAATCACCCGTATCCATAGTAAAAGTTTCCGGTCCTGACAAAGATAATGAAAATCCTAAAAATAAAATAATAATAATATTCGATTGAAAACGATAACAAAATGATAATTAAAAAATGAACTGATTTTTCAATGAAAAGAAGAGGCTCCCTAAATTTGTTTATCTCGGTTTTTTACTGTTTTTCTTCTCAATATTGAAATAGTGACAGAGAAATGAGTGTAATGCATCATCAGTGATCATCACATCATCATTGATCAAACACCCAAACAAACAAACAAACTTGATTTTGTTTGTTTGTTTGTCAATGTAAGTTAAGTTAAGGAAAAAAATGTTTTTTTGTAACTAAGAAAAAATAAAAACAAATTTCAACAAAAACTTGTTGATAATGATAATAATAATGCAAGATTGACTTACTTACTTGCTTTGACTTTACTCACTTGGGTAACCATTCGAAAATTAAGACGCATCAACGAAAAACGAAGAAAGAGAGAGAACGAAGGGGAGATCCTCTCTTTATCCAATTTCAGTGTTATTGGTTTGCTGTTGTTGTTGATTTGATTTGATATTTTTGCATATTTCGATTTGTGTGAATGTTATTTTTTTTCGAATGCAGTAGCTTATGGTGATGATGATTTTTTTTATGATTTGAATCGCGAAATGTACCGAATCAAAAAAAAACAGGGAGGTTATTTTTAATCGTTTGTTGTTGTTTATGGTTGATCTGGATCGTGTTCACGAGTGTTGATTCGATGATTTGATTTGATTCGAGTATTCAGTTTCTCGATATTATTGATTCGATATTGATTTATATTTGATAATGATCAAATAGAAAAACATTGTTGTTGTTTTTTATATATACAGTGTTTACATTTTTGATTATCGATCAAATCTGAACGACAACCAAACAAACCAAACAAACAAAAAACAACAAATCATTTTCGAATGTTTCGAAACGTTCGAATATTCGAATGTTTGGAAAAGGGCAATGGCAAACGATGAGATTCGATAACGATGATATTTTTGATAATTTTTTTTCTAAATTTACAAATCAAAAAAAAAAAATATCCAAATCTGTCGATTGACATTTGAGATTTGGATTTTTTTTTGTCTTGATTTGGCCAAAAATTCCTTTTCACCATGATAATCGTGTGACATTGACAAATTACCAATCACAAAATTGATAAGAAAAAAATCGAATCAAAATGAAAACAAGGAGTGAGCACACAACCGATGAAAAAGGAAATCATGATTATTAGATCATAATTAAACAATCGATTGTCGATTAATCGATTGTGACAAGTTTCAACAAAAAAAAAAATATGCTCATTTCGAATGTTTTTTCCCATTTGATGAACTAGTTTTTTTTCAAAAAGCTGTCTCAATTTATTTCCCAAGTTAAAGGGTTTTTTTTCAAATCAAAAAATTTTTTATTATCATGGTTGCTATACCATCTAGGTCATAAAAAAAACATAGATGATTATCGTCGTCGTCGTTCTATTCAAACAAACGAAACAAACAAGGTTAGATCTTTGAAACGAGGAAAACCACCATCAATAAAACGATGAATGAATAAAGATCATTTCAACGATTTACAAATGACATTATCATAATAATAATTTGACCATTTTCGGTGAAAAATATAGACGAAATCATCCTCGAAAATCATAAAGATGATAATAATGTTGTAATGTTTTATGTTTGGCAAAGAAATTATGATGACATAATCATCATCACCATCATCAAAATTACCAAATAGAAAAAACGACATCATCACCACACTTAAGACTTTTTTCTAAAGTGTCTTAATTAATGACAGTTTTGTTTTGTTTCCTATATTGGTGATGCTTGTTTGTTTGTTGTTGTTGTTGACAACAAACCATTATTATGATTATCTTGTGATTTTTAACACACTACCATCATTAACAACACTAACAACGTCTTACGACACTTGAATAAACAAAATACATACACACAAAGAGAAAGACATAAAAATAAGATTTTTTCCATTTGTGGCATCTTCTTGTTTTCTTGTGTTGGTAATTGCATCGATTGTGTAATCATCAAGGTAATAGAAAAGTCTATAGGAAATATAATGATTGTCAATAATAACATTTGATTAATTGTAATTAGATCAAATGGATGCAATCAATCAATTAATTTTATTGATTGATTTCATTCGATTTCCGATCAAAATGAAACAATAACAACAACAACAACAAAATTCTATATCTTATCAGTCATGAAAGAATGTCGTGTTTGTCAAATGCCAAACAAACCAAATTAACAACAACAAATCAAACCGAAAAAAGCATAAAAATCCAATTCGATAATCGATCAAATATTGATTTTCTTCCCTTTAGTTAGTTAAACATAAACATTCCAATAAACATAACACACACACACCTGAAAACCTAATGTTATGAAATGCTAAACTTCCTTGATTCGTAATCATAATGATGATGATAATGTCAACATCGACAAACAACAACCAACCAACCAACCAGATCGATTAGCGAGAAAAAATTGATTAATAATCCAATCAAATCAAATTGATCAAATGTTTGGCAAAATCAAATCAAATCAATCAATTAACCGGTTAGTTAATTTGTTTTGCAAAATTTGTTTTCACATTCCATTTCCGTTTGTTTAGGGATTTTTTTTTCAGTTTTCCTAAATGATGATGATCAACCAAATCAACATCAAAACAAAATCAAAATCGGATCGCTAAAAAGCCAAAAACAGAAATGATGATGAAAAAATCGGAAATAAGTACTTGACAGCCATCATCGACATCGTCGTTGTCATCATCATCATTATCAAATGAAAAAACCAGGAAAGAAAAAAAAAACATTTTGAGCGGAAATACACACAGAGAAATGAAAAACTTGATGATTTTTGATTGAATTTAATTGATTGATTTTTTTTTTTTGGCTGGTAAACACCCAACCCAACCTAACCTAACCTAAATATATTGTTGGTTTTGGTTTGTTTTCAATGATTTCCATTTTTCCGCCAAAGGAATATTATAGCCATTTTTTTCGCTCAAAAAATTTCGAATCCATTTGCGAAATAAAAAATGAAAAAAATCTTATCATTTTTTCAATGAACGAATCGAAAGGATTTTGATTTTTATCAATTTGAAGATTTTTTGTTGTTTGTTTTTCGGGAAATTTGATATATTTTGGCTGCCATTTTTTTTCGTTCGTTGGCTGGCTGGCTATTATAATCATCATTAAGGATGATGATGATTAAAAGTTTAAGAAAAGAAAAAAGTAAATTATCAATGGTGATGATGATGAAGAATAAAATAAACAAAACCAGAAAAAAACGTTCGACCGAAAGATAGGCGAAGAAATTAACGACGCATCGAGTCAAATTCAAACAAACAAATAAAAAAAACTTGAATTTGATAATGTCCCTGGTTTCTTTAATTTTTTGACCGTAATTTTTGTTTGTAAAATTGTGACCAAATTTTGATTAATTGTCAAATTCATTGATCACAGAGGTGACACCAAGAAGAAAGAAACAAGAAAAAAAACTTATAAAAACTTATTGATTTTGGCGAAAAAGAAAAAAAATTTCTTCATTTATTGTCGGTTAGCTTTTTGTTGTTTGGTTTTTTTGAAAAATTGTTTCCCACACATCTCTTATAAATAAAAGTATTTGCATATTTCGGTTTTATAATTTTTTTCCAAGTTTTATCAACGTGATTAATTATAATTAATCATTATTACAAAAAAAATCACCTTTTTAAAAATGATGGTGATAAAGTTATCAATCGGGATATTATTATCATTGTCGTTAATAGAATTAAGTAAGCCCATAATGTTTTTGTTTTATCACTGAAATTCGATTAATCTGATAATCTCCATTATTATTTTGTTTGCCGAAAACATAGGTTCATCATCATCCGATGCAATAGCATGTCATGATTCATTTTTTGATTGTGGTAATGGAAAATGTATAGCACCATTATTTATTTGTGATGGTGATAATGATTGTGGTAATTATCATGATGAATTATCATGTAATTCGGTTGAAAATATTACTAATGCTAATGCTGTACAACAACATTTACCATGTCCATCACATGAATTTGCATGTAACGATGCGGTTGGTAATTGTATACCACAACGTTGGGTTTGTGATGGTCAAAGTGAATGTTCGAATAATGCTGATGAAGCTAATTGTACAGCAAAAAATCCATTGATTGATTGTCGTGGTGATTTTCGATGCGTCACATCTTTCGAATGTATACCACCAAAATGGGTTTGTGATGGTGTTAATGATTGTATGGATCATTCGGATGAATCAAATTGTTCCCAGATCCATGATCCAAATGAAGATATGATATGTGATAAATTACATGATCGTTATCGTTGTCAATCTAATGGTCTATGTATTGCATATGAATTGGTTTGTGATGGTAAACCAGATTGCCCCGATGGTGATGATGAACAACAAAATTGTCATGCAAAAAAATGTCAAGATAAAAAATGTTCACATCAATGTTTGATTGATGAACATACCCAACAACCAAAATGCTCGTGTCCACCTGGTTTTGAATTACAAAATGATGGTCATCAATGTAAAGATTTTGATGAATGTTCACAACAAAAACAATTGAATCTTTGTAGTCAACTTTGTATTAATCTCCTTGGTAATTATCGATGTGACTGTTTTGACGATTATCATCTGATTGATAACCGAACATGTGTGGCTAATGGTAAACAATCACCAATATTATATTTTTCCACTGGTAATGATATACATGGTTATGATTTACGTAATAAAATAATATTTCCCGTTATAACATTGAATGAATATGATCCATCAACAATAATCGATCTGGAACTATCGATTAGTGATGGACGATTATATTATTCTGTATTTCATAATGAATCATTATTTTCATCCGTTTATGAAATACCAATTGATGGTCGTGTTCAAGAATATCCTGTATCCAGTGAACAAAACCGACGTCTTTTTCATGATATTAAAAGTCAAATTGAAGGTATTTCGTTGGATTGGTTGGCAAATAATCTTTATATGACTGAAGCAAATCGTGAACGTATTGTTGTTTGTAATACTCAAACATTAATTTGTTCAACATTGATTGAAAATCTACCATCACCACGTGGAATTGTTGTTGTACGTTCTCGGTATCGTTTATATTGGACACAATGGCATGATCGTCAAGGTGGTATTTATGAATCATTGCTTGATGGAACGGAACAAACAAGATTATTTACCGATGTTCAATGGCCAAATGATATTGTTTATGACCAGGAAATGAATCGTCTGTATTGGTGTGATGGTAAAACCGGTTCAATTGAATATTATGATTTCGATATTGAAACGCGTCGTATTGTACACGAAGATTTTATTCGTCAACCATATTCAATGATCGTATTTGAAGATCAACTTTATTGGACTGATTGGATTGCAAAGAAATTATTTGGATGTCAAAAAATTCATTGCCATGAACAATCGAACATCTTTCAACCAACCATAAGTAAACGACGAGGTTTATATGGTATGACTTTATATCATCCATTACGTCAACCACCATTATCATCATCATCGTCGATGGCTAAATCTGACCCATGTCTTCATCATCGTCATAATCCTTGTTCGCATATTTGTCTAAGTCGTACAAATGAAACATTTACCTGCCGTTGTCCAGATCACATGTACTTGTCAAATGATAATCGAACATGTATGAGTCGTTCGGATAATTTTCTCATCATTAATACTGGATCACGTTTATATAAATTTTATCCAGATTCCGTTGATAATGAACCATTCGAACTGATTCCAATGATACCATCTGTATTTTTAATCAATGATTTGGCTTATAATTATGAAATATCCGAATTTTATCTATATGATCGTTTACGTGATCGTATTGTTCGTGCCCGAATGGAACCGGAATTTATTTATCATACTATGGTTGATGATGATCTGAGTGGTGTTTTCGGTTTAACATTCGAAATAAATAGCAATAATCTTTATTGGGTTGATATGATCAAAGGATCGATGGAAGTGGTTAGCATTCAAAAAGGTTATCGTGCAATTTTGAATGATAAACTTGATCAACCAGTATCGATGGCCATTAATGCATTGACCAAAACAATTTATGTTGGTCTTAAATCAAAAAATGCACAAATTTTAATGTTAACTATGGATGGTCAATTCGTACGAAGTCTGTTACGTTCGAAACAAGGTTTTCCATTTGCATTATTGGTTTATCCATTCAAAGAACAACTGATTTTGGGTGATCCTGTACTGGAAAGAATCGATATTATCGAACTTGACCATCACCATCACGGCCATCAACAAAGTCATTTGGAACCGAAAAAATTTCTTGAAAATCATGTCAACACTGTACAATCGATGGCTCTTCTTAATTCCACCCTTTATTGGACTAATGCTGAATCACCACGTTTATATTGGACTGATCTTCAATCATCATCAACATCAACAACGAACAAACGAATTGAATCAAAAAAATTACCATATTCAAATGTAAATAATGATGAACTCAAAGTTATTTCGGGTTTTAAACATACTAAACTTTATGATTATTGTCGTACTGATGATGGCGGTATGAATAATTCTTGTCATCATATTTGTCTCATCGGAAGAACGGGTCCAATTTGTCAATGTAATCGTGGTTTTGATAGCCAAGATAATGGTCATACTTGTCATCGAAATCATTCATTGGATTCTAAAATTACCAAACCCGTTGTTCATGTTATCAATTTGGAAGATATTTTTGATTTTATTATTTCCAAACAAAAAGATAGTATTTTTGATCAATGGATTGATTCGGATACAAATTCAACAACGACAAACACAACGACCCCGACCAATGATCAAAAATCAGCTGAAGAATCACAAAGCGAACAACAATCATCATCGAATGATTCGCCAACATTTTTGCAACGAAATTCTCCATATCTTTGGTTCATAGCTTTATGTATGGTTACTGTTTCCATTTTGCTTTGTGTTAAATTGTAAGTAATGTTTTTTTGTTTGTTTTCTTTGAATAACTTTTTGGTTCTTTTCCACCATTATCATATAGAAATGTACTACCGGTTCCCCGAATAAATTCTCTGGTCAATCTAGTCGTTCATCGTCAACAACAACAACACCGACAAACACTCGATACAATCGATGATGATGATGAAGAAAGTAATAAAAATTCCGTTCGTTCCGGTCAAGTTCGTTTTTTTTCCAATCCAAATTATCAATTAGATCATCATGGTAATCTAAAGAATAACAACAACAATAATATGGATAATGATTTATTAATATCATGATAATCATGTTGAAATTATCTTCTTTTTTTAAATAATTATCTTTGTTATAAATTTTTCATATTCATTAAATCCGATTATATTTGTCAATAATAAAAATAAAGTTTTTAAAATACGTTCTTTATGAATTGATTGTTTATCACGTGTATCACATGTTTGAAATTGATAATTTGTGGCCGCAATCATGTTTTTGATTACCCGAATGTTTGTCAACAATTTACCACGACAACGACGATCATTGATGATAATAAGAACTTTAACTAGCAATAATAAAAATTCCGAAATATTCAGCCGTATTGATTTGGAAGCAAATTCCATTCAAACGATTCGATTTGAATTGACAAAAAATTTAAAAATTTCCAATGAAAAAGCCAATTTGATTCTGTTGAAATGGCTGAATGATTCAAGTGTTGATCGTAATCAACAACAATTAAATGATAAAATTAATTTATTACGATCAAATTTCGATATCGATGATATTGATCATAATATTCAACTATTGAATATTTCGATGGAAAAAATTCAAAGTAAAATAAATATTCTAAATGAATTGGCATTCAAACAACCTGAAATATCAATGTTATATGCATTACCAAATCTGATGAACAAAAATATCGAACAACTAAAATCCATTGGTTATTATGACGAAAATTTAGATCTCCTCGGATATATTGTCCAACAACTTCGATCAACAAACGTAGATCAACATTCATTTTCCTATGATAAATTTGAACAAAAACTTCGTAATGAATATAAAAATAATTCTCAAATCATTCTTAAAGATTTACGTCGAACAATAATATCATTGATATTAAGACAAATTCTGGATTGTTCCAGACAAGTTGCACAACATTTAATCGATGATCAAGATAATGATTCATTGGATAATCATTTAGATCGTATTAGTCTGCGAAAATTGCTTGAAAATTTAAATATCCTTAAAAATCAACTAAATTTACCGGTAAATTTTATGGTCAAACATTTTCATATGTTATGTAATTGTGATACGGCCAATTTGGCTAAACTAGCTACAATCAATCATTTTCATCACTCAATTGACAATGATTCAAATGATTTACGTTTGGCATTTTTTTGTCGTAAACGTTTGGTAAATTTGGATGCCAAATTGATTGAAGAACGAATGAATATTTTACTGAAAAACTATGGCTGCACCATACAACAATTAACCTGTAACGTGTTAATTTTGGAATTATCAACCGATAAAATAAGGGAAAATTTTGAAAAATTTAAAAAACAACCCGAATTACAATCCTATTCGGATAGTCGTGATCTATTACGTATCATTTTGAATATTGATATTGCCATACGAAATATCGAATTATTAAAAGAAAAAGGAATGCAAACTCGATACGTTTCCCTGCATAACTTGCTGAAACCAAGTAATCGTTTTTCAACAATGCTGGCGAATAATAATTTCAAATTAACCTTGAATACATTTGTTCAAATGCATTTTGGTATAACATTAAAAGAGATCAAAAATCGTATTGGAAAATTTCAATCATCAAAAACAACACGTTCATTAAATTCGGTGAATGCTGAAAATATTGTAAATTTTTTTCGTGAACAAGGTCTTTCAGATGATCAAATTATTAATGGAATTTATTTAGTTTTTTTGGATTTTAATCTCATTCAAACGGTTTGGTTGGAAATGTTTAACAGTGATGATAATGGTAATGTCGATGGCCACCAAAACAGAAATTGGAAACAACATCCAAATGTATTGCAATTATTATTTCATAAAATTGAAACCAGAAATGTTCATCATTGAATTAGTTTTGGTGATTTGGTTAACACTTGATGATCCATTTGGGATAATTGTCTGATTTTAAATCCTCGCATGAAATCAAATTGCATTAAATAAAATGATAAACGTAATAGTTGATTCAATAAAAATCTAACAATGGTGAATTGATAACATTTTTCAATAACAATTTTCATTTGATAATACCAAAATTTTTCTTCACGATTTAATAACGGATATTCGGATTCTATTTGTAATGATTGCCAAATGAATTTCATACAAGAACCGTAACGTAAACCATAAATATATTGATTTGATGATTCAATTATTTGTCGGGCCATTCGGATACGATCATCATCATTATCATTGGTGGTAGTATCAGCGACTGATAATAATGATGGACGAAAATTTTCCCGGAATATTACCCAACATCTTTGTCGAATAGTTTCCACATCATCACCAATGAATAGATTATAATCATCATCAATACCCAACATATAACCGATTACCGACCAAAAATAAATCATTGTTTCAATATCTTCTTTACGGTTGCTAAAACCATATTTTTTCGGTGATAATACTAACAGGCCAGCAAATGCAAACTGAAAGAAAGAAAATTTCAAACAAATGAATTTTGATTTTGAAAACTAGTCAATGTAATTTACCTGTGTTAATGTCATATCACGTAATGAGATGGATTTTTCATCATTTTCATCGATTCTTCCTTTATTCTGTTGATCTGATACTGTTTGATGCATGTTTTTAACCTTTTTGGAAACAAAAAGTGGATTTTTTCAAATTTGGTTTGGTTTGAAAATGAAAAACGCTTACCATTTGTAATGATTGATATGCAGGATCATTTTCAATCCAAATCTGTCCTTCATACCATTTTTTCACGAATAAACATGTATGAAGATAACGATAAAATATTGTAACTAAATTTTTTGATTTACCCGTTTTGGATAATGTTTGATAAATGGAACGAATAAAAACTAATATTAATAGACCACAAAAATGTGCTAGAAAAATACTGAAAAAATATTGATTAACAAGAGGTTTTATACGACGAAATTTTTTCAAATTAAACCATGGTGGTAAATGAGGGTTATTATTTGATGATTTGTTTTTTTCATATTCCACAAGCAGTCGTGATCCTTGTTCATCGAATATTTTATGCGATGATTTATCTAGAATTGACATTTTAGTCACCGTAGTTACATAATATTCATATATTGCACATAAACAACAACAACAGAAACAAACAAAATCGTAAACAAAGCAACCTTTTTTTGGTACCTTTTAATTTTCCATCTGACCTGATATGACACAACTTAAACCTTATAATTATCAAAATGCAACAGGGTCAATATCACCACATACACACACACACATTACACCTGGATGACCTATTTAGTTATTCTTTTTCGTTTCTTTCTTTCTTTCTTCATAATAATATTTTGTTTGTGCGAAAAGTTTTAACTTGTTTCTCAACAGAAAAAAACAGGTTAAACCTGTAATCATTATTATCATTATTTTTGGACATCAATTTTTTTTGATTTCTTTTTGAAAATGAAAATTTTATTCGATTCAGACACCAGATAACGCCATGTGTCTTGTGTTGGATGGATGGAAACAACAGCAAAAAAAAAAGATTGATAAAATTCTGTCATCAAATGTAAATGTGCAAAAATAAAAATCTTGCAACAACGACGAATGAACTGAATGAAAAAAGATGATAAGTAATGAATAATAAATTTTTATGTGTGTGTTGCCATTAGCTATTCACATATGAATTATTCATTTTATGGTGGTGGTGAACATTTTTTTTCCATTTTTCTTTGAATGACAAAACCAATTCGGAATTTTCATTTTTTTCTAGTTATTCAAAGTCAAAGAATTTTGGTTGAATTTGAAATTGGGAAAAAGGATTCGCCGAATGAAAAACATTCAATTCAAGAAAATTCAATTCTAAAACACTCACACACAATGAAATGAAATAAAGAGAATTCGTCATTGAAGCAACCCAGAAAAACTTCGTTTTTTTCGTTTATTGAATTCTATATGGTCGGGAACTTTTTTTTCCTATTTGAAAAGTTTCTTCAAATTCTCCCATTTTTTCATTTTCGTTTACATAGGCGAAAATTCAATTTAAATTTGAATTAAGTCAACAACCAAACTAAATTAAACTAAAACTTGGTGAACAAAACGAAAAAACCGGAAAAATTTGAATATTTTTTTTCCCATTCTAGTTTGCTGACCATGATTCTGGATATTCGATGGAATCCAATAGAAAGATTTGATGAAAAAAACAAACTTTATCATCGAAAACCAAGAGAAAAACAAAATCAAACATTCAAAATTGGATTAAATCTTTACTTAGCTATAGTTTGTGAAACATCATTATTGAATTTGAATCAAAGTTAATTAGAAAAGTTCGTTTATCTCGACTTATCGACTATTGTAATTAACACAATGAGTATAGTGATCATTTTCACGAACAAAAAACGTCAATGTTTAGCGTGACCTGCACACACACACACACACAGGGTAAATTAGATTCATAAAATGAATAAAAGAATAGAATAATCCTTTCATTGAATGTTATCATTATTATTCAAATTTTCGTTCAAGCTTTGTTTTTTTTTTCGTTCTTCGGCTGCAAAATTTTTCAATGAATAAATTCAAATTGTTAATGAAGATGCATTTTAGTTTAGTTTGTTATTCATTCGTTCGTTTTTTTTGAAAATTAATTGATGCATAAACAAAATGATGAAGCAACAAAACAAAACAAAAAGATAACAGGCAACATGGAATTACAGTTTTTTCGATAGCAACAACAGCAAAAAAGTTTAATTAATCAAACACTTTTTTCCTATTTTTTTCGGTAATCAGGTTTGAATTTTTTTTGATTAATTTTTCGACTTGAATTGAAATTAATTTGAAATTATTTTTAATCAAACAAACGAAAAAAAGAAGCTTTTTTCTCTCTCTCTCTGAATTCTATTATGAACATTAATTTTCTGTCTGTTTGAACTTATTTTGATGAGAATCAAAAAATCACGTGATCCAAATAATCAAGTATACGAAAAAACAAACAAAACAAAACTGTGTATTGACCTTTATCTGATGGAAAAAAGAAATTAACACAAGAGATCCACATGAGATCAATAATAAAATGATTAATCAACATAATAGGATTATTATTAATTTCGACAACCATCTCTGATACGGTGAAGGAAATTCATTAGATAAATACATGTTTGGTGGTGGTGGTGGGCGTCATAAAGTGAGAGAATTTCATTTTGGTTATCCATTTCATTTGGGACAAAGTTAAATGTAGAGAACCATCACCCACTGGGCAAACCAATCCACCAACAAAAAAAAACATTCCAAAGAGAATAGAATTTACTTGATAAGCTTGATTAGTGATGGTGATGTTTAGGGGAATTTGATTTGAATATTTGATCAACCCGAAAAGACTAACTAACTTAAACTAACTAACCAGAAAAAAATAACACACACACAGAGAGAGAGAATACGGACTAAATCATCCCGAATAAATGTGGTGATCGTGTAATGTTTGTTAAATTTTTTTTGCAACTTATTAAACTAACGGAAAAACGTTTGTAATTAAAGGAAAGAAAGAAACAAAAATACGAAAAGATTTCTTTCTTTCGATGTGACCATATAATGTACAATCAACTAATCAACGGGGAAAAAATTTATCGAACAGGCATTGATGATGATTAGTTTCTATGGAAACACCAACAATTCAATTCAATTCAATTCAATTCATGATCTTTGACGTCGATGATTACTATTATATTTTGTATTTTATTTTTGATTCTTGATTCCAAAAAAAATTGTTATCATCATTTGAAATTGGAAATTGATAATGAAAAACACTAAACACACACACACACACACACGCAAAAGTTACAATAAAGAAAATTCTATTATTAACTTGGAATCAAATAAAACCGAATGTTAGCCCAGTTTGTGAGTGTATCTCTTTTTAGTCTATTTTTGGGACCGAAATATATTAATTAGCAAGAAAGAAAAAATTGGGCAAAGAGAAAACTTTTTACCACTTGAAAACAAACCGCCAACGAGAAACACACACACATGACCACCAATAGTTAGTTAGTTAGTTTGTGTTTTTAAATTGTTAAAACACACGACATTCTCGATTTTTTTGTTTCATTGTTTCGAGAATCCAAACAGAAAAAACACAATAAAACAGTAAAAAAAACTGTATGGTAAATAGAAACTTTTTCTCTTTTGACAATTCAAACAATTCATATTTTGTCAATGGAAAAATTATTATTATTATGATAATGATGATGACAGGGGAGAGGAAGAGGAAAAAGTAAAGTAAACTTTTCTTTCTCTTTTTCTCTCTTTTGTTTGTAATGAGAATACTGATTATTATCATTATTATTATTAATCAGAATTAAAATCAAATAAAAAAAATGTCGAATCTAAATTGATTATCGTTGTTGTTGTTGTCGTCGTCATTTTGGCTAAAAACGAATGAAAAATGAAAAAAAACGAACGAACGATAAACGAACGATAATCATGATTTATCATTATCATCATTCATCACCATGGTAGTAGTTATATAATGTGTAATGTAATATATGGTTATATATGGTCCATTTAATAATAATTAAAAAATTCATTATTTTTAGTCGATTCTTTCCCGATCAAATAACATTATCGATTATGGTTGTGTTTGTGCGTGCGTAGGTGGTGGTGATATCACATTCTGTTTGGATTTTCTGTTATGGCTAATGTTTGTTTGAATTTTTCGTTTTTTTTATTTATTTGTTTTTTCTCCTATTCCCGAAAAACAAAAAAAAAAGAAACCAGAAAACAAAAACCTGGTTATTATCATTGTTGTTACCTGTGATTCTTTGTTTTTGTTTTTATCTTTTGTTTTTCCTTGTTTTTTTTTTGTTTTCTCATTAGGAGCTAGATTCATTTATTTTGCTCACGATGATCATCATTTATAATTAATCGATTTCGATGGCTAGTCATGTGTCGATTGATTGTGTATGCCACCATACTTGGAAAAGAAAGAAACCAGAAATAACAACAACCAGAAAAAGAAAAAAAGAAATCAATGGGCCAAATCATGATACATTTAATGATAATGGATTTTTCCTTTCTCATCTGGTTTTCATCTGGCACCTGGAAATTTTTATTTTTATTTTTATCAATCTATCTAGCTAATTGCCTATAGGTCAGATATGGATATGGATGATTTTTTTATGTTTTTCATTTTTTTTCTGCTGTTTGATTTGATGATGGTTTGGCATACAAAATATCTTTTTAGTTGCATTCGAATGATGATTACACTTATCATTCGGGTGAGGTGTATGAAAAAAAAGTTGACAAATTTAAACATTTTTGATGTGTCAACCAAGCCAAACAAGCAAGATTTTTTGTGGGTGGTGAATAAAAGAATGTGCCTTGAATACCAAATCAAACTTTTAAAAATTCCGAAAGAAAAACTTTTTCTTCTTTCCTGTATCAAAACCAGAAACGTAAACGTATGTGTCAAACCATAATTATGATGAACGCGTTTATCAAGAAAAAATTATTCATTTTTTTTTTGAATTCAAATTTTTTTCCAAAATTCTTTTGCAATTTTTGTTGGGAAATGACAAGGAATTCGCCATTGCCAAACATAGGATTCCCCTGTTGAATCTGTGTTGTTATGTGAAAAACAAACACAAGAAAAACAAAACAAAACAAGAAAAAGATTCCTGTTTAAACATTAACACAAACAAACAAAACCAGAAACAAAATATTCATTTTTCTTGCTGCTGTTGTTTTCTAAAGAATAATTTCATTTCATTTCGTTTTTTCTTGCTATACCCGGATAGACTTTCTTTACATTTTCCTTGATTCAAATACATGTATGTTGAACACACACAATTGAAACGACAAAAATGAAGAAAGAATGAAAGAACAAAAGACATCCAGACCTTATCCATACACCGAACCAACACCCATAGATCCAAATGGTTAAAAAAACGAAAGAAAGAATCCTAACAGAAAAACAAAACTAAAGGTAAATTTTCCTTTTTATTCTGAATTTTGTTGTTTTTTTCCCTATTCATTCATCACGTTGGTTACCAACATTATTGCTGGGCCAATGTTTGAACTGCCGTTTGCAAAACCGTACATACGATTTTGCCTATATTCTTGGTAACAAATATATTCTTTTAAAAAAACGGGACCCGATAAAGTTTTTTTTATAAAAAAAACATGCGTTCGGGCACGAATATATTTGCTGTTATTCTAACCCGAGAATCTTTTTCTCTCTTTATTTGGAGTATGTGCTGTATGTTCTTATATGGGATTCTGTTCTTTATTGAATCGTTTGGAGTGTGTCTTGATTATTTGATCATCCAATTATAGCAACAACATTGACGGGTTTGTTTGCTTGCGATGGTCATGTGTATCTTTGGTATGTACAGCCGCAGCAGCAGCAGCAGTTGATAGTGGTGGTAGCAGTGGTCCGCATAGCATGGATATTCTTCTTTTGGATCGAATCGATCCAATTCGCCTTTTTTCAAAACCATTCTTTGTATTGAACCAATTTTCAAGAGAAAGTTTCAATTTGATTCAGTTCAATTCACATATCCAGCACAACAACAGCAGCAATATTGGTGTGATAGCAGTGGCGGATTTAAAAAAAAAAATTTATATTTTTTATCATTGAAACAAACAAAAATTCTTAGAAATTTTTGTTTTTTGCTAAGCTAGAAATTGATTTCGTCACTCATGTGTGTTGTTGGTGGTGGTGTAACGGTGTATTCGGTGTAACGTAAATTTCAAGTGGCAAAACTAAAAAAAACAAAAAAGAAACTAAAAACTTTAAACAAAAAAACTTTCGAAAAACATCGCTTTTAACACTGTGATCAACAATAGGTTTTTTTGTTTTGTTTTCGGATCGATCAAATCGATGATATATCAATTGATTGATTGATTGATGGTAAAATGTGTGAAAAAAACAATGTTTAATCAAATTTGTCAGTTATATGGTGGACACTTTGGATAACTCTATTTCATCAATTTTGATGAAATAACATTATTTGTTATTACGGACGTCATTTGAAAGTTTTATTTTTTCAACTTGTGTTTGAAATCAGTGCCTAATGTCTGAAGAATAACGTTTGTTTTTTGTTTTTCCAACAACATTCAATCCTAATAAGGAAATTGTTTTTTGTTTGAAATCAACGTTTTTTTTTGTTCAAACATTAAGCTTACTGTATCTGTGCTTGTCACATTTGTGATGTGTGTTTGAAAAAAAAAGTTTCCTGATCCAAATCCCGATCAAATTCATTATTATTTTTCCAATCAATCAATCAATATTCAATCAACCAAATCCAAAAATACATTTTTCTTTCTTTCGTTTGGGTTAAATCCGTACTAACAACAACAACTATAATAATTATCACAACAATTATAATCATTTTTCCTTGAGAAAAATTTCGCCAATCGATTTTTATATTTTCCGTTCGATTCGAATGATCAATATTTTTTTCGCTTGATTTTCTTGTTGTTTTCTGGGTTAAGTGAAAAAAAATTCACCATACGATAATCAACATTGTTAGGGCAATAGCGGCGACGACAACAACGACAATTTATTGAATTTTTTTTATATAATTTTCTTTTTTTGAGTTTTACATTGGCGATGGGCAAAAAAAATAGTAAACTTAATTCAGAAATGGTACAAAAATTAACTAAAGATACTTATTGTAAGTAAATTCAAATAAAAGAAAAAAATTCTTACAAACCTTTTTTTCAACAAAATTTTTTTCACAGTTACCGAAAAAGAAATCCGACAATGGTTAGTAATCAAGTGTTAAACAAACCCCATAAATAAATATTCATAATTGATTTGTTTCATCCATAACCTTAACACTTAAACAGGTACAAAGGATTCAAAAAAGATTGTCCAAATGGACAGCTAACCGAACAGGTAATATGAATGTGATAGAAACAAAACAGATTTTCTTCTTCTTCTACTTTATGTTTACGGTTGTCTGATTAAATGAATAACTGTCTTTTCTTGTTGTTTGTTTTTGCATTAAAATTAAAACAGGGATTTTTACGGATTTATAAACAATTTTTTCCACATGGAGATCCATCAAAATTCGCTTCACTAGTATTTCGTGTATTTGATGAAAATAAAGTAAGTTTGGTTTTTTCGTTTTTCTTGATTAGGCAGAATTTTGATTGATTGATTGATTAGGCAACAAATATTCAATCATAATCAATCATCATTTAAGGCAATCAATCAATGTTGTTTTTTTTCTGATTTCTGCTTTTAAATAACAATACAATTTTATATTCTTGAATTGAATTGCAAATGAATGAATTTTTTCGTTTTTGTTATCTGATTTACAAAAAGGATGGTTCAATCGAATTCGAAGAATTTATCAAAGCACTTTCGGTCACGTCAAGAGGAAATTTAGAAGAAAAATTAGTTTGTAAGTTTTTTTCATTTTTTCCAAATATAAATGTCCAAACAAATTTTCCAAATGACAATGCGATTATGTTGTCAATGAAAATCATTAATTTTTTTTTGTTGTTTTGTTTTTGCGATCCAGGGGCCTTCAAATTATATGATGTTGATAATGATGGTTATATAACCAGAGATGAAATGTATAATATTGTTGATGCTATTTATCAAATGTTAGGTAATCAGGCAAAAATATCCGATGAAGCGGATGATGAAAATCCAAAACAACGTGTCGATCGTATATTTGAACAGCTTGATAAGGTAAGCCAAAAACATCTTCTTCATTTTCATTTTCCACATTCCATTTCTACACTTCATTGAACAAAATGAACAAGAAAACAAAACAAAAAAAAGTTTAATCAATTTTTTCTATTTTTCTTTAATAAAACAAAAAAAAAATCAATTTCATTTTCAGAATCAAGATAATAAACTTACATTGGAAGAATTTAAAGAAGGCTCAAAACAAGATCCAAAAATTGTTCAAGCACTTTCATTATATGCTCCTTAACATTCAATCACTTAATATCTATCATCATCATCATCATCAGCACCACTACCACCACCATCACCAGTGAACATCCTTAATTCTCCCTCAAGGAAAAAAAATTTTTTTTCGGTTCCGTTCAATTCCATCATTATCATCATTTATTCATTTTATTTTCATCATCATAATGTTCTGTTTGCCAAAAACGAACGTATTCGAACCGGATATGTTTTTGAGCAACGGACATTTTGTTGTACAGTAAACCAAAAAAGACATCATCTCTCTATATATATTTTCTCTGGCCAACATCATCATCATCATCATTGAAAATTAGAAAAACTCGGAAAAAAAACTTTTACATCATAATCATCATCATCATCTTGAATCTTGAATCATGTGTCTTGATCTTTTTAAATAATAAGATATATAATAAAAATTCTCTCAAACAAACAAAAAAACCAATTTGATGATGATGATGATTCAATACATACATCGCATATCAAACAAACAAATCAATCATAAGAGAGAAGAAAAGGAAAGAGACATAGAAATGAAATGTTCCAATATTTGATTGAATAAGATTGCACAAAAACGAAAACGAGAAAAAAAAATGCCAACAGTGCTATAATAATAATAACCAATAATTTTCACTTTTACCCGACACACTCACTTTTTTCCACTCCGATTTTTCTGTATGAAATTTTTTTCTGATGAAACAAAAACAAACAAACAAAAAATATTTTCACCATATATTCATTAATAATTGTTGTTGTTTTTTTCAAAAAAAGCAATAAATAAATCAATCAATCAATTTATATAATCATGCAAAATAAATAAATATAAAAGTTTTTTTTTCAAAAAACAGAAAGTGTTTCTGTGTCTATTTCTCTATAAATACTTAACATTAATAATGTATAGAAAGAGTGAAAAAAAAAGATTTACAATAGGGTCATTGTCGTTATCTATTCTAATTCTATTCTAAACAAGAAGAATGGTTTTGTTGAAAAAGAATCATCATCATCAAGAGAAAAAACATCATGTTTAACAACATAAACATACATACTTATTCAATTCTTTCATTCATTCATTGTGTGAATGTGTGTGTTTGGAATCGACAAATCATTCTTGAATTGTTGTTGTTGTTGTTATTCGATTCGGTCGTGGTTAACGCGAATTACAAATAATAATAATAATAATAAAATAGAGAGAGAAAGAAAGAAAGAGACTATCAAATTGTAATAACCCAAACAACAATGACAATAAGATAGAAGAAATAAAATATACCAGAGATATAGATGACATTATTGGGTTTTGGGTTACTCTCCCTCTCTCTTGAAATGGATGTAATATTTGAATTTGATCCATCATCATCAATTTTATTCTCATTTTCAGTCAAGTTTTCGTTTTTGTTTCGATGAGAATTTCTTTTTTAGCAAAATGATACCAAACAAACACAGGAGAAAGATAGAAAGAGAAAGTGAGAAAAACACATTTGAACATGAGAATTATACACACTTTGGATTCAAACAATATTCTGTGTGTTCACAATTTTTTACTGTTGTTTTTTGCAGAATTTTCGGGCAAACAAACAGCAAACAAACGGGAAAAAATCGTAAATCTAATTCATAGAATTGTGTCGCGATCTGTGAATAATGAAGAATAAGCAAGAATGAAGAGAGAAAGAGAGAAAGGTGGTCCGTCGAGAATTTCGATAAATTTTTCGACACGGCATTTATTTTTATTATTATTATTCCTATAGGAAACAAAGATGAGAATAGAATTGAAGATGAGAACATACAATATTATTATTATTCGACATCGACAACAGAAAGAATCAAACATTTAAACAAAAAAAACGAATAAATACCCGATAGTAAAACAAAAAACCTAAAAAACAATAAGAGAAAAAAAAACAAATTTGATCAGTAAAACAAAAAAGGATAATAAAAAAGTAAATAAAAAAAATATAACCAAATATCAAATATTGTTGTTTGTTTTTTGGAGACAAAGTTTTCTCGTGATGATGATCAATATTGTTCGTGATTCGAATGTTTAATAAACATTCGAATCGAACAGGAAAAAAAGTGATGAAAGTAAAACAATCGATAGAATCGATTGTTGTTTTCGAATGTTTTGTTGAATTTCAACTTTCAATTCGATTCGAAAAATTTTTATAACGAAGATAATTAACTTGATTTAAATTTCTTGCCATGTTTTTCTTTTTGTTTTGAAAAATCAATTTATCAATTAATTGTTGAATTTTGCACGATAACCGAAAAAAAAATTCAAACGATATTTTGTTTGTTTGTCGTGGGTAATTATGATCAATTTTGTTCATTAAGCTTGTTTTCCTGTTTCATTTTTTCTCTCCCTCCTCAAACTCTTTATAGACATACACAAAAAAATAATAATAACAGGGCCCAGAATCGCGATATAATAGTTATCATTTTTTCTTTTTCTTTTTTGGGTGTGAGACTTTGTTTTGAACCAAAAAAAATGGTACATTTACATTATGAATGTCATTTTTTTCTTCGTGGAATAGTGAAAAACAAGAAGATGATGAAAAATGCAATGTTTTTTATTTGTTGGCGACATTGAAATAAAAAAAAACATTTTTGCTTTGCATAAAAACTCTCCAATATCCATTATGAAATGAACCATCGTGAATGTTTCACGATGGACTTTATATGGTCGTATGATTAATGATCAAGTTGCACACATTGTGAAACATACCAAAAAAAACCAAGACATTTTTATTTCTTTTGAAAATATTCTTTGCTTCAGAATAGGAAGAAAAAACTTCTTAAAATGAATGAAGAAAAACAATCTTCTTAATGTCGTCGTTTTTTCTCTGGGGGTTAATATTTTTCCGGATTTACAAACAGAAACAACAAAAGCAAAATTAGTCGCGTTACCGTTAGACGACAAAATTCAAATACCATCGAAACAATCGATTGTTTTTAGCCGAACGATTATATCGATAGTTGTCATGCGTGTTGATGATTCCCTCTTCATGTGTTCGAAAATTTTTAGATTTTTTTTCTGATTTTGATTTGAAAATCTTAATCAAACAAAAAAAAAACAATCATGGATTCAAATCAAGGATCGGATGATTTGCCAAGGTATGTTTGTTTCGTTTTTGATTTTGTAAATAATTTTAACACTTATTTCATTCACTAATAAAAGATCAATGAAAAATTTATGGACACTATTATCCGGGTCATTGAATTTAAAATCATTACAATTTATAGCCGATGAATTGGAATTGAATCAAAAACAATTAATCGAAGGTATCCTATATTATCGACCACATGATATTAATGTTGATTCCATATCGAAATTGATGGAAATGAAAAATTCAATGGTCAAACCTTCGATTCTGCATAATTTAAGCATTCTACTTGATCTTAATGCTAAACAATGTTTAGATTTAATTCAATCATATTTATTGTATGAATTTGATGGTACACCTGAAATGGCACGAACATTATTTGCCAATGAAAAACAGATGAAAAAATTATTCGAAAATCTTTGGCATTATTATTATTCTGAAAGAATTTTTGCATTATTTTGCCTGAAACAAATTCTAAGTAATTGGAAACAAAGTGAACATGTTTATGCAAAAATATTTCAAGATTTTCTTAAACATATCAACACTACAACCAATGGGCAAATATCCAAAAAATTAACTGCACAATTGAAATATTTGACAAGATTTCATGAAAAACCACGTTCAAAAGTGTTAAATTTTTTAGGTGAAAAAAATTCCATCGATCTCACGGTTAATATTCGAAAAGAGGAGATTGAAATCCTGCAATTGCTACTTCTTTATTATAAAAATTTCAAACCAACCGCTGAAGATGTTTTAGATTTATTGAAATTTTTTCAAGAAACTGGATTCGATTCAACAAATAATCGTGGTTATCATTGTTGTCCTCAAATGCAAAATTTAGATCAATTTTCTGGTTTTCTTAAAACAATTTTAATCGTTGAATTTCTGGATCCAAATGGTCTTCGAAAATGTAATGATGATGATAATGTTGAACATTACCTTTTTCGCAGTGAAAACATTGAAATTATTCAACACATTTCAAAAATAATAATCAATTTAAATAGTACTGCTCAAGAACATTCATTGCTGTTCTTTTCATGGACTATTATCAATTTATTCTGTACGATTCAAGATGATCAAGATCAAGATTTAATGGAACGTCTGGGTAATAATGCATTACAATTGAAAATGTTTAAATATTTAGATAGCTGTCTTTCATTACCATCAATGGATCTATTGAAACATAGTTTTGTTCATAATTTAATCTATGAAATTATTGGTAATCTATTGGAGGCAATATTTACAATGTTTGATTTTGAAAAATTTCTTCATCATCATAATGATAATTCATTGATACCATTATTAATCAATTTATTTTCCAACAATGTTATTGCTCGGATTTTGTTCGATTCTGGCCTGAACACCGGATTAGGATTATCGCTTCGTTATGCATTGAATCTGTTTCCATATAAAACACATCTTTTATTAAGTTTATTGAATTCATTAGCACAAACAAATAAGTGTCGAAATCTGTTTGAACAATTATCGATCATTCAGATGTTAACATCATTCACCGAAACATTTGATTCATTAGATTCAAATGAATATTGTCCCGTTGTTCAAACTGATCACGAATCAATTGTTCTGATTCGTGATCGTTATCTTTTCAATGATCATCAATTAATATTACCAAATGGTTGTCGTGGCATGGTTTATTATTATGAAGGATGTCGTTTGGTACGATGGATTGATCTGAAAATGGATGGTTGGAAAATTCTTTATTGTCGATTAAGATATCTAATCAATCAAATTAAACAAGGTCATATGTATTCCACTATAAATGATGAAGTTATATTGAATGAAATAAGTAAATTGGCATTTATTTGTTCGGAATTGATTTCACATCATTCATATTCGAATATCAAAGATTTCAATCGAATCATCCGATTATTATTGGAATTATTCAAAATGATTGTTTCAGTTGATCAAACAACGATTCGTTTATTTATGGCTGCCGTAATTAAATTATCAACTGAAATGATGCGTCAAAATTATTCGGATGAACAAACTGTTTGGTCATTATTGAATGATAAACGTTTTTTTCCTTATATGATTGGTTTTCATAATCAATTTCAAGAAATATTAACCGGTACTGATACTAATATTTCAACATTGGGTTATATTCTTGCATCGGATGAATTTATTAAAGGAAATTATGATTTAACCCTATCATTTCTTTCATTAATGTCACATTTTGTATCGAAAGAAGAATTTTATCGTGAATCATCAATAATTGCATCGTTTATGTTTATTATTAATGATATTTTTCCGTCATATAAACTATGGAATTATCGTCGTGAATGTGATCGACATTGTATTGGACGAATGTGTATCGATATCTTTCATCGGATAATTAATCGTGTTCGACGTAAAACAGCCGATGAATTGATAATGATTGAAAAAATTTGTATCATACGATTGATGGAAGGTCAAGCTGCTGAACAATTATTATCGATTATTAAAAGTGGTGAAGAAATTGTACGACAGAAAATTATCAATTCAGGTAATGAATATTTGCTACAACAAGATGATCAAATTGTTAGTATTCGTATATCGATATCAATATTAAGTAATTTATTGGAAATGTATTCCGAATTGACAAAATTATCATCATTGAAAGATAAATCTGTTATTGAAAATATTATCTTTTCATCAACAAATAATAGTAATCCAAATATGTTGTTAATATTTACAAATTTTATCTGTCAAAAATATGACATCTATTTGGCTATTAATGCATTGCAATTAATTCAACAATTAGCCATAAGATTTCCAATGTCAATGTTGGCTTGTTTTGGTTCACATACGGAATTTATTCGTGATCATTTTCTATTCCGGTTGGAAACGGTTACTGAAGATTTAAATTTTAAAATTGCATTATTAAATTTCCTGTCTACTTGTGTTGAATATCAACCTGGTTTAGTGGAAATGTTTTTAAATGTTACCAACAATAATCAACAACAAACTAATAGCAGTGTATTGAATACGATTATCGAAATATTGGAAGAAAAATTTGATGGTCAATATCATTGTCCATATGAATTACATTATTCATCATTACAATTTGTGACGAAATTTTGGCTCAAACCAAATTTAATGGCAATGAATAAATTGAAACAAAATGAAAAATTTTGGTCACTAATATCATTTCCATTGTTTGAACAGAATATCGATAATTCATTATGTAGTTTTATATTGAAAATTTTATCACGTGAAATTCATTTTATCAAAATTCTGGAAAAAGATGAAATTTGCAAAAATTTAGAAAAATTATTCATGAAAGAAATTCTGGATAAACAGATGATTGAAAATTTTTCCAAACATATACATCAACAATTAATTGATAATCGATTATGGTCGGATGATTTTATCAATTTGGTTGATGGCTGGAGAGATTTTCTTGCATCATACATCAAATTTATCGTTATCGATAACCAAAAACAATCAGTAATTTCAAAACTTGTCAAAGATTTACTTCAATATATACTGATATTGATCGATAATGGCGATGGCAATATTTCAAAAACAGCCAATAAATTAATCAATAAATTTTCCAATCTTTGTCTGATTATTACATCTGCTCATGATGAAAAGACCGCAAGATTAAACGATAACAGACAATTATTAACGATGATGGTGGAAATTTTTCGACGAATTCAAGCAAATAAAGAATCAATTTCATTTAATTCACAAATTTCACTTGGTGTTTTATTGATCAAATTGAATAATGAGCGATCCAACGATGACGACCAACAAGATCAACAACAACAAGAACTGTTTGGTTCAATCGTGGAATTATTAAATCATTCATTTCGTTTAATGGCCAGACAATTGAATGGTAATTTAAATGCAAATTTACAACTAGAAAAACGCTTAATTAACGTTTATCTATCGATCGTGATTACCATATTACAACGAGCATCAAAAATTTCATCAATTGAAGATTGTTATCTAAATAAATTACGTTATTTTGGTACAAGTGAACAAATTCTAAATATGGTTATATTTTTTCTACGTAAACGTTTACACCTGGATTTGGTACAAAATATTTCACAATATTTTGTTCAATTATCATATTCATCTAATGGCGCAAGTTTATTGAATTCATTGAATTTTGTCAATCAAATTTCAGTGAATTTCTCATTGTCCAACACCAATGGAATCATCGACCGAATGTCGACGGATCCAGATTTTAAATATGATATTTCGATATTTGCACAAATCGTTCGAACTGTAAACAATATGATTATTCATCTGAGACATCATTTTACTGAATGTTGTGTATCATTTATCGCCATATATTTGGATATATTTCGTGAAATTTTTTCGGCATTTCGTCGACAACCATCGAATCGTATCGTACAATTAACATTATTGATATTGAAACTGTGTTCATCAACATCCAATTATGTTACGATATGGGAAAATAATCATTCTATTTCCTACAAAATAATTACCGAACAAATACTTTTATCCACGAATATGATGATTGCATTTTTACTACGTCCATCGCTGGTATTGAAAACATTTTTAGAAGATTATCATCCCGCTAAATTGACCAATGATAATAATAAAAGAGAAAATGATGCTCATGATTTGCTGCAAAATCAGATGTTAAAAATGCTATTAGAATCAATGAAATTTTTATTGGATGTTTCACCAGAAATTTTTTCATTGTTTGCAAATGAAACCGATATTATCGATAATGATAATGATAATAATGGAAAATATAATCTATTAATATCAACAAATTTTTCATTTCCAAATGTTGATTCAAATGAAATTCTCACATTTGGATCATTGGCAAATTTGATAAACTTTTTGATTAAACAAGAAAAAAATGGAAAAAGAATCGGAATGATTGGCGATGGCAATGCTGGTGATGATGCTAATGATCAATTACAAATATCACTTTTAGAATTATCATTAATGTTTTTCTTCATACAAACATTGATTGCAAAACATTCAATGAAATCCATTCCGAATGATGAACAAAGATTTTTTCATGAAATTCTCAATGAATTGGTTAGTTGAATCTTTTTTTCATTTTGTTTTTCATATTTTCTAAATATTTTTTTCTTATTGTTTTTTCCCACCTCCCCCATAGAATACATTCAAATCAAATCTTAAATCAATTCATCATCATCATCCACGTAAACAAACATTATCATCCTCTTCATTGTCAATGTTGACGAAAATATCACCAATAAAACCGATACCGTCGTCTATGTCAACAACAACAACAAATGTACAATTATGTGAAAATCCATTTATCAAAATTATGTTAAATATGATGGAAAACATTCTACCATTTCATCATTCGGGTAGTTTATTAATGAATGTTTCCGAATGGAATTGATTTAAACAACATTTGTAAATTCTATATTTATTATTGATAATAATTTTCATTCAAATTCGAAAAAATAATGATAATAATTTTTCAATTTTTTTTAAATAAAATGACCTAATTAAGATTATCTTCAATAAATTTTTTCATATCCCGCAGTTCCTATTATTGTCAAAAAAAAAAAAAAATTAGAATTTTAAATGAATTGGCCTATTGATTAAATTACCTCATCATTTGAGCTATGTTGTAATCTTGGATAGATTTTAAATTGATAATTAGTTAAGTGTTTTTTCAAAAATTCCGATGTCATTTGTCCCCATTTTAAAGCAACCTGATTTCAACAAATGGAAAAAAATCAAATGTTAAATGTTTGTGTTTGAAAAAAACTTCAAAATTTTGCTTACAATTTGATCGGCATCACCATGACATTGAAGTGTTGGTGTTTTTTTATTACATTCATTGATTGTTAATTTATCATGCATAGGAATCCAACAACTTAATGCAAGTATACCAGCCAATGGTTTTGGATAAGTCAAGCCGGAATAAAGTGCCAATGCACCGCCTTGTGAAAATCCACCAACAATTATTCGATTAGATGGAATACCAGCTTTTTCTTCCGAACTAATCAATCCCTGAATTAATGTTTTTGCACGTTCAATACCAGGTTCATCAATTCGGCCATTCGAATCTAATGAATATAAATCAAACCATGATGGCATTGGAAAACCACCATTCAATGTAACTGGCATTATATCACTGAAATGACAAAATTATCATATGTAAATCATGTAAAGATTAAAATATTTACGCTGTTGGACAAATCAGATTGGCATGTGGCGGTTTAATAGCTTTGATTGTCGATGACCAACCATGTCCAGTATCACCAAGACCATGTAAAAAAATTATCGATGCTGTTGGTTTTCCAACAGCATTCACGACAACATTACGGCTCATTTTGGATGGTTTTTTAGCTTTTGACCAAATGTTGATGATGTGGATGATACGGATAATCTGAAGAAACTGACCAAAACAAAAACTAAGAAAATGAAAAAAGAAAAACTTTGAGTCTCGTTATGCTGCTGTTGTTATCGTTGCTCCTTATTTCTCCTTCATCATACAAAACGCCATCTTTTTGAATTCATTTGGAACCAAAAAAAAACAGGAAAAAAAATTTAATTTCAGCTGATATCAGGAACGAAAGATGTAAAAAAAATTTCGGCCATTTTTATTCGAAATAAATATTCCCATCACGAGATGGCGTTATTTGAAGCAACAAAAAAAAATCCAACGGATTCGATTTTTGCTTATAACCGATTTTATTTTACCTTTAAATTCAAATTATCAATCGATAAAATCAAATTTAAAGAATGTTATTTCTTCGATTTTTATTAAATTTATTGATTGTTAAACAAAGTACAGATCTAATACAGATTCAGTTTGAACAATTTATTGATCATTTTGAAAAATCATATAAAAATAATCCTGATGAATATATTTATCGGATAAAAATCTTTGAGGTTTGTTGCTGTTTTGATGATGATTTTCAAAATTAAACTTATTTCTCAATTCTGGCTAGAAATCATTGAAAAAAATTAATTTTTTAAATCAATTTCGACAACATAAAAATAGTGCATTGTTTGGCCTGACCAAATATTCCGATTTAACTGAACAGGAATTTAAACAAATCGGTATGATTGTTGATTATTATTTGAACTTTTTCTAAATCAAATCTCTTTTCAGTTTTAAAAAATAATGTTTCAAAATCATCGAAGAAGAAGAATAAGAAAACACGACGAAATACTGTTGAATCTTTTTCGGTAACTAGTCCTATTGACGATGTTAATATACCTCAAAAATTTGATTGGCGTGATAAAAATGCTGTTAGTCAAATTCGTGATCAAGGAGAATGTGGTGCATGTTGGGCTTACAGTATTGCCACTACTGTTGAATCAATGTTGGCCATTAAAACGAATAAAACATTACGAGAATTTAGTACACAACAATTGGTTGATTGTTCGGAAAATCATGGATGTAATGGTGGTGATATATGCTCAACATTAGAATGGATGTCCAATAAGAATATATCATTAGAAACATTGCAAGATTATCCATCCAAATCGATTGCTGGTAATTGTCAAAGTGATTCCCCGGCAAAACATTCCGGTGTGCGAATTCAAACGAAACATCTTTGTGAAAATTTAGTCGGTAATGAACGCCAAGTAATTCGTATGATTGCTAATCATGGTCCAGTAATAGCAACAGTTGATGCATCAACATGGCAAAATTATCTTGGTGGTATCATTCAATATCATTGTTTTAATAATCGTAATCATGCTGTACAAATTACTGGTTATGATTTATCCGGACCAATACCATATTATCGTGTACGAAATACATGGAATTTAGATTTCGGTATAAATGGTTATGTACATATTGCTATTGGTGATAACCTGTGCGGAATAGCTGAAGAAATTTCATCAATAGATCTTGTCGATATTCCAAAGTCATTTTTATAATGATCATTAATCTTCATCGTTGATAATCATTTCACGAAAAACATTTACCGATATGATTATTAAAAATATCCATAATGGTATAAAAACAATAAATAATGATAATGATTCGAAATATTCTAATTTAACACATAATAAACATTGAAAAATTAATTTTAAAATTATACTTCCAATAATGATATGTTTTGATTTAAAATCATAATAAAATTCTGTTGTACGTTGCCGTGCATAATACAATAGATAAGTGAAAAGATCAAGAATCCAAATCGGTGTGAATATTGAAAACCATGTCCAATTGGATCGGCCATCAATTTTCCCTAATAATATGATCAGGAAAACTGTTATCAATAATGAAACAAACAATGATCGATGTGAAAGTCTCATTTTTTTAAACAAAAATAATAAAATCAAAGAAATTTTTATTTTGAAAAAGTTTAAAAAACTAAAATATTTTTCCTTTTGCTCAATAATTAAAGAGAAATTAAAGAAAAAATATACCGAAAGATGGCGACAGATCTGATATAGATTTTGAAATTAATATTTTTGTTTCATAAATCATCATTTATCTAATTAGTTGATCATAGTTTGAATCAATTGTAATAAATTGGATGAATGTTTTTTTGATTTCAATTCGTTCATTTGTATGACAGTATTTCGTAAACGCATTTCACCATTATAATAATCATTACGACTATAAATATTGAATGAAAATTGTCTAAAAATGATTTGATTAAGAATTTTTAAATATTGATTTTCATCCGTTTGAATTAATGTAGCCAATTCGGAAACGGATTTTTTCAATATTTGTTCAATTTGATTATTAAAAATGGTTACATAAAATGATCCCGAACAATCAGCTAAAAATAATTGTATAATCATACGCCATTGAAAATTGATAGATTTTTCATTACATTTTAAACATTGGTAAGTTCCATCCTCGTTTTCCAATACTTTTTTCAAACATTGATTCGTTGACGATGCACAAGATTTATACATATGATATTTGATTGAATTGAAACCAATAATCGTAGCATTTGTTTGAAATTTTAATACTTCACCAACCACTATCGATGTAATTGACGCAATATATCGTTTTTTATTAAAATTATCATTTCTGTTTTCTGATTGATCCGAAGAAAGGCATTTAAAATTGATTGACAGATCATTTTGTTCGACAATTGATTGATACCATAATTTTAATAGATCTTTTTCAGGTAAATCAGGTTCAATTAAAATATGTGTAGTATCACGTGTTGACAAAATTTTACCACGATAATCATTAACAATTACACCTTTTAATGCTATAATTTGATCCGGTTGACCTTGAAAATTTTCCGCATTATAATCCCATAATGTTAATCGTACTTGAACCATTGATTTATCAATAATAATAATATCACGTTTCGACATTTGTCGTGATGTTTTTTTACTCAGCAATGTTTTCATATCATAAACCAAGCGTATTACACCGATTACATCGATCATTGTGTTTGCCGGAATATCAACGATCGATGATAATTCTACGAATTTATATCGCATTTTTGGTATTTCAATCTGATCTTGATTTTGATCGTTGCATACTGGTCTAACAAAACTTGACTTGGTCAATGTAATTTCATAATCATTATTAATCGATGTAAATCGTTTGTTTGCCATTTTTATCATACCACGACCGATAAAATACATTTGTTTTTCATCAATCAAATTGAAAAAACGATCACATTCATCATTGAAACAAACAATATGAATTTCACCCGAATCATCACACAAATCGAATGTAAATAAACGACCCGCATGTTGATTCGAAGCGAAACAACGAATCTGACTTTTATGAATACAAAGGCCACAAATTGTCCATGCATTAAAAAAAGGTGTTAAAACATTTATCGGTGTAATGTTTTCAGGACGTATATTATTATTATTATTATTTTTATTTTGTTTTCGATTTGATGGTTGATCAGATTGATGATCGGTCGTTTCATTTCGAATGTCTGAGCCAACTGGTTCATTCGATTCGGTTACAATTTCCGTATCGATCGATTCATTTGGTTTTAATCGTCGATTAATTTCATTACCTATTTTTGAAATGAGTAAAAAAATTCAAGAAATTTGGAATCAGTAAACGTAAAAGTGTTGTCTGCCCACAAACCATTTCTTAAAATATCAATTTGTTGCACCAATATAACAGGAATATTATCTTTTTTCGGTATCGATGATAATGAATATTGTTTCAAACGTATAATGGTAAATTTCTGCAATTTACCATCACTATATTGTTGATCAATTTCTGATGAAATAAAAATACAATGTTGACAGATTGTTTGACCATCAAACACGATTGCACGAATATGATTATTGCTCATTATTTTTGAACCTAAAATCTGTACAATAGGTTGTTGATCTGATTGACGACGTTGTTCCAGGATCAAATCTAATAAACCTGCACTTAATTTAGACATTTTCGAAATTCTTTTTTTTCACTTGAAACTAAACACAACTAAACAAAAACATATAAAACGGATGTTGTGAAAAAGAAATTCGTTAGACGCTAGAGTGTGCTACAATCGCATTGAAAAACGTTTTAAAAACGTATTTTTTCAAAATTTTATTTTTTTCAATTTTTATAAACGATTTTTAATTAATTTTTCCAATTTTTTTATTCGATTCGAATCAATCGATCCTATCGATTCAGCATTATTCGATGTCATTGTTGTAGTCGTCATCGTTGTTGTTGATGTTGTTGTCGTATCTGATTCCGAATTCTGAATCGCTAATTTCATAAAATTTGAATTGGTTTTTTCATAATTATAATGAACAATTTTCTTTTTAAATAATTCAATTAATTGAAAACTTTCCGATTTTCTAATACCTTTCATTTCGATTATTTTTTGAAATTCATTTAAATCTTTTTCCTGAAACAGTTTGAAATAATTTTCAACAAACATTTCGGCCGGTGTAGCGGGAACTAATAAAATTTTTAAAATCATTTCAGCTTTTGTCATACCAGCGATAACAGTATCAGTATAGCTTGTGGGTGAAACGGTCTTCGAACCGGAATTACCCGATTTATATTCCGGTAATTCCAAAAGGATTTTTTTCAATGTATGTGCATCAAGTAATAATTGTTCGGCAGCACCTTGACTAAGTGGTTTACATTTGAAAAGATTTCCAATAAATTTCGATATAAAAGATTGAATAAATTTTTGACAAAATTGATAAAAATATTTCGGACAATCGGAAAGATTTTCACGAATTAATGGTATGGATTGATGAAATATTGATATTATCGATGTTATATATTGACTATGACCAATTGGTGTACCCCAATTTGACCATTGTGTTCGAATCATTATTAATAATGGTTGTTCACATTGATTTTCTAATGAATGTGATAATAATTGCAGACAATTTGAAACAATACCATGAAATATATCCAATTCATTATTCATATTAATTTTATCCAGAAATTTTGAATCAATTTTTTCTTGAATTTTCTTCTCTAATTGCCGGGTTGTTTCCAAACAATAATTTGCTGTTAAAATTATTGAACAAATTTGTCGAATTTCTTCATTTGTATAGGATTTATTATCTAAATCTTTGAGGAATATTTGTATCAGACCACCAGCAGCTGATAATGATGATGATGCAGCTGATGAAAAAACATTTGAACTACCACTACCGCTACTTGTTGTTGTGTTCGAAATTGTATTTGAAAGTGATGATAATGTTGTTGATCCAACACGTGGTATTTGATTTTGTAAAATTTTATTTGCATATTCACGAAGATATTTTTGAAATGTTTCCGATAATAGCACTAATGGTTGACGATTACTTAACGATATACATTGAATTAGGCAATTTTTATATTGTGTAAATAATTTCCCACTCGAACCAAATATTTCTGCTTTTATCGTTGATGATTCTTGATCTTGTTGATTATTGTTCGATGATTGTTGTTGTTGCTGTTTTTTTGTTTGTTCATCCAAAACAAATTGATTGATTAATTTTTCAAAATTCTTATCCTGTGCATCAACATAAATATTCAGGTAATTTTCAAAACATGATGTAATTAAACCGGTAAAAACGTTTTTCGAATTGGTTTTTTCCTGTCGTGAAATTGTTGAACCAGAAAATCTTTGTTGTAAAAGTTTTTCAAAAGCAGTAGCTTTTGATATTGCCGGCAGCAGAATATTTACATCAAGTTCAATAAAACGATTATTCATAACTTGAATCAAATCTTGTCGGGTAATTTTACAAAATTCCACTGCAATACATTCACTTAATTCCCATGCAGGTGGAAATAGAAAACCAATTTTATCTTCAAAAATTATCAAATGTTTTTTTAACCATGCAAAACGTTGATCAATTTTATCCAACCATGCAATATCCTGATTATCTTGAAACAAGGCTTTATATTCAACCAATTCCAAATCAACTAGCCATGTTATTAGTTGACGTCGATATTTTGAATCCAGATTCGATAATACTAAACAACCTTCAGCCAGCAATTGAATTTGATTTTGTTGAAGTGGTTTTGAATGATTTTTTGTTTCAAATGTTTCACGAAAATCGCCCAAAATTTGTTCACCTAATTGTTGACATGTTTCATCAATATCCGTAGTTAATTTTGATATATGTGGAATATGTTTAAAACGATCAAATTGTTTTAGGACATCCAATATTCCCTGAAGTGTTCGTGATGCTTGACCATATTGACGTTTTTTCTTTGAATCTTTCAATATAAATGTACCCTGGACAAGTATATGCAGGTTATTTAACATGATTATCGAAAGGGTAAGATTTCGTTTTGCATTATCCAATTGTTTAATATTGCATGTAATTTCATTTACCTGTACGAGGAACAAAATGATTATTTTAATGAGAAAAAGAAAATTGAAATTGTTATCACCATACAATTTTTTCCGATTGTTTTGCCTGATTTTTTATCTCATGTATTACAGTGGATAAATTTAGAATTAATCCACGTGCATTTTCCAATGTTTTTCGACCATTTTCTTCGACAATTTTTTGTGAACAAATTGATTGACGAATTTCTTTATCTAAAACACTTTTGGATTGGAAAAATTTTTATTAATAAAGGATTCAGTGAAAATCGACCATTTACCTTATTTTATCTTTTAAAATCTTTAAAACTTCATCAATATTCGATAATGATTGTTCATTTGGAAATATTTTATTTATATATTCGATTGTTGTCAATTCGGTTTGCGGTGAATTCGATATGATCATCTAACGAGAAAAAAACAGAAAAAAGCATTATCAATCAAAAAACTTCGAATCATTCGAATCGATTATCGTTAAAATTACATTTTCAAGAATATTATTCACATGTTGAGCAATATCCATTGTTTCGTTTTATCGTTGTTGAATTTGATGGAAACAAAAAAAAAATTATCTTTTAATTCACGTCATTCTTAAAATGAAAACAAAAAAAATTGAGATTTTTTGGATGGAATTTTTTTTAAGGATTCGATTCACTGTTCATAAACAACGTATTCGAATGATTATCATTCGAATTATCAATTTTCTGATTTTCACCAAAATGATTATCATCGATTTTGTTTTCTATTTAAAGGTACATTTTTTTTCATTGTGACTTTGATTTGCCACTGAGAGAGAAACAAGACAAAATAAACAAAATAATGAACGATTTACAAACAAAAATCGGTTTGGCTTTAACCATTTTATCCGGATTGATAATTTTAAAATCATGGATAAAACGATCAAGACAAGGACCTCCAAAAATTAAAAAATTAATTATCTATCCAATTAAATCTTTACAAGGTATTTTTATTTTTCATTGTTTTGAATAATTTTTATAGATTAAAAAAAATTTAGGATTCGAAGTTGATCATCTTGATATTGTTAGCACTGGTGTCGAATGGATGAATTTCCATGATCGTTCCATGGTTTTGGTGAATCAGAAAAACATTATGCTTACCCAACGTAACAAACCAAAACTTGCATTAATCAAATTGAAGCTTCAAGATAAAAACATTGTTCTTGATGCACCCGAAATGGAAACATTGGAAATTCCATATTTTGATGATAATTTGATTACTAACGATATTGTTTCGTTAGAAATTTGGGGTCAACAAACAGAAGGTTATGTTTGTCGAAAAGAATTTTCGGATTGGTTTTCGCGATATTTAGATTCCGAAACAAAATTATTACGTATTGGTCCCGAATTACAACATCGTCAATCACAAGTTTTTGATAATTTATTAGACAATCATGTTGTTTATCAAGATGGTTTTCCAATCATGTTAATCAACGATTGTTCAATTGATGATTTAAATCATCGATTAAATGGTAATCTATTGGTAGATTATCGAAATTTTCGACCAAATATTTTGGTTGAAAATGCTGATCCATATGATGAAGATAATTGGAAAAATATTCGTATAAATTCATTAGAATTTTCAATGCCAAAACCATGTGATCGTTGTGTAATGACAACAGTCGATCCGGAAAAAGGTATTCAACACCCGGATAAAGAACCATTGAAAACGCTAAAATCCTATCGTATTGATAAAAAATGGAATGAAAAAGCACCATTGTTCGGTATAAATTTAATACCAAAATCGAATGGAAAAATTTTTATTAATGATCAATTAGAAATTATTTAAATCGATTTATTGATTTATATAAACACAAAAAAAACGAAAAAAAAAATTAAAAATCCTTGTAGCAAATCATGTCGTCGTGGATGTTTTTATTATTGGATCATCATTATCGTTATTAGTAATCGAACCATCATCCACATTATCATCATCATTTTTCCCCTTTGTCGTCATTACAACATTTGTTGTTGTTGTTGTTAATAATGCTTGTTTTTCCATTAATTGTGCATTATCTTCTTGTGCAGTACCCGATGATGATGATGATGTCGATGATGATGATCCACTAGCATTATCATCAGATAAGATTACCGGTTCTGGTTGGATTTAGAAAAGATCAAAAACAATCAATTAATCGACCAAAACAAAATTTTCCAAAATGAAAACAAACCTTTTGAATTGAAATTTTCAGTTTTTTTATCCATGACATCTTTACTATCGTCGTCGATTTGTTCAGTTTGTTCATTTTCTTTTCGGTTATTATTCACCATTTTCGAATCATTTTTCAATTTGATTGATAATCGATTTTTCGACGCCAAAATATCCGATTGAATTGTTGTTGATCGTCCATTTAATGCTTCAACTAATGGTATTGCTTCATAACCGGGTGGTATATCAATCAAAACATCATTTAATAAATCCTCTGATGATTGTTGTTGTTTTGAATTTATTAACACTGTTCCCGAAGAATTATTATTATTTGTTGTTGGCGTTGTTGTAATTTTTTTACAAGCTTTTATCTGTAACAGCGCTCGAAATGGTACACGACAAATTGGACAATTATTTGTTTGAAATCTTAATGATTCAGAACAATTATAACAAGCACAAAAATGTCTACATGGTAATATTAATGTATCACGTAAATCACTCATACATATGACACATTCAAATGATTTATCTTGATCATCTTGGTCATTATTCATCGATGATACCATTAGTTTATCATTATTAATTTTATCGGCTTTATTTTCAATACCATAAATTTCCTGTAGCAGATATGTTAGACCATCGACAAATATTTTCTGTTTAATTGGTTTCAATGCAAAGATTTGATCATAAACTTTTTCAATAATTGCTATTAATGAATGTGATTGCCTGGGTTGATCACCTTCATCCGATACACAATGTATAACCAATGGATAATGAGCTCCGGTATTAAATTCACCTTTATCATCGAAAATATTATAAATTAAATCACTAATATTATAATTTTGTGGATTAAACAGTGATGAACTTTGTGAAAATAATTGCCCAATTCCAGCTTTATAATGGAATGTTTCCGAACGATATGTTTGATCTTTTGGAATGTATTTAATTCCTTGCGATGTAATATCTTCTTTACAAAGAAAATATATTGTTATTGAACAATCAACATCTGAATCGAATATAAATTCAATTGTATAGTTGTTATTCGTTGTTGTTGTTGTTGTGTTGTCGGCGACATTATTATCAATATCAGTAACATCGATTCCATTATCCGGACTGATCAATTTGGCCGTTTCTTTACGAATATTAATCAATGATCGTAACATTTGCATAGGTTCATTTGGAAATGGTGCTGCATATGGAAACGGGCTTGGTTTTCCACCCAAATAATTTAAATCGGAATTTTCCCCAAACAAATATGATTCTGGTTGTGTCATTTCAAATTTATCATTACCCATAATAAATGTTGAACCAAAATATCTTGCTCCATTTTTTGGTGGATAATAATAATAATGATTTGTTGATGAATTTTCTTGAGCATCATTCGAATTTGTGTTTGACCAAAAATTTCCCATTCTTTTTAAAAAATGTTATTTATTTTAATATAAACTCAATCGATTAAAAGAAGATGTTGTAAATAAATCATGATCAAATCAAAAGTAAAAATGAAAAAAAGTTTTCAATTTGTAAAACAACAACAAAAATGTAAACAAATCATTCGCGAAATTATTTCGTCCCAATCGGTCATGGTTAGGTGTAAATAGAATCGAACAGAAAAACTAATATCAGTTTCCGTTTGTCTTTTTCAGTTTTTAAAATCAAATTATATTTTGTAAAAAAGATTCTGGATATTATTTTGTTTCCAATAATAAAAAGTCCAAAAAAATGAAATTAAAAAAAAATTAAAAACAACAAATAGAATATTGAGAGAAAATATCATCAGAGCTGATCAGAGAGTGAATTAGGCTTGGTCGATTATTGTTTTATTAAATTTCGTTGAAAAAAAATGAGAAATTCAAGATGTCGACTCGGGATCATTTTCTTCCACAGCAGCAGCTACTATAGTACCATTTCGATCGATACTTGAAGAAATAGCACCCACACCACCATTATTTTGATTTTTAATCGGTGAAATTTTCAACAAATTTCGATTATTATTATCGTTATCGTCATCAGTCGTGATATTGCTGTTACTAAATGCAGAAAATTAATGAATTTTTCAATGAATTTTTTTCTGTTTTACTTACGAAATTTTATTCGAATTCGTTTCATTCGTTGCTTGAATTTCGGCCAATTTTATATGACATTCTTGTTGATCTGATCGTCGTGCTGAAAGGGTAAATCTTTGATATTCACTCGATGATTTTAGATAGAATCCTTCACCATTATTAGTAAAAATAAAACTACAAATTCCATGTATATCTTCTTTTTTCAGCACTTGTTGTTGATATTTTCGACGAAAATCTGGCCATGATTGAAATACATTAACATCACCTAAATTTGTTAGGAACATTAGCGAATATTCCATTAGATTGGAATTTTGTTTATGATAAAATTTTCCAAAATCAATTTTTCTAACACGTGCACCTTCATGTGCTGTTAGTTTAAATTTTTGTATGGTTTTAAAATTTGGAAGACTAAACAATTTAAATTGCTCTTCCGAACAAATTAATATTCGATTCGGTATCGATATCGATTTTTCATTCGATTCTATCGATTGTTGTTGTTGTGATGGTAAAATATTTTCCGATAAAGGTCTACCATTCGAATCAATTAATCTAATGAATATTATCGGTGCTTTATGTTTTAATTGTACTTCTTTGGCTAACTGCCAACATCGAATCGAAGTTGTCGTGGTCGTTGATGCATTTTTATCATTCATTAAAACATAGATAAAAAGTGTTCCGGCATTTGTACCGACCCAAAACGATGGACAAAGTTGATCTGAAAAATGATAATGATAATTTTCAAATGAAAACAAATGTCCAAATTGATTAGTTACTTACTGTTACTTATGATTGGTGATGAACAAAAATAAAAAAACCTGACCATCGAACTCATCATATCATCCGAAGATTTATTGGTAACGTTTGCTTCAATTGCTCGTTCAACCGGTTTAATCGAATGATGATCAATTTGCTCGGTAATCGTTCGATTATTCATTAAACGATTATTTACTTCATGAATTTTACCTGTTGATTGCTGTTGATTAGTTTTTTGAATATTACGTTTACTTTTTTGTGAACGACTACGACGTAAACGACGAAATGATTCACGTAATGATTTTTTAAATGATTTTCTACGTGAAATTAATGCATCACCACCCATTGCTGATGAAATATTGCTTGGTTTTAATGTTGATTTGACAATTAAACGTAAATTTTTTTGATAATCAAATAATGTAAATCCATGTGCAGTACCAATGCTAACGACTTGCCAACATGTTGAAATAACTAATGCTGTTATAGCAGCAGGTGGATAAATTTGTATAAAATTTTTTGGTTGATAACCCGAAGAAAATTTTATCATTGATTTTCGTACCGGTAAACAATTATGTCCTTTCCATATGAATGAATCTTTTTCATCAATAATACGTATTTCAATAAATTCTGATCGTAATTCCAATGGTTTTTCATTAAAATCAAATAAAATTATCTGACCAGCAGTACCACCAACAACCAACAGACCTTGTTCCGGACAAAATGTTAATTTTCTTATAGCTAAACGTGGATCATCACTATATGGATCAAATTGACCAACTTTACGAAATGGTGGCCATTCAATTTGATCATCATCATCTTCACCATCTTGACCACCACTTAAATTATGATCATCACCATCATTTTCCAATAAAATATCATCTTCATTCAAATTGAATAACTTCGATGTATGTATTGTATACAGGTATTTTAGCGATCTTGTTGATGATGAATCCCAAAAACGAACAGTACCATCTTCATGACCAGTAATTAATAAATTATGTTGTTGATCATTAATCAATGTAGCTGATGAACCCGTTGATGTTGATATAGCTGCAATACCACCATTAATTGGCCAATTATTTTGACTATATTTAACATTCGATTCATTCGTTCCACTATCCAAAATTTGTTTAAAAATATCTGGATTAACATTAGAATAATATTGGGAATATGTTATTGGTGATGAATGTAAACAAGATAAATATGGTAATTTAAATTGTGGCCAATCTTGATGTTGTAAATCGATAACAACTAATTCTTCAACAGCTAATACAACTAATGCTTCAAGTTTTGACGAATCATTATCATCATTTTCGGTTGATGAAAATATTGGTAAAAAATCAACAATTTTCGATGTAAAATCCAGAACAATATTTCTTTCATTGGCTGATGATGAATTTTCACCATTATTATTATCAATATTATGTATAATGGATACGGTTTCTTTATCACCATATGATGCTCTTGGCATACCACCATTAAAAATGATATATTCTCTATTTAAACACCAAAGTGAGAGAAAAACAATTTGAATTAAAATAGGAAACAGAAAAAGATTCGAATCGTTATTTACCCGGATGGTGATGAATTCCAAAATATTTTCCTGATTGCTTTACACGGAAATGGTCCGTATGGTAATTTAAAATTTTTACAATCATGTTGTTCTTGATTCGCGGACCAAACATTATAACTACCATCATTATGACAGCTAATAAAACCATCATTACCACCATTACCATTGTTCCATGATAAATGTTCAAGATGCTGAAAAATTCATTCAAAGAAAAGATGAATTTAACAAACGAAAGCAAAAAACCTTGATTACCTGTTCAATATGGAAATAATTTTCCAACGATTTTTGTTGATAATTCCATAAAACAATCAGACTACGATTATAACCGATCAAAATTTTTCCATCCTGACCCGGTTGTTCCTGGATTACTTCAACTGAACCTGGTTTTAATTTCAAATCTTCTGGAATTGATTTTAATATTTCATCCAATTTGATTGTCGAATCATCTTTCAATGATAAAGAATCATCAATGTTCATCAATTGAATATCACCATTATTCAGGCCGATAAACAAAATGGTTTGTTTTTCATTCAATGCTAATGATGTTATGATTTTTGAAGGTTGTTGATTTGTATGATGATCATTATCACCATCATTGTTTTGTACAAAAAAATTATTCGAATATAATTTTGTTATATCTGAATTGGTGGATTTGGTTGGAATTTTCAATAAATGAATGGAAAAATCTTCACATAAACAAAGAACGGCTGCTAATCTTGAAATGAAAAAAATTTGAACAATTTCTTGACAATCATTATCATCATCTTCGAATTGATAATGAAATTCGACACCTAATTTTCCATAACTGTTGATTATGGAAAATTTGAAAATTTGAATGAAAAAATTTGAGAATTTCGAATCAAAATACCACAAAATAACATACATTTGTAATGAACCATTTTTGGTTCCTATTGCCAATAGTCGATTTTGTTGATCGAATGCTAAACAAGATGGATTGGCAGGAAATCCATGCAAAACAGTCTGTGTATACAGAAAAAACAGAGAAAAAAACAACAACAATCGATATTTGATCAATGGTGGATTGATAAATCAAAAATCACAAATCAATAAACAAACCTTTCGAAATTCATAAAAATCTTTATACAATTTCAATCGATCCGATGCGGTTTGATGATGATGATGATGATGTTGTGAACTTTTTCCCAAAAAGAATTTCATTTTTGTTTGATCAAATTTTTTCGTTTTTGAACTTTGAAATTTTTTGAAATTTTGAAGATTTTGAAATGATTTTTAGTTTGTTGACATAATGGTGGTTGGTTCAAATATAAACAACAATAGAAACGTCATTCAATTCTTCTTGGTCGATTTTTCAAAATTTAAAGCAACGTCATTATAAATATCGTCGTAGCCAAACACAAAAATCATTAATCAATCAATCGTCGTTAATATAAACAAAAGAATACACGTCACTTTTTTTTTGGTAATCGTTCGATTGAATTCAAATTTCGTTGATTAATAAAAACTTTTGTTTGTAAAATCAAAAATCAATAAAAACAAATGTTTTGTGAATCGAATGAAAATCTCTGTTTGATTAAATCTTGAAGATCATGATCACCATTCGGAAATCCAACCAAATAAACAAAAAAAGAAAATTTCCAATGATCCTTCGAAATGTAATAAAAGTCCCATCTTTCAATAGAACACACATCACATCACAAATAAAAGGCTCATCATCGGCTTTGGTCACAATAGATTTTTTTTCTATATTTTACATTCAAGCCAATGCTTTTGTTGCGAAGAAATTGAATGGTGAAATTGGAGAAAAGATTCATTTTTCAAGTTTGCGTATCAATTGTGACTACAACAATCCGTAAAAAAACGTTCAGGGCGTTGACAACGTAAGTCATGCGTATAAACACAAGATTTGATTTGAGTGGGCTTATGCTTTTGGCAAAACCTGCAGCCAGGTATTTTATTGATGGAAAAAAAACATTGATGACAATTCAGGTAATCATCAATCAATCAGTCACAGGTAACATACCACAAATAATCATAATTAACAACAACGAAAAACAGGAGAAAAAAAACCAATCAACCATTACTATACACTTACCACACATTTCATTGAAAAGTTGTCAAAATAAATAAATCAAAAAAATTGTCAAAAATCAGATAAAAGCTAAAAACAACAAATTAATTACAAAAAAATTCATTTTCATTTTCACAATTTCTTATGTATCAACATTTGAATATGTTCCCCATGGTGGTCGAAATTCCTGTGGAAATGTTAACAAACCAAAATAATTGAATGCATATTTTTTGGCACCGATATTTTTTCGAACGTTTTCAATTCGAGTTCCATCTCTGTGTTTGAATGAAAAAATCAATGAAAATTTTTTAAAATTCAAAGAAAAACGAAACTTACCTACGAATTGTATCCAACATTGTTTGAAATAAATGTTGATGTAAATCTTTTTGAAAATTCAGAAATTTAAATACAAATCGCACCTCTTCCAATGTTACCGACATACCGGTACGATCTTTAGCACTTTTACAACAAGTCGTTTTGATAATATTTCCATCAAATTGACGACAAATTTCATTAGATAATTCTAAAATTCGAATATTTTTCGATTTAAATCGTTTCAATTCCGTTTCCAAATCGAATAACAATTGTCGACAATGATTATTTGTTGGATAAAATTCTTCGATAAAGGATTTAAGTTTTTTATAACTAGATTCATTTAATTCTTCTTGTAAACTTTTTTTAAAAATGCTGAAAAAAATTGATTAATTTTACAAATGAAAATCTCTTTTCGAAACTTACTTATTTGGCAATGATGCTTGATGATTAACACCAACATTAAAAATTAATGGCAATAGTCGACATTCGATGATTCGTTCGAATTTCTTTGTTCCGGCTATTTTAACCGGATCGATATGAAATAAAAGATGAATTTTATCACTATTAAAATCAATTTTTGGAATCATTTTCGTTCCGGAATTGGTCATTTGATCACCATCAAAACAAAATGTGATATGGGTAATGTTTGATATGGTATCCAGTGCAAATAACATATCTTCAAGCATACCAGTTTCTTCGGAAAAACAACTTAATAATGCTTCAAACAGAATCAGAATATTACCAGTACGATTTATGTTTGTTAAAAAATCAAAACAAATTTTTTCATCTAAAATTTGATCCTGAATAAATATTATCACTGCTGTTAATGATTGACACAATAATGATAACCAACGAAATTTTATTTGTCGAAATGATTCCAAGTGATTATCTTTTGTCGTTGATCCAGTTACAATTCTTGCAAATGCACTTATATAACAAACAAATATTGTACGTTTCAGTGATCCAATTGCATTACGTAATTTTCGATTACATGGTTCAAATTCATTGATAAATTTCGTCGTCGTCGTCGTCTTCGTCGTTTGATAACGTTGAATTTTATCATCAATATCAACAAAACAAGCTTTAATATTCAAATATATTAAATCGATTGGTTCTAAATGTAATTCTTCCAGATAATTTCGTAAATCATTATCGTTATTGTTGTTCATCATTTGATCCAAATCATTTGTATCAATTAAATCGATCAAATCTTCCGACCATCGATGGATCTTTTCATACAACAATTTTATCTTCGATAAGTTATCGTCATCGTTGTTGTTGAAATAGTTGTCTAAATTATCTAAACATTCGAAAATTTTCTGTTCATTATGAGAAATTTTCCATAATTTTTGAAATAATTTCCATATTTCATCAACGTTTGTTGTTTGCGTTGTTGTTCCGGCAAAATTTTTCCAATTAAATTTATCAAAACCATAATGATGACAGGCAAATGCACCAACCGTATAAATACGTAATTGATTGGATGATTTTCCATTAAATTCAACGTGAAATAATTGTCTATGCAAATTGATCGGTATGAATTGTATGAATAAATCTTTTTTCATTTTAGATGGACGAAATGTATGTGTTAATTTGAATGTAGAAATATCTTGGATAATTTTTTCCAATAATTTTTTAGTTTCCGAATGAAAATTTAATAATTTTTCATAGAAATTACAACGGGAAAGTGATTGTTTTTGTTCGACAATTATTTTCAGGATAAAATCTTCATCTTTTGTAAAGGATTTTCTGTTATAAAAAAAATTAAAAAATTAGATTAAAGAATCCTAAACAACAAAAAAACTTACAAAAGAATCAATGGAATAATGAAAACAAAACTTGAATCTTGCATAAATTCTTCGACAATAATTTTCGATAAATTTGATTGATCATATGGATTAAAACATAATCGTCGTGTAATTGGTGGTTGATTGAAAAGCGTTTCCGGAATATTTCCCCGATCTGGATGTTCTTTTTCCATTCGAATTTCTTTGGATTTTTCCAATTTACCAGACATTTCAAGTTGTGGCAGTTGAAAATGGTTATTTACCGAAAAATCATTTAAATAACCATCATTTTCATTTTGTCTATCGATTATTATCTGATATTTCAAATGTCCAACAAATTTTCTTGTTTTTGGATTTGTTAAACTAACCTCATTAATAACATTAATGGATTGTTTTGAAATTTGAATTTGATCCAATGCATATGCCAAAAATAATTCAATTCGAAAATATGATTCAATAACCGAATAAAGTTCGAATTTCAATTGAATTTCTTGTTGTTGAAAATCCATCATTCGAATTGAATTGACAAATTGTGGACTTCGGGATTGAATTGTTTCCGTTTGACCAAGGAATTTCCATGTTTCTTGGTTTTTGGATTGATTTTTTCGTTGAAAAATTTTTAAAAATAGTAAAGGACTAGTCTGTGAATGATTGCACAATGTGTTTACATTATCACAGCCAATTATTAGATGAAAATTGATCGGCGATTGATCGATACGATAATCATGATCATCATCATCGATGATAAGGTGGTCAGTTTGATTGTTGGAATTTTGCTGCTGTTTTAATTTCAATTTTTTTAGCAAAAAATCTTCATCAAGTGCTCGATGTAATGTATGCAGAAATTCAAATGATGATAGATAAATTTTTTTAATCCAATCATCACGATCTTCAATTCGATCGCATGCAAATCGATATTTTTCCACGGTGGTCGTCGACGTCGCCGTCTTGTTGTTCTTCGATGAAACATTTAACAATAAACAAAATTCGAATAATAAGGATGATGATTTCGATGTTGTCCGTGAATCACATAATTTTATCGTAAAATTTTTGCTCAAAATTATCAAATTTAATGATGGTTGTTGTTTTGATTTGCTATCGAATGAATCGACTACGAACAATAGATTTCCACGTAATCGACAATAATATTGATTAAATTGATTATCGTCGACAATCGATGGTTGATCCTGATCAATATTCATCAACAAATCATTCGGATTGATCCATAATTTTCCTTGTTTATCAAATATCATATCATCATCGTTGTTGGCAAACAATAAATCCAAAATGTTTCCATTTTCCAACAACATTTGTTTCGACGATTTGATAATTTGGTTTTTTTGGGCAAAATAGAAAATAATAACCATAAAAAGATTTTCACATAATTATTTTATAGAAGTATAAGTTTGTTGATAAAAGAAAAAAAATGATAAAAAACAAAAGATAATTTCTTTAAAAAAAGAAAAAAATTTGATAAAATTAATAAGAAATCTATTTTGGATCGAATGGATTTTTTTCCATTGTGGAATGGGTGTACCAATGAATGTCGAAATAGAATCGAACCACTGCCACAGCAGTAAAAAACAATGATTTTTTTTCCTCGAATTCCGCATAAAAAATAATTTTTGTTTAAAATTCGGAATTCTGAATTCTAATTTATTTATTCGCTTTAGCATGATATTATCGGGTTAATTTAATTTTTTTGCAAAAACAAAAAAAAATGTCTCGTCATCGAAACATTCGAACACGTACTTTTTCCGATGGTTTGTATCTTTGAAAATAATGTAATTTTGTGTAACATTTTTTCTCTGTTTTTTTGGTACAATTTCCAAAACAAACCAGAATTGGATGATTATGATTATGATCAATATGGACGTTCGATTGATGATGATTTATCATGTATATCACCAAGTACAGCAAATATGTATCTATATGAAAATAATATGAATACATTTCCCGAATCATTGGAGCAACAACAACAACAAAAAAAGCCATCGGATGAAAGTGAAGATATGACAAGTAGGCTTTTCTCATGTTTTTTGCCCCTATTTAAATTTGAATTCATTGTTTTACCAGATGCAACAATCGATTCTTGTATACAATTTATTCGTGATACAATTGGCCAAACAAAATCGGAAGAGGAAATTCTTTTTGCTCTGAAACAAACTGATTGTAATCCGGAATTAGCTTTGAATTTTTTATTATCAAATGATGGTCGTAAGGAAAAAGAACAGCAACAACAACCTAAATCTACAAACATTGTTCCAGGTAATTATTCATTTTTAAAAAATTAATTTTCCAAAATTTTTAAAAGATTTTGGTTTAGCAACACAACAAAATCCGACAAAATTATTTCGAGCTTTGACAGCAAAATTGCCAAATTCTTCAATGACAAAACGTAATAAAAATAACATCATCAACAACAACAACTACAATGATTATAAAATTAGAAAAATTTTAAAATATTTCATGTTAAATTCAATGGAAATGTACAGAAATCGTAGAGGTGCTGATAACTTTCTAGATTTTTGACTTTTTTGTTTCGTTTTTCTCAATTCTTGAAATTTTTCTTTCTTTTTTTTTCATTTTCCCATTTAGATTCTTCAAAACCACCACCGACGACGACGAATACAAAACAACAACAACAAACGCCAAGTTCTGAAAGCAATAAAAAACCGGAAAATATTGAATCAACAGTGAAAAAAATTGCTTCAAACAAAATGATGCTTGAAACACCGGATAAATTAACCACCACTGCATCATCGATTCCATCCAGTCCAATTAGTGCAAAAATAATTAGACAAAATATTAAACAAAAATCAGTGGAAGAGATTAAAAAAATTTATCAACAAAAACGTATTGATGGTCAGAAAATGTTACTGAATCTAGTGATTGCTGGTCATGTTGATGCTGGTAAAAGTACAATAATGGGACATCTTTTATCATTGTTGGGTAATGTTTCGAAAAAACATATGCATAAAAATGAAACGGAAGCAAAAAAACTTGGTAAATCATCATTTATGTATGCTTGGGTATTGGATGAAACAGATGAAGAAAGAAATCGTGGTATAACTATCGATATTGGTTATCATTGTTTTGAAACAAAAAAACGTATTGTAAATATATTGGATGCACCTGGTCATCGTGATTTTATACCAAATATGATACAAGGTACAACAAAAGCTGATGTTGCAATGTTAGTTATTGATGCAACCAAAGGTGAATTTGAAAGTGGTTTTGAAGCTGGTGGTCAAACACAAGAACATATCCTTCTATTACGATCATTTGGTATAACACAAGTTGCTATTGTTATTAATAAAATGGATAATATTGATTTTGATCAAGAACGTTATAATCAAATTGTCGATAAGATACGAAAATTCTTGAAACAAGTTGGTTTTAAAGATCAATCAGTTGAATATATACCATGTAGTGGCATGACTGGTGATAATTTAATTGAACTATCAAAAAATCCTAATTTTAATTGGTATAATGGGCCAACAGTTATCGATATAATAGATAATTTTACCTGTTCACAACGTATAGTGGATAAACCATTTCGAATGTCAATTAATGATTTATTTAAAGGACAAACTTCTGGTATTTATTTGTCCGGTAAAATTGATTATGGTTATGTTGAATTGAATCAAAAATTACTCATTTTACCTGTTGTTGAATATGGTACCGTTAAAAGTAAGTCATTACCTATGAAAAACTTAATAATTTTAATTTGTTTATCATGTGTAATTTAAAAAATAGATATCATTATTGATAATCAAAATCAAACAGAAGCATTTGCAGGTGATTTTGTCTATTTAAACATTATTCAATCGGATGGTTTAGAAATATCTATTGGAAATGTTATTTGTGATATTTTATCGCCATGTACAATGGCAACCAAATTTGAAGCTCGTATAGTTACATTTGGTACTATTGGAACACCTTTAATAAATGTTGGTTAATTTAATTTTTTTTATTGAAAAAATTCTAATCGAAAATGTTATTCCCATTTTCTCATTCAGGGTTCATCATTAATAATTTATTCGGTTTGTTTGAATGAAGTAGTCACATTAACTAAACTATGTTCACAATTAGACAAAAACAAAAATGAAGTGATCAAAAAAAATCCAAGATTAATAGGTAAAAATCAAGCTGCAATTGTACAGATAACAACAACAAAACCGATTTGTATTGAAACATTTGAAAATAGTAAAGAATATGGACGTTTTGTTTTACGTTCTGAACATTTTACAATGGGCACTGGGATTGTAACAAAAATTTTAAAAACAAATTAAATTTTTTTAAAAAATCATTTTCCTCGATGGTCCTTTGATTTGATGATGTTGTTTTTGTGATGATAACATTAATTTTGTTAGGCCATCACAACCAACTTGATTACATAATAGACCAGGTGGTCTTTGGGGACGAGCAGGAATCAAATTACCACCAGGATTTCCTTTATCACCTTTCGGTCCAATAATAGTTGCACCATTAATACCTCTTGGACCTGGTAGTCCAATGTCTCCCTTTAGAGAAAAAAAAAAGAAAATTAAATTCAATCTTTTTGATTGTGTGTGTATGATACAAACTTTTTGACCTGGAAAGCCTGAATCTCCTTTTGAACCTTTATCACCTTTTTCTCCACGTTCACCTTTTTCACCTGGACGACCAGATTGACCAGGTAATCCTGTTGAACCAATTCGTCCTGGTTCCCCTTTAGGACCAATAGGTCCAGGTAAACCTATACTTGGATTACCAGGTTTACCTGGTTTTCCACGAAAATATTCTGCAAAATAATTAAGATTATCATTTAAAACATCAAAAATAAGTAATTTCAATTCTTGACGATCCAATTTTGGTTGTTCACAACATTCTTTTACTATTTCGACTGTTTTGTATTCGAATTTTGGTAACGTTCGAATCTTCGGAAAAAAATTGTTCGAAAAAACGAAAAAGAAAAAACGATTAGTAAATTTCTGAATTTCAGAATCAATTTTCACGTACAATTTCATCACATTTTTCTCGTTGCGGTCGGGTTGCATCACAATCCAATGACATTGATTGAATATCTAATGATTCAATAGCATTACATAGTGTTATATCACCATCAATATCTAATTCTGGTAATGAATCAATAAATTTTGAATCATGTTTTTGACAATTAATAAACACTGTAATATTTGATTGATTAAAACTTAAATCTAATTTATTCCAATCATTTGGTTGAAATTTTATGCTATCGAATCTTATTGATGTTTCGGGAAAATCGATATCGATTTGATTTTCATTCGTATTGATTTTCAAGCTAAATCTTTTGAAACGAAGAGCGAAAATTAATCAATAATTTAGTCAAATTGAAAAACTTACAAAGAATTTCCCATAAAATCATCAATATTCAACAGGTTCCACGATGGTGATGATGATTGTTTTGCTTGCTGCTGATGATAATCACGAAATGTACATGAAAATGAAAATTGCTCGGGTAGACCTTCCGGAAAAATGTCACTATATTGACACAAATTAATGAATTTCAGGTAGAAATAGAATTCGAATTCAAAAATTACCTTGTTGTCATCGATAAATAAGAATTTCTCGATAAACGAAATGCATTTCGTATAAGATCCGAACCACGAATAATTTTCAAACCATTTTCAAAATGTTTTAGAAAATCAACATATTTATTTGTTTTTCCCGATGCTGTTGATGATGATAAATTATCATTACAACGAAGACCATCATATTCAGTCCAAGTAGCATCGATTATTGATGAACGACCAATCATCAACAAAATCAAGATGAAAATTTTGATGATCATCATTGTGGTCAGCAAATTTCCGATTTTAGATCGACAAAAAAGTGAATAATTTTTTAAAAATTACTTTATTTTTATACTTTCAAATACAATGATTTCAATGTGGTTAAAAAGAAGAAGAAAAAAGAACCAAGTTAGATGGATAAATAGGAAAAAAAATGTCAATTGGTAAGATATATTTTGAATTGAAATGAAAAAAACACATGTCTAATCATCCTGTTTCCGTTGAAAACAACCAACCAAAAAACCATATGCGATTCATTTTAGCTTGATGATGATGATGAATGATTTTTACGATCTTTTAATAATTCAATCGAATAAGTCTGATCCGAACCATTTTTCATCAACATTTTCGTTTTCGTTGATAATTTTTTTTCAATCAAATATGTTGAATCAATAAAATTTTCATCACCATCATCATCTGTTGAAGAAATTGGTTGAACATTACTAATGTCGTCATTTGTTTCCGAAAAATCTAATGATGGTTTTTGTTCCAAAGATTGTTGATGAAATCTTGATAATATCCGCTCATGTGGTGATGTTGGTGTAAATGTTTGTGGATATTGATATTGATAACGTTTAGGTGTTTCACCTGTTGATTGATATGTTTGAAAATTTTTTACCAATTTTTCAGTATTTATATTCAATTCATTCATTTCCATATCATGTGTTATTTTTAATGCTTGTATTGATCGTTTAGCATCACAATAATTATTCAATGTTTCCGTTGATTGTTCGGTGATTAATTTGGATAAATCTTCAAAAGCTCGACGATTAAATTTCATTAATTCTGTTGATTCTGAATTAAAATCTTCAACGTGATTTTGTTGATTTTTAACATTTCCATTAATCGATTGATCAATCGATTCAGTTTGTTTGTGAATTTTCACGAATGTTTCATCAACATTGTTGAACAATTTATCCTGGAAATCATTGAATTTTGTTTGAAATTCTCTTTGATATTCATTAATTTCTGAATATTTTTCAAAATTTTTTTCACAAGTTTGTAAATTTAATTGATCCATTCGATCCAAAAGATTACAAGTATCTTTTTCATCTTTCCCAATACAATGTTTCAATTCATTACATTTCATTGATAGATTCGATAAACTATTTGAATCATTTTCTTGTACATTATGCAAAATATTTTGAAAATTTTCTACATTTTCCGTAATTTTTGTCAATTTTTCCTGATGATCTGATCGGATATTATTCAAAAGATTTTCAAATGTAGCCGAAAATTCTTTTAAACGAATTTCAATATTCATATCGTTCATTTTGGTTTGTAAATCCGAAAATTCCTTGGTCATTTTTTCATATTCTTGACATTTTAAATGGTAAATTTTTTCAAAATCATTTCTTATTGAATCAATTATATTGATAGAATTTTCTGTAGATTTTTTTAGCTGAAATATTTGTGACATTAATGTTTCTTCTTGAATTTTTCGATTTTTTGAATTAAATTTTTGTAATTCTTGTAATTCGTTGATAGTTTTTCGTGAATTTTCACGTCCAATCAATTCGAACGATTGATAATCTTGCCGTAAAGTTTCTTTAAAATCACTCATAATCGATTCAAAGCGGGAATTTTTCCCAATCAAATCTTCACTTTCCATTTGAATTGAATTCAATAATTTTGTTGCGAAATTTTCAATTTTCTCATCCAATGAATCGAAATTTGTTGAAATTTCCATATTTTTTTGTTCAATTTTTGATTTATTATCATTAATCATTGTTTCGATTGATTGATAACCTTCATCGATTATTGAATAGACGAAATTTCCTAAACGATCAATTTTTTCCGTTTGTTCACGATATGCATTCTATTTTTAAAAAAGATTTTTTAAAAAACGATAACCAAAAATCAAATTCAAAACTTACCTTAAATTTTTTAATCGAATCAAAATTATCTTCTTCCAACGATGAAAATGTATCCAATTTTTGGAAAAGTTTTGAATTATCTCCAGTATATTTATCGGCAACCAATTTAACAGCTAATGCTTTTTTCAATAATTTATTTTCAGTTTTTTGATGTGCAGATAACAGAATTTTAAAATCTTCAATTTCAATTTGTTTTTTTCGTATTGATTCTTTTGTCATTTGCAGAATTGTTGATAATTTTTCCAATTCAGCCATAGTATTTGCTAATTCTTGTGATTTTTGACTTAAATCATCTTGTACATCATTCAAAAGATTATTACATTTTTCTAATTCATGTTTCATTCCTTCAATTTTTGCTTCTTTACTTTCTAGATCTTGTTTTTGCAGTTCAATCGTTGCTTCCATATGTGAATAATTTTTTGCATCAACAAAAATACCTTTTTTATCACGTGTTGCTTCTAAATCTCTTCGCAGACGATCAATTTCCGTAAGATATTCATTGATCAATGTTTTTTTACTCATTTTCAAATTCATTTCTGGTTTGTTTGTAATCTTCTTTGCACGTTGTGCATAATCTAATGTTGATATTGTATCATCCATATCATCATGACAAGGTGATATTGTTGCGATAATCGATGTTTTTGTACGACCACCCAGCGAATCTTGTAGTAATCTTGTTAGTTTTGAATCACGATATGGTATATGTGATGATTTCTCGACCAACGATGTAATTACACGACCTAATGTCAGCAGACTTTTATTGATATTCGAAGCTTCACGTGCACGTTCATCAACAGCACCTGAACGGCCAATATTTTCACTGCCAGCTAAATCGACTAAATTTAATTTACCAATTTTCACTACTTCTTCACCATCAAATTGTACTTCTTTAATATGGACGGTAATCGAAAAAATACTATGACTACGACTTGAACATGCATTCATTAATGTTGGTGCGGTTTGTCGTTTCAGTGATCCTTTTTCCAAAATTTCATAAATTTCTGCCTTGGTTTTAACAATCATTTCAACCAAACCGGCAATAATAACCGATCCTTTTCGTTCAGAATCATTATAAATTCGTAATTTTGTTGTATCACTTAATGGACTCAACAGATCATATGCTTCTTCATTATATAATTCCAAAAATGATACCCCAATTGTATATTCCGTATTTTGATGTTGAAGTTCATCCAACAGTTGATCAATTGCCCGTGGTATTATACCACTTAATGGATCATCTTCCCATGAACAATCACGATCAATACGATTACCAACCATAGTATATGTTTTTCCGGTACCAGTTTGTCCATATGCAAATACTGTACAATTATAACCTTCAATAACTTGTTCAACTAATGGTTCAACAACCGAACGATATATTTTAAATTGTTCGGCATTCGAATCAAATACACCATCAAATGAATATAATTTATTCTGTTGTGATGAACGAATGATACGTTTTTCCGGTACAATTTCGATCGATGCTTTTTTTTCGGTCGAATTTAATGGACGACAACGTACAAAAACCTGAATATTTTGATTAATTTCTTCCGATGACATTTTGTTTTGGTTGTTTTGATTGTTGTTAACAGATGGATAAGGAATATGTTGATTTTGGTTTGGTGTGATTTTCGAATCAATAATACGAGTTGGACGAAACATCTAACACAAAACAAAAACAAAACGAAAACAAAATAAAAAGTTTAATAATTTTTTTTAAATAAAAACAAAAAAATGACCATTAATCAAATTACCTTTGGTCGATTGTTGATTTAATTTGTAAAGTTCAAAAAAAAATTGAAAAAAATGTTGCCCGAATACTCAACAAGTTGAAAAACCTTAAACGTAAAGCGCGCGCGACACCAAAAAAATTCAACGGTCAAAATTTTTTTTGTGCACCGCTCATAGATAATGTTTTTTTTTGGTTCGAAACGTTTCGATGTACATCAAACGCGTTTTAAACATTTGAATTGATCATCAATATGGATTCGAATCCAGATTCTGAACAAAATTGTGATAAAATTGAAATATCACTGGATCAATCAGATTTTGATCCAGAATTAGTTTTGTTTGGTGATGTTAGTGTCAAAATTCCCGTACCTGAAGCTAAAATATTCAACAACCTCGATGAATATTATAAAAGTTCATTTCAGAAAAAGATGTCCATTCAAGAAAGTAAAAATCAACCGAAAAAACCGGCAAATTTATATGAAAGAAATGTTGAATTTTTCTATCAAAAACAAGATGAATCAACAACAACGGAAACAACATCTCGAAATAGACGTTCTCGTGAATTGACTGATGTTATTAAAAAAATGGAACAATCACAAAAAGGACCATTATCATTATTGTATCAGTCAATGGATAAAATTATTAAAATCCTTATACGACGACGAAGAAAATCATGTTTATTACGTGAGGAAAAATTTTCTTGGTTAACTGGCCGTTTAATTGCATTTGATAAACATTTTAATCTCGTTATTGAAGATGCAATTGAAACCTATCATCATCAACGACAACAGATAAAATCGTCTACTATTGACAACAAATCAACAAATAACTCAATTCAAATTCAAATAATAAACAAACAATCAAGACAATTATTGATTCGTGGTGATAATATTGTTATGATTGTTCGACAAAAAGAAGAATAATGATGTGATTTTTTTTAAAGAAATATAAAATATTTAAAAATAAAAATGATAATTCATCATTTGTTCATCGTCTGCATTGAATCCAATGCCACAATCAATGCATCGGTCATCAATTTTTGTTGATTTTTATCCGATGTTTTCAATAATTTATTCAATACATTTTTAACATAAGCAACATTGATATTGTTACTATTTGGACCACTAACACCACCAATCGAATCTTCATGATTTTTTAATCGTTGATTATTATCATTATTTGCCATCAAATTTTTATTCAATTTTTCTAAATCTGCTATTCTTGCCTGAAATTTATAACGATCATTTGAATAATTCCATTGTAATTCACGAATAGAACATTCATATTCACGACAACGTAAACGATAATCAGCTAATTCTAATTCTTTCCTCGCTAATTCATTCAGATGATATAATGATATATTTGATGTCGGCGTTGCTCCGGATGATCCAAATTGATGATCAGAAGTAATAATTTTTGTCGAATCAAACTCATGATCGATGGCCGTTGAAGATCTTCTACTAGCCGATACTATTGATGATGAACAACCATCACTTGATTCGGATTTTGATTTTGATTCGATTCTCATTAATGGCTGTACTATTGCTGTTTCGTTTTTATTTTTATTGATGATCGTATTTGATTGTGGCATGGTATTATCCAATTGTTTAACATCCACTGAAGATTCATTTTGATCATCAACATCGAATCGCGATTCAGTCTGTGTTGATTGTTCAAATTTTTCGGAAATTATTTCTGTTTGACAATAATTATCACGTGATTCTATTGTTTGTTTTGGTGGTTGATTTATCGTTGATTTTATTGTTCGATTCTTTTCCGATTCATTCGAAAGTTGTTCATATTTCGCCTGAAGATCTTTAATCCTTAATTGATCATGTTTTCTATCTGTTTCTAATTCACCACATAATCGACTTAGATGGCAAACATTTTGTTCCAATTCAGAAATACGTTTTTGTTGTTGTTGTCGTTGTTGATCATGATCAACATGATTATCAATAATCGTTAATGTTGATAATGATGATGATATTTTTTGTTGTAATTGATCACGTTCTTTTGTTATTAATTTATATGCACGAATTAAATCTTTTAATCGAGTTTCCAATAGATTTAATTTAGATTTTTGTTCATCAATTATCGATTGAAAACGATTACAATTTGTACAACCGGTTGATGGAATATTTTTCGTGGACATGATCAACTCAACAAACTGATTTTGATGATGATGATTAACATAATCATCAAAAAAAACAATAACAAAAAATTTGGTTACGTCCTTTTTGTATGGATTTGTTGAGATTCGAATGAATTTATCGTGAGCGCCGCGCAATTAAAAAAAATCAAGACAAAATTTTTTCAAAAAAATAATTTTTATTTCAATAAATTTTCCAAAAAATAAATAATTTTTATTCATCAAAAATCTTACCGTATACCCCCTTTATTTACACACAAACAAAAACACATTGCCCGATCATGGTCCGTAATATATGCTTAATCACCACAATACTTACCATCCTTTATTTTTTCACCAAAAATCACATTCATCATCGATTAACCGACAAGAAAACACAAAACTAGAAGAAATTGAATTCTGAATGCTGATGATGATTATCAAATTCCACAGAAAAAAAACATTACACCTACACTATCACCACTAATATCACCACAAAACAAAGAAAAACATCACCATTTTCGTTTTTCCGATATTAAAAATACACATCACTAAAATGAAATTGAAACAAACAAACAAAACAGAAAACACTAAAAACAATTACACAATGTACACATCTGCTTTATATATGGATAATAATAAGGGGAAACCCAAAAAAGATTTTGCCAATTTATTTTTAAAATTATTAAATTATTTTTGTGTGTGTAAAAATTTGTTGTTGTTGTCATATTTCTATTATTGAATCGATTATTATATGAATGAATGAATGAATGAATAATTGTGGGATTAAAAGTGACATCAGTGTGTTATATAATTGAACAGAAAAAATTTGAATATAAAATCAGATTAAGAGAAGAAACATATCATTTTCTTTTTGGATGTTATGTGCACATTTCACCAGAAACTTTTTTCCGGATAAACAAACACACACACACATTATAATCATCAATGATCGATCCGATCGATCAAGAAAATTCAATGATTATTCACATTAAACAATAATTCACATACACGGAAAAAAATTACATTTTTTTTCAATTTTTCAACAGAGAAAAAAAACCGAATACAACTAATTTTATGAATTTTATAGTGTTGATTGTAAAATCTAAAAATCTGTTGGATACAATATTTTTTTTTATTTTATTTTTTGAAAAAGCTAAGACCAAAACAATGATTTGAATAATGTGATGTTTTTTTTTGGTTGATTTTGTTGTTTTTGTTGATAAAATTATTTGTTATTTGTGTTGACAAACCAAAGAAAGAAAAAAAATGATAACAAAATGAATTTTTGTTTTTCTCAGCCAAACAAACAAAAACATGCACAAAATCCAAACCAAAAAAAAAAAAACAAAACAAAACACACTTTTCAACAAACATCACTCTCCAAAACAAAAACCATTCATTCACATTATCATTTCACCACAAAAGGATACACAAAATTCTTTCGGAAAAAACAGCACCAAACTAAAAAAAACTGCACAAATTTTTTGCATCTGCATTTCATCATATATATTAAAAAGATTGGTTGTCGACAAAAAAAAAAATCTAAATTAATTAAATTAATCGAAACAAATAAAGTGTGTGTGTGAGAGAGAGAAGAAAAAAAAGAGAATGGATTACTTGGATTATTAAATGAATGAATTGAGATTAAGAATAATATTTTCTTTATATTTAAATGAAAAAAAATTTAAAAGAAATTCTTTTGCTTGGTAAGTGGTTGTTGTTGTTATTGTTTTGACGATGATGATCTGATATAGATTGATTGGATAGAGAAAAAAATAGCAAATCGACGAAATGACACAAAACACGATTTTGAAAAGCCAGAGAATCACTCACATTCATCTCACCCACATAATTTCATTTTTTTCATCAATTACTACCACGCACAAGAACAACAACAAAATAATCTTCTTTAGTTGCCGATAATTCGTTGATATTTGGTGCAATACGTTGAATTAATTCAAGTGAAAAAGGATGTGGTGGAAATAGATAAAGAACATTTTTTGAAACATTTTCATCACCACCACCAGGTGTTGAAGATGCTGTTGTTGTTATTGTTGATGATAATTGTTGTTGAGATGTTGATGATTTACCTGGAAGTATAACAACGCCAGCAGCATCTTTTGATTTAAGATAGGTAACAAGATTACGTATTGGTCGTTGCTGAATATTATTGGCACCGGCTGCTGAAGAATTACCACCACCACCTGCATTATCTTCTCCACCACTACCACTTGCACCTGCACCACCACCAGCACCAGAATTAAAATTCAATTGAAGATTATTAGCTTGTGATGCAATCAATATACAATGACCACCACTGTTGGCTGATCCTGATGAACTAATCCTTTTAGTAACTTCTTCCAATTTTGTTGATTCAAGACGTAAACGTTGTGTTATTCGTAGTATTGGTTGTTGTTGTTGTGATTGTTGATCAGAAGTTGATGTCGATGATGATGATGTTTCTTTCATTAAATCAACAAGTTGAATATCACCACTACAAAAATACATTCGTAATGCAAAACCACTTGATTTTAAAATTAAACCACCTGACCATGTTGGTGGACAACATTTTATCAATTCCGAAATTGATTGTACACTTTCCATAACAGTAACTTTTATATCACCAACTGATGATTTTCCATTTGATAAATCAAAATTTGGTGATCCATTACCATTATCATCACCACCACGTATCAACGCACCACTAACATTTGGTGAAATAATCGAATCTAAACCTAAATTATTATTTGGTGATGATTTTTTTCGATCATTTTCACCACCAATTCCACCATCAGGTGAATGTAAACGTCTTCGTTTTGGTGATGATACAGAATCCTGATTATTTGACCAATATTCAAAATTATTTCCTTCAAAAGAAAAGTTGAATTAAATTTAAATAACATTATTCAGAATTCTAAAAAACCTACCATTATTATTCGAACGTGATGGTGAATTGCCGCCGGCAAAACTACCAAATGATCCTGGATCATTGCCTGATCTTGTCAGCGATGATGATGGTAATGGTGGCGGAGGAGGTGATGATGTTGAAAATTGACCCGGATCAGCATAATCAATACGTAGACGTTTATCAGGTCCACCTAATGGATAACCACGCATTGCAGCACATGCAGCTTGTGCTGCATCAATAGTATCATATTGAATATAAGCATAATTATCACCTTTACAATAATCAATTTTTCTTATAACACCAAAACGATCAAATTCTTTATCTAATTGTGCAAATGAAATCCATTGTCCTAAACCACCAACCCAAATTCTTGTTGTTGGCGTAGCTTTACCATAGCCAATTTTACATTGAAATTTTCCAATATATTGTCCAGACATTTCAACTTTAGCACGATGTGCCATATCAAGATTCAGAAATTTTATAAAAGCATATGCATTTCCTTGACCAGGTGGTGGACGTTTTACATCAACATCTTCAACAACACCATAACGTTCAAATATTCGTCGTAAATCTGGTTCGGTAATTGTTACTTCTAAATTTCCAACAAATAATGTTCTGGTTGATTTATCATCTTCTTCCGGTGGTATATGATGAAGATAATTTGGAAATTTTTCTTTTTTTGATTCACGTTGTTGTTGTTGTTGATTTTGATTTTGTTGATGATGATGATGATGTTGTTGATGACCACCACGTAAATTCATCGAATTTGAATGATGATGATGATAATTATCATTATTATTATTATTATTACGATTCATTTGATGATGATTATGGCTATAGTTATCACGATATTGATCACGTGATGAATGCTAGAAAAAAATAATCAATCAATCAATATTCGATATTCAAATCAATCATTACTTACTAATTGATAACGATCTTGATTTAATGAATTACGTTGTGGAGGAGGAGGTGGTGGTGGTATACGTCTTTGCATCGATAACGATGGTATTGGTGGTGACATATTACGCATTGAACTACCACGGCTACCAATATATTCCGGCGTAATTGAACGCCGTGAACGTAACGAAGATGATGATGATGAAACACGATCATAAATAGGATCGATAATAATTTGTTTTTCAAATAAAATTAAACGATATTTTGAATGACGTGCATCACGTGCATCTTCATATGAATTAAAATAAATATAAGCAATACGAGTGTTTTTATCATAAACCAATTTCACCGATGGACTACCAAAACGTGCAAATTCTTTTATCAATTCATTTCGAACGGTACTATCTGGATATTTATTACTAATATTACTAACACAAAGAATTTTATATGTTGTTGATGTTGTTAATTCGGATGAGGAATTTTGTCGATTATTGTGATGTGATGATCGTTGAATATAACCACCATCATCATGTTGATGATACATTGAAATATCACGTGATCTTGATGATGATGAAATTGGTGGTAATGGTGGTGATTGATCACGACGATGACGATTATTATCTAATAATGGTGATTTATTTAAACGACGTGATATTAATAAATCACGATTACGATCTAATGGTGGTGGTGGTGGTGAACCACGAGGACTTTCATCATATCGAGGCATATTGCTCTGGTTTTTTTGGCCGAAATTTTTTTTTTCTTCGAAAATTTACCTTCGAATTATTTGTAACAAATTAATCGTTGATTTTTTGTTTTGTTTTTAATTTAAAAATTGATCAAAATTTTGAGTGATGAAAATCGAAAAAAAATCAAAACATTTTTCATCACCAAAACACACAAAACAAAAACACATCAATTGAGTGAGCAAAATATGAGCGTTCGATCGAACGAACGAATGAGAAAAACAACAAAGAACAGACATTGCTCTGTGTATGTAAAAGGGGAGGGGGTTGGACCAGAAAAATTTGTTTCCTGGAAAATTTCTTCTTTCGCTTCTTTTGAGTGTGCAGAGTGTGTTGATGTGAAGGACATTTTCTCGGGAATTTTTTTTCTGTCTTTTCTTCTTTTCTTTCGGCAAATTCCTTTTCCGAGCAAATTCAATCATCATTGTTATGAACGGTCCATTATCATCATCACAAGTTGTCCACGCTTGCAATAAGATTCTTTTTGTTTGTTTAATAATTTTGTTTGAAAATTTTAAAAATTTAAAAACTTTTGAAAAACTTTTTCAACGCAAAAATGGTAAGCTAATTTATTGATTTTCAATTTAATTTGATTAACTGATTAATTGATTGAAAAATTTTCACAAATTTCCTTACAAAAAGAAACCTTTATCACTTAATGGACATGAAAGATCGATAACAAAAATTCGATATAATTTGGAAGGTGATTTGTTGTTTTCTTCGTCGAAAGATAATACACCAAATGTATGGTATACAATTAATGGTGAACGTTTGGGAACATTTGATGGTCATACTGGTGCTGTTTGGTGTATCGATCCTAAATGTATGTAAATGATTCGAATTCGAACGATTTTTTTTTCTAACAATTCATTCGATCTAAGGGGATTCAACAAAAGTTGTAACCGGTAGTGGTGATTGTACTCTGTGTATATGGGATTGTGAAACTGGTTCTCGTTTGGATTTGATAAAAACTGAAACAAGTGTTCGTAGTGCATTGTTTAGTTATTCGGGAAATCTTATCTTGTATTCAACTGATCAACAAATGAATAAACCAGCTGAATTGAATATTATTGATACAAGGATTGTTGATTCCCAGCCAAATGAAGAAGAACCGAATGCTAATGTCGATGATGATGATGATTTAAAAAATAATATATTTTCATTTACATTACCATCCAAATCAAAAGTATTATCAACATTATGGGGAATATTGGATCAAAGTTTTATTTGTGGTATGGAAAATGGAAAGCTAGCAAAATGGGATCTACGACAACCTGGTGAACCATTATTGGAAACTGAACCACATAAAGCACAGATTAATGATCTACAATATAATAAAGATCAAACATTTTTCGTATCAGCATCGAAAGATAATACAGCAAAATTGTTTGATCCATTTACATTGGAACATTTAAAAACATATGTAACCGAGCGGCCAGTAAATTCAGCAAGTATATCACCAATATTGGATCATGTTGCTGTTGGTGGTGGACAAGAAGCAATGGAAGTAACCAGAACTGCATCGGAATCTGGAAAATTTGAATCACGTTTTTTCCATCTAATTTTTGAAGAAGAATTTGCTCGTCTAAAAGGACATTTTGGTCCAATACAATCATTAGCATTTCATCCGGATGGTAGAAGTTTTGCAACCGGAGCTGAAGATGGTTATATCCGAATACAATCATTTGATGATAGTTATTTTAATTTTAAAATGGAATATGAATGAATAATTTTCTCAAAAATTACAAAATGATAATGATTTTTTTTATAATTTTAAATAATTAAAAAAAAATTTTTTAATTACAAAATTTTATTCATTTTTTACTTCGGTAATTAATCACAGATTTTTTTTTATAAAAAGATTATTATTGTTATGGATGTGGGTAAACATTCGATTTGTCATCAGAAGAAGAGAATCAGGGAATGTGTGTGTGTATTTCTGGGTTTGTTTTTGGAACGGTCCTTGTTGTTGGTTTTCCTTATTAACACTGTGTTAGTTAATTAGAAAAAGGTGTGTGTTTTGTGTTTGTGTTTCAGGTGAAATGAAATGATGATGATTGTTGTGAAGTACAAAAATGATTAAATAAAACGGGTGAAAAATGATCATTTTGTATAATGGTGTGTGTTATTGGTTGTTTTTTTTTTAAAAAAAGGTTCAGGTTGCTGATGATAAATCTAAACTTTTTAATAATTGTAAAAATGTTTGTTCAATATTTGGTGAACATAATATAAATGCCATAATAGCAAATAATAATAAACAAATCATACATGTTTTACGTTCTAATAAACAACTAATCATATATAATATGATAAACATTATATGATTTTGTAAATGAAATGAATTTGTTGGTTTTGGTATTAATAAAACTGGTATTAACCATTGTAGGCAATACATTTTTTTTTTTGATTTTCGAACGTTTTTTTTCTGATTTTGAATTTCAAACAATAGTTTTGTTGCGAGAGTCCAATTCAAAACAACAACAGATAATCGGTGTTGGATAAATTATTTTTGTTTTGTTTCAACTTTTTTTGAATAATGAATTTGCATAAATTTTATCACACACACTTTAACTTTAGGATGAATAATTTGAATATATGAAAAAAAAGGAAAATAAAAAAAATTATTATTTATAAAGATTAGATTAATTAAGAAAAAAAAGTATATACCATTGATTAATTTAATAAGAAAAAATAAACGATATATATCAAATCAACAACATCAAAAAAAACAACAAAGTTTTTGATAAACATTTCAAGATTTGAGAACACAGAGAACAAAAAAACAAAAATAACGTCTTTCTTTTCTCTCTCAAAAAAAAAAACAAAAACAAAAAATATATTTTTTTTGTCATTTAGGTAGAACCATGAAAGTGGATATAGTCGCCGAAAGAAAAAAAAAAAGATTCGATGATGATGATCCACCACCATAAGCATCATCATCATCATTTGCAGCTGTGTGTGTAAAACAACTCACTCATTTCACATAGTGGGAATGCGTAGATCGAATCTTTTGCTTTTTTGCAAAATAACAAAGATCAATATACAGTGGTAGAGCTATATATCTCTATGTTGGTATTTTGTTTTGTTGGACAACCAAATTGAAGTGAAAAAATTTCTCATCATCATCCATTGATATCATTTATGATTTGAGCTGCTTTTTATTTTGTTTGTCAAACTTTGGTTTGAAAATAATGACGACGATGCTAATGATGATAAAATACCGTTAAACGACGACAACGAATATAACATATGGAACTTTTTTTCGAAAATTCTTATTCGGTACAGAATTTTGTTTCACAAACTAAACATAAAAAGTTGCACAATTCTTTTTCTTCTTTTACTTCTTCTTTAAAGAAAATCAAAATTCTAGTCAGAATTTTTTCTTTCGTGGACAGCAAATCTGTAAGTCAAAGATTTTTTTTTTGATTGTAGTTATGGTGATTAAAATTATGTTAATTTTGTTGTCATTTTTTTTTTTGATTTGTTGATTACCACAATATCACATCGCATTTGCAATCATCGTAGTAAAGAAGGAGAAAATAACCACCCCCATCACATCAAAAGTTTATTTAGTAGTTTTTTTTTTTTGATAGAAATTCAATGATAATTTGAACTGAAAACCAAAAGAATGGCTGAATTATTTTCATCAACACAATTACCACCGACAATATCAACAATGTCATCATCATTGTTACCATCATTGACCGGTGGTGGTAGTAATAGTGGTGGAATATCAGCTGCAGCCAAAAACATTACACAATTTGTTGAACATCCGGGTATTTTTTTACAATCATCATCAGCAAAAATAATTGCGGGTATTTTTGCATGGACAGCATTATGTATAACATGTCATCAGGTAACGAAAAAAAACATTCGATTCGAACGTTCGAAAATTATCGTTCCTTTCTTTCTTTTTTTCTAACCCTTTCCTTTCTTTTCTGCCCCAAAAGATTTATCAACATTTAAAATATTATACAATGCCATCAGAACAACGTTGGATTGTTAGAATATTATTTATTGTTCCAATTTATGGCCTGGATTCATGGTTTAGTTTGTTATTTTTTCGAGATAATTATTATGTTTATTTCGATAGTGTTCGTGATTGGTATGAAGGTAATGTTTGTTTGTTTTGGTTATTTTTTTTAAATTGTAATGATGATTTTTTCGGACATTTTAGCATTTGTAATCTACAATTTTTTAAGCTTATGTTATGAATATCTTGGTGGTGAAGGTAATATTATGTCGGAAATACGTGGAAAACCAATACGTTCTAGTTGGTATTATGGTACATGTTGTTTAACCGGAAAAACCTATTCGATTGGATTTTTACGTTTTTGTAAACAAGCAACACTGCAATTTTGTGCTGTTAAACCAATAATGTCATTTGCTGTTTTGATTCTGCAATCATTTGGAAAATATCATGATGGTGATTGGCGTGCTGATTCTGGTTATCTTTATATAACAATGATATATAATATATCAGTTTCATTAGCACTTTATGGATTGCTTTTATTTTATCATGCAACAAGAGATTTACTTAGTCCATTTGATCCTGTTTGGAAATTTCTTACAGTAAAATCTGTAATATTTTTATCATTTTGGCAAGGTGTTATTTTGGCAATTTTTGAACAAGCAGATATTATTTCACCTGGTATGTTTTTTTGTTTGAATTTATTCCTTTAACTCTTTTTTTTTTGAAAATGACTTATTTTGGTTTTAAAAGTTTTTACATGGGAAGGACAAAAAGCAAGTGCTGGTACCGTATCGGCTGGTTATCAAAATTTTTTAATCTGTATTGAAATGTTTTTTGCATCATTAGCATTACGTTATGCTTTTCCACATGGCGTAAGTTTTGTGTAAATCAAAATTTATTTATTGATTTTCAATCGAAAATTTATCATTTTTCGACAAACATATAGATCTATAAAGGAAATTATTCAACCGATACACATGGTCGATCGGTTACAATGCAAAGTATTTCAAGTAGTTTGAAAGAAACAATGAATCCTCGAGATATAATGAATGATGCTATTCATAATTTTCATCCAAATTATCAACAATATACACAATATTCATCAAAACCAGATACAAATCATCATCAATATGGATCATCGTCATCACCAAAAACCAATAATGGTGGTTCGGGTGAATCAACCATAAAATCACCAATCATAAATGATTCAAATACAAATAATAATTATAATAGTGGTATGTCTGCTATTGGTAGTTCAATAGGAAATAATAATTCGGGTGGTATGGTAACATTATCGGCTGCTAATCCAATGGTTTCATCATCATCAACGATTACAACAACTGGTAGTGGTGGTGGTGGTAATTCAAATTTACAATCGAAAACTGGTAATGATAATGGAAATGGTAAACCAATTACAACACTTGGACCAAATTATTCGGAAAAAACAACATTATTAAGTTCGGATGATGAATTTCAATGAAATTTGTTGTTTGAATTTGATTTGTTATTGTTAATTCAAGATATGGAAGACATGAAAGTGATGATGATTTGCATACAACAACAAAAACAACAATTTCTTTGTTTTTTTTCTGTTTTTCTTTATTTCACCAAAAAAAAACAACAACAACAAAACTAATCAATTTTTCTGTAAATATTATTTTCTTTTCATTTCATTTTCAGTTAATTTATTCTGTAAATTTTCTTTTCAAATTTCATTTAATTTCTTCGGTTCTTTTTTATTGTAGAAAATACACCAAAAAATTCAATTCAAACACGAAAACAAAAAATCACACTGATTTCACTCAAATATATCACATCTTAAAATTGTTTTTTTTCTCTCTCTCATTATCCATTCATTCAAATCTGTTTTTCTGTTTTGTCAATTTTGTTTGTTTAAGAAAAGAAAAACAAAAAATTTAATTTAATTCAAAATCTTCAACGAAAAAACCACCCGATCGAACGAAATTTTGTTGATTTTGTTTTCGAATAAATAAAAATTTCATTTGAAATGCGCATGTCGGTTTAGAATAATAATGAATGAAATTCCTTATAATTCCACCATCAGGCGCCAGTATCAATCAGATAAAGTGATATATTAATGATGATGATGATGATGTTTATTTTTAGACATTTATCAACATCATCATTCGTCATCATTATTATTTTCTTTCTAATAAAGATTTTGATTAAAAGAATAAATTATTATTCTTAATTCAATTTGGTTTTATTGAATTTGTTCATATTATATAATAATTTTTATTGTTCAATATGGTTAATTCGAATATAATCAACAACAACAACAATATTGATGATAATCAAGCAACAAACAACAATTCAAAGAAGATGATGATGATTAATGGTAATAATGTTGTTGTTGATAATAATAATCGTACGATCGAATCATCATCAATAAAATCCGAACAACAACAACAACAACAAAAAGTTGACAATAATAATAATAAAAATATAACCGATGAATGGCCTTATGATGAAAAAGATTTATTTAAAATTGCATTAAATTTTTTCAAAGGTAAAAAATCGAATGATAATTTCCGTATTTTTTACCTTTGTTTCTTTTTTTTTTGCTTGAAATCAAATAGAAAATGAAGGTAAAGCTTTTCATCCATCATATGATCAACGAAATATGTTGGTTGCATTAACATTACAGGAAAAATATGGAAAATTTAATGAAGGAAAAGCAATACCATTAGGAGCTTTAGATTTTGTTGGTCATGATCGAAGGTTTGTTTAATTGCGGGTAATCAATTTTTGTTCAACTTTTTTCTGATTTTTTGTAAAAAAAAACCAAAATAGAAATGCATGGATTTCTCTAACGACAATGTCATCGGATGAAGCTCGTCAACAATTCATACAATTATTGGATAATTTATGTCCATTTTTTCGTTCCTATTTAATTGCTGTTCGTTGTGATATTGAAGAAAAACAAAGAAAACAATTAGAATTAGAAGAATCGAATAGGAAACAGTTGGAACAACAAGAAAAATTTCGGGCTGAGGAAGAGGCTCGTTTGAAAGAAGAAGAAAACCGTAAACAAAATGAAAAACAAAAGTAGGTAGCATTGTTGTTGTTGTTTTCGGAATGTTTCATAATTCAATTTGAAATTTTTCTGTTCTGTTCTCATCATTAGACTTGTGATTAAAGAATTGCTTAATCGTCAAACAATCAATCAATTTACTATATATGCACAACAACAATATCCTGATAGTGAAGAATTACAACAACAACTTATTAAACAATTACAAGAACAACATTATCAACAATATATTGAACAAATGATGATGGAACAACAACAACAACAACAGAATGGACAATTATCATCATCATCCATATTAAATACAAATAATAATCCTGTACTAAATGTTGTTGATAATGGTGATTCAACAGAAAATAATCATCATCATCAGGAATCATCGAATTTGGCCAAATTATCATTGAATGGTGATCATAATAATATTATTGATGAAATTAATTTATCATCAACATCGATGCCAAATGAAGATCAAGATGAAGGTGATGGTGAAGATGATGAGGAAGAATCAGATGATGATGATAGTTTATCCAGACAAATAAACAATGCATCAATGTGGACTCGAAAAGATTTAGTTGCTTTTAAAGATTCAGTACAATCAGAAGGTGGTCATGGTATTATTAAAGTTGGTCATGGTGAAATTGCAACCATACGTGTACCAACACATGATGATGGTAGCTGTATATTTTGGGAATTTGCAACCGATCATTATGATATTGGTTTTGGTTTATTTTTCGAATGGAATTCTTCGCCTGATAGTCAAGTTTCTGTTTATTTTAGTGATAGTGAAGATGATGAAGAAGAAGAACAAGGTAAACTTTCTTACTTTTGAAATAATAATTTCTTCAATTTTTTTCATTATTTCTAATACCATATGGTTTAGAACCATCAACCACTGGACATGATGTTGAAAAAGGAACTAATCGTATTGTAAATTCACGACCATCATCTTGTCGTCATGTTGATGGTGATGGTAATCATCCACCGATAAGTGCAATCATTCCAATATATCGTCGTGATTCACATGAAGAAGTATTTGCCGGTAGTCATATTTATCCGGGTAAAGGTGTTTATCTTTTAAAATTTGATAATTCATATTCATTATGGCGTTCAAAAACATTATATTATCGTGTTTATTATACAAAAGAACCTTAAACGTCAAAGAAGAATCACTGAAAAACCATTTACACATGTTATCTGTAATTATACAATCAATTTTTTTTTACCGACAGCAAAGTATTTATTATTTGTAATTCAAATGGAAAAGCGGGGAAAATGCAATGAACATTTGTAAATGAAAAAATGAATTTGGAAAATTATTATAAAATTGTTGCACGCCAAAAACAAACAAAACAAAGAAAAGAATCGATGAATTGATACAAAAAAAAATAAATCATTGTGTTGCTTTGGATTTTTTCATCGCTTTCTTTTTATCTTTCTTTTTCAAACCATAAAGATTTCCTTTTAAAAGATTAGAATATGCTTGTTGAAATTTATTTACATCTTTTGCCGAAACAATGATACTAATTTTTCTTGTACGATCATGTACACGAATTAGGCATTTATATTCTTTTGTTTGCTGTTGTTGTTGTTGTTGTTTTGGTTGTTCATCTTTGTTGGAATTTTTCGGTAATTTCGATTTTTTCAATTTTTCCGTACGTGGTCGTGGTTTTGGTTTCGGTGAATTATCAATTCGTTTCATAGTGATATAAATTGAACCACCTTTCATTTGATTTGTATAGAATAGTTTACTCATTTCACTAAGAAACTAAATCAAATTTGAAATGGAAAATTCATCAAAAAAATTATTTCGAAAAAATTTCACTTTTTCTTACCGTTTCACTGTTTGTTAGAAGCATTTTCGTAATTTTCTTTTTTTGATTTGACAACGACAAAATCTTTGAAATAAAATATAAAATTTGGAAAATTTTTTTTTTAAGAAAAAAATTGATTTGTTGATATACACACGGATGTTGCGTGGCTCATGTGTTGATGATGAATATATTTAAATTTAACGAAATTTTCCCGTTAGATGGCGTTCGAAAAGTCAAATCGAAGCAAAAACATGCTTTGCTGAAACACACACACAGCTGAATTGCGAATATCGAAAAGAAGAAATTCTTGAAACGAATTCTTATCGGATTTTTGGAAAATGAATTTCTAAAGTGAAATCATCATCATGGTTTTTGTAAATGTTATTCGTTGGGCTAATGTAGCCCGAAATTTAAAAACAACAACTTTATCAACGGCTATTAAATTAAGAATCAATAGACCTTTAATACCAGCTGCACAAATGAATTTAGATGATTATCAAGATATTATTAGTGAACAAAATATACCGGCAATACGGCCATGTTATCCATGTTCATCGTTTTATGATGAAACCTTATCAAAATTTGTTAATCGTGGACAACGTAAAGGACAACGTATAATGATGCGTGAATTATTAAGGGAAACATTTATGATTATAAAACGTATTCAATTGACAAAAAAATTGAATAATTCCGGAAATGGTAATGGTGGTGAAGAACAAGAAGAAGTCGTTTGTGATCCATTAGTAATATTTCATCAAGCAATTCGTAATTGTATGCCATTAATGATAACCAGACCTGTTAAACGTGGTGGTGCTACTTATCAGGTACCATTTCCTATTAGTGAAAAAGAATCGGAAGAACTGGCAATGCGTTGGTTATTCGAAACAGTTGTTGAACGACCACGACCACGGAAACAATTTTTCCCTGAAATAATGGCTCGTGAATTGATCGATTGTTATTATAATCAAGGTAAAGTAGTGAAGAAAAAACAAGATATACATAGACAATGTGAAAATAATAAAGCATATGCACATTATCGTTGGGGTTGATCGATTGTTGGATCAAACCTTAAAACATCCATCGATTATCATTATCAACAACAAACAAAAAACATATAAAAAACATTTCTGCGTAGGTGTATAAACTCTATACAAACATAATTTTTATTATTATTTGTCAAAAAAAATTATTATTATCCAACATTCATTATCATCATCATCAATAATAATAATAATAATAATCCGTTATAGAGAGTGTTGTAGTTGGTTAAAGATGATAATTAATTAAAGAAGAATTTTTTTTCAGTTTTTGTTGAAAATATTTACATTTTTAAAAAAAATCGACACAGTTTTTGTTTTCGACAATGTTTTTCTTGCTTGTGTGTGATGTTTATCCTTTTTTAAAAAAAACCATATGGAATAAATTTTTGTTCACTTTATATTCTTTGATTCGTTTTTTTGTTTTTGTTTTTTGGTTGATTTGTGGATGGATTTTTTTTGTCGTTTGGCTTGATTGAATTTATTTTTGTTTTTTTTTTTTCGTTTTGGTTTTGGCGGCTTCCATTTTCCAATGATGTGTAGCGACATGAGAAAGAGTGAAAAGTATAAAATCTGGATTTTGGCAACAAAAAAAAAAGTTTCACAATTTTTTTGGTTCATTGGAATCCCGGTAAAAAGTTTTTTCATGTTTTTTTTTCTTCTGGTTCGAAAATTGAAAACTTAAAAAAAAATATTTCAATTTTCAATCAAAATCTTTTTCAAAACCTTCAGCCACTGTTTGTAATATTAATTTAATGATTATATTATAAATGTTGGCCATATTATCTGTATAACGTTCTTGTAATACTTCTTTTACGGCTTCGATAAATGGTTTCTCTAGTTTCTGATGGTGGTTGATGGTTGATTGGAAATTTGGAAAATAAAATGCGTTTTGAACCAAAGTAAAAATCGGATTTTTATCGGGAAAAAAACGGAGAAAAAAAGAAAGAAAAATTAATTGAACAAATTAGTTTTTGTTTTTTTTTCGGGATTTTTATCAATTGGGGAAAGAAAGAAAAAAATTGAATTAAATTATCGATTATCGAAGATTTATCGATTTAATTGATTGATTGATTTGCTTTTTTTTTCTTGTAAAGTACAAATTAAATCAAAAAGAAAATCGATTGATCTAAATTACCAGTCGGTCACATTCAATCGGTAATTTTTTTTCTTTTTTTGGTTGCCAACAAACTATCCTATAGGTTCGGTTTTTATATAGGAATTCAAATTATTGAATGTTTTTTTCTCGCACTTTGCTTGCTTTACTGGAAAATGAAATGAAATGAAATTTTTTGCTTTGAATCAATCAATCGATCCATGAAAAATTGTCAACAACAACAACAATGCACGCATCTCTATTCACTATTCAATTTTCATTTGATCAAACATATTTGATGATTGAATGAATGACTGACGTTATCATCCATATTGATCAATGTTGTGAAATGAAAAAAAAATCGAAACTTAATAAACAAAATCTATTGTGTCTGGTGTGGTTGAATCGATCTACACTAAAAGTATTAACCATAAGAATATTCTTCTTTTTGAATAGAGAAAATTCTTTTCAAAAAAAAGAAGAATATTCTTCATTTGAAAAGAATTGAAAAGGAGATTATTTGGAAATGAATGAATATTATTACACACTTACCAAAAAATTTTCTTTTTGAAAACCAGGAATTTTTCGATGAAATTTTCCTAAATTATGTAAATGATGAAAAAAATAATCCATATCATCCAGCCCATTGATCATTTCATCTAAATTGGCCATTACTTTTGTTGCATGTTCAGCTAATTCCATACTTTTTAATTGGCTATCTTTTGTTTTTAATTCTTGAAATTTTGTAAACAAATTTAAAATATCGGGTGTTTCTTCAAATAATCTTTTTACACCGAAAAAAAACAAAAAGAAAAACCAACCAACCAAACGAAAAAAAACCAAACAAAAAAGAATAAAGACCGGAGGGAAAAAGAGGGCAAATAGAGAGAGACAGAAAAGAATTCAATTAGCAGAATTAAAAAACAAAAATTCTTGGTTAAATTAATTTTTTTTTGGGGGGGGGGTTAATTCAGTCTACTCACTTGACAAACATTAAAACGCCTGTCATTTCCATTTCTCTTGAAATTCCTTTCCATGATTTGGAAAGATTAAATTTTTGTTTAACAGTTAATGGTAATCTTGGATCAAATGTTTTATTACCAATATTTTCTTCCGTTTCGAATGGATCTAATGATTTTTGTCTTCTTGATGAATTTGAATCATCACCACTTTTACTTAATGGACAGCCCATTTTTTTTTTCGTTTGTAATTTTGTAATTTTTTGGTAAGAAAATTCAATTAGCTTTTTCCCCGGAATAAATATGCAAACAGGAATTTGTTTGTTTGGTCGACGAATTTTTCTCTATTCAAATTTTGATTATGAAATGAATTTTTCGTTTTGTTTTTGCTAGAATTGAATTTGAATTGAATCGCTGGACAGAATTTAAACAAAAAACAAGAATTCTAAGGGAATTCTTCTCGGAAAATTCATAGGCACAATGTTTGTTTTGTTTTGTCAGTTTGTTTTTGTTTGTTTGTTTGTTTGTTTCACTAATCATTGATGATGATTTTTTTTTATTTCATTAATGATGATGATGGTCACTCTGTCCGTTTTTTGTATTTGATTTTTTCTCCACTATTTGATTGAAATTCTCTTCGTTTTATTTGATTTTCGGTTATTTTCTGTCGTTTTTGGTTTTCTGACGTTCTTTTTTTTTCTTTTTTGGTCGAGAGGTCAATCGATCAATCAATCAATCAATCAATCACGATTCCCAAAGTGGAACAAAAAAAAAAAATGATATTTGGTTTTTCGTTTGTTGATGGTGAAAAAAAAGACAAAATGAATAAAATTGATGATTCATTTAAAAGTCAACAACAACAACAACAATAACGTCAACAAATGATAATCAACAAAAATAGACGAAAGAAAGAATCATAAAGAAAAATGAATCATTGAATCGATAATGATGATGATCTAGAAACAATGAAACACTGAAGAAAAGAAGAATAAGAAGAAGAAAATGAAAATGAACAAATCATTCATTCATTCATTGAACACACGATTATTGAATTAATGTTTTGTTTTGTTTTGTCTCATTTGATGATGATGGTTTGTTGTTTTGTTTCTCTGTTGTTATATGATGATTAATTTTTTTTGTTCTGGTTCTGGTTTGGGTTTTTGTTCCGGTTTTTTCTTAAGGAGAAAAGAAGAATATTCTGGTTTTCTTGGTTGATTTTTCTTGCCTGATAATGGGCGTATGTGTAAAATGAAACAAAACGACAGGAAATCTTTTCGGGAAAAATCTTTTGGGAGGGAACCCAAAAACAAAACAAAACAAACGAAGATTTATGATGATAATGATAATGATGATGAAGGAAAAAATGTCACAATTACAATTCAACCGTAATGATGATGATGATGATGATATTAGATAATTATTATTGATGATAGATAGTGATATTATCTATGATGAACGAATCACAATATTACAATATCGAAAACAATCGATATTCGATAGTGATGATGATGGCAATGCTGAATAAAACGGGTTAAAAAAAGGTTTTTCCGTTCGAATTTTAAATTAGTAAAAATATTTTAAAAGGTTTTTTGTTTTGTTTGGTACGTCGTCGTTCAAATCAATAATCAATGATCGACAACAAAAACAACAGAAAAATTCATATTTCTTAATTTTCAATCAATCAGTTAACAAGTTACGTTTCAACGAAACAAAAATTGATCGCTAAAAATAAATGATGATCGATGAAAAACGAAACGAAATTCATTAAAGATGACGGTGTCATTTCAAAAACGAAAAAAAAAATTTGTGTACAGTGGCAGTAACAAAAAAATGTTTAAAGTCTTTTCAAATGGAAATTAATTGAACTGAATTTGAAGAAAAATGAATGAATCTTTACGTTTATCGAAGAAATATATGTAAGGAAAGAAGAAGAAGCATCATCACATGAATGGATATTATTATCATCATCATCATCATTTGAAAAACACACATACACACACAGCATCATATAATTTGTAATCCAAAACGAAACGAAACGAAATGTTCATCATCAACACACACACTTTTGATGATCTTTTTTTGGTCGAATCTCTCTTGTTTGATTGATTTTCTCTCACTGGAAGCCAAATAACATCTTATTTTTTCCCAGTGCAAATTTGACAAATGTGAATTGAATTGACCGATGATTTAAAAAATGTTGCTGGTCAATTTTGATCGGGTCAATTTTAGGTTTGGCTGTCAAGTGTTATTTTTTTCTTGACCGAAAAAAATGGATTAACCCATGAAAAACATCTTTGAAAAACAAGTGACAATCTTTTCAGTTCACCAAAGAAAAAAAAAATTCACTGAGCATCGACGAGTATCTGATCTGATGACTGGAATCGTGCCTCTCTCTTACCACCGTTTCTTTCATACCTGTATGATGATGATGATTATTGATGGTTGATTTTTTTTTTCTTCACCAAAAACAAAAATGGTTATCTTTCAATTTGGATTCTTGACGTACAACAACAACAACAACAACAAAATCTATCATCATCATCATCATCCACATCGTCGTCGTCGTCTTTTTCTTAGCATAATTTTTCCATTCAAAATTCATTCATGTTCAGATACTACTACAGGTATCTTGTATCTTCGAACATCTTTTTTTCTCTTTTTTTCATCATGAAAAAACAACACAGAACAGAACAGAACAGTTGCAGATATCCAAAAAAAAAAAAAATGATTATTATTTTGTTTTTATCGATTTCTTCTGCCACTTTTTTCTAACAAAATACTTTTAACAAATCCACCGAACAAAACACAGGTATCGATGATGATTGTCCAATAAAGTTTGTCGATGTTCAAATATTCAATGTTGCTGTTGCTGTTGAAGAATATCGAAGAACGAAGAGAAGAAACGAAACGAGAGAGAAAATAAATTCATCTTGATCTTTTCAAGGCAACATCACACACACACTTTATAAACACACCATTTCAAAAAAGAAAAATATGCCCCAAAGCATTGATAATCTACGAATCATCAACAAAAACAGCAGAAAAACGATGAAAGAAAGATGAAAACAACATTCAATACATCATCGACAACAACAACAACAACATTATTATCATCCAAATGATATTATTATTCGATAATTCTTCAAGAAGAGGTTTCTTTTTTTTCACATTTTTACATTTTCAAAAGAAGAAGAAGAAGAAAAAAATGTATTTTTCCAATTCCAATTCTCCTCTATAACCCACACACACATACATACACAGACAGAACACATAGTATTTTGGAGGAGAAAAGCAAAGCAAGCAAGAAATTTCACATTGACAAAAAACATTCCAAAACATTAACATCAAATAACAACAACAACAAGCAAAATGATAAATTAGAATAAATTCAAAAAGGAAAAAATATAAGATATATACATGATGTGTGTGTATTTGAATAGGATGGATGTTTTGACGATGATGATGATGATGATCGTCGTCTTGACTCATCGGACATGGATATATATCTTGAAGATTGTTTGGTTGGTTGGGGATATACAATACCGATATTATTCCAAATTTTTGGAAGAAATGAAAAAACTTGAAGAAGTCGTTTGTTGTTTTTTTTTTTTGGTTTTCGTTCGTTTGTTCGTTTTTGTGTGTTCCGTTCGATTCAGTAATCTTTCTATATCTACCACATACATCCTATATAGATAGATATAGATATAGTATACTCATTAATGAAGAATTCTTTTGGAGAGTGCGCATTGATAGAATTCGAACGTAAAGAATTCGAACACAGTAAAAACATTCGAATTCGAATTCTGTAAGAATTTTTCTTCTTTTTTTCCCAATTTCTACAAATGAATTTGACATGGAATTCATCATCATCGTCATTAAGCGAGATTTATATAGCGAGAGAGAGATAGAGAGAAAGAATATTCTTTTTATTTACAATGAATAAATTCCTAATTAATTTAAATGTCAAAAAAACAAAATAATAATGATGATTCCGGTGAAAAAATTATTAGCATAATATTGATGGTGATGATTTGAATTTTGTCAACAAATCTCTTCTTTTTGTTTTTGTTCTGATTATTTTTTTTTATATAATAATAATAATATAGATCAAGTGTATGTTGTTTGAGAAATAATATCTATGATGAGTGTTTTTGTTTCTTCAGAATGAAATTCGAGTAATGAACAAAAAAAAAATTGACCAAATCAAACAAAAAAGATTTAGTTGCTATTTTTGGTACGTACAAAAAAAAATTGTCGACATTGTTTTTGGTTTTGTTGACATTTTTCGTTGAGAAAATAAATTCTTTTCTTCTTTTGTCGAGTAATCATTAGTATTAAATGTCAATGTTTATAAAAAGAAGAAAAGTTTTAGATTTTTTTGACAATCATTTCGCCATCATCTTGATCATCATCCGAATCATCATCAGAGACATCTATACCCAACCAAAGATCATGTTTTTTGGCCAATTTTTTTACCGGTGGTAACGATTTATTATCGTTTGATTGTTGTTCGTTTTTATCACATTGATCATCAGATGTTGATGATGAAGTGGCGGATGATGAATTATCTTCGGGAGAATTTTCTGTTTCCAACTTTCTTTTACCCGATGAACTTTGTTGCTGCTGTTTTTGTAGACCTTGTTCAATTGATTCATCAATAATATCCGGAATTTCGGTACGAAATTTTTCAAATTCTGGATCATCATATTTTGCAGAACTGGGTAATAAATTTCCTTCGGCAATTTGTTTTAATTTTTCACGTTTCTTTTTTTCTTCTTCTTTTTTACGATCAGCTTGTTTTTTTATCCATTCTTTTATACGTTTTTCTTCATTAACATCACGTAAACGGCGACCGCTCAGATCACGACATGCTTCACGATTTGTTGTTTTTTCAATCTGTGCACCAATTGCACGAAGCATCGATCCAAAACCACCTTTACCACCAGGTATTGGAATGAATAAATGAATAAAAATATCTGTTTCACCATCATTAAGATTTAAATTATCGACAATTTTTTTCCCATTACGCAACACATCAAAATCGATCGATAATGATGAAAGATTCTGAAAAATGATAATAATAATAATGGTCAAACGAATAAAATTCTGAAGTTTTTTCGTAAAAACGTACCTCTTTTATCAGAATTCTACGTTTCAATTCATCCAATCGAACAATCGACGAATCTTGTTTATTCAATATTTCCAATACTTTATGTTGACGATCAAATGGTGATTTATAGATAATATTCATTGTGATGATTAGCTGGATTAATTAATTTTTAAATTTAATTTTAAAGAATTTTTAAATCAAGAATTCAAAAAATAATCTCGAAAAACAAAACGGATTAACCAACAACGCGATTCGAGTGTTTTGAGTTTACGTTGGTTCGACGTTCGATTTAATTGATTGAGCAATCGAATTATGTTCCGTTCAAATAAGACAGTACAAAACGTGTTTACCATCGATCGATCACGTGATTGATTCGGATGTTTTTTCTTTAAAGAATTAATTTAATTAAAAAACAAAAAGATGTTTTTGTTGAAAAATTCCATCATCAATAAATTCTATCCAGTTATTTCACGATCAATTCATTTGACAACAATAAATCGGGCACGTGATATAAAACCATGGAATGTTGGTTTGGAAGGTGAATGGCGTAAAGCAAGATCAAAAAAAGTATTAAAATTTGATCTACCGGATTTTGAACAAATCCGGTCGGATACAAAACTGACGCCCGAAGAATATGTATCCAAATTGAAAGAAAAAGGTATAGCACCGCCAAAACAATATAAAGAAAAACCTATAGTCGTAACGACGACGCAAGGCGTTCTCGATCCATACGTTCCGCCTGAAGGTGATGGTAAATATTCGATTCTTTCGAAAACGGTAAGCGGTTCAATCATCAAAGTAATTTCAAGGTTAAAAATATCTGTTCATTTCTATTTTGATGGCAGGGAGTTGGACAAAAAGCACAACACATAAAACAAAAAACAGCATCATTTATGGCATTACGTAAGATAAAATCCTATGAAGATAATTTCGATCTACCAACATTTGTTGATGAAGCCAAGGATATTTATATTAAAGCACATGAATTGTTGGTTAATTGGAATAATCCTGATAACAAGGAAAAACTATTGGATTATGTTACGGAATTTGCCTACCCGTTGATGACATTTCAACGTGATTTAAAAACAATACGATGGTCATTCATAAAATTGAATGATATCCCGGATGTAATACAGATTCGAACACAATCATTGATTGAAAAAACCAATATGTTTTCACAGATTACGGTTCGAATGAATAGCCGTCAAATTCTGGCAATTTATGATCGTTTTGGTCATCTAATGTATGGTAGTGATGTAATTGTTAAAGATGTTTTAGAATATTTAGTTTTTGAAAAAAATATTTCCGATTTTAATGGACGTTGGCGTTTACATGCAAAAATCCTACCAGATTGGATGCCACCAAAAGATCCAATTCGAAAAACATTTATTCGTGATCCATTACCCGAACCACCAAGTGCAGAAGAATTACGTTTCGAACGTGAAGGTATTATTAGTGATGAAAATAAAGAAGAAAAAGATCAAGAAAAACAACAAAAAATCGATAAAATCGATTCTACCCCCATCACCGCGGCTTAGAATTCTTTTTTCTAAATCCGTTTTTTCGATTTTGTAAATTTTTTTTATTAGATAAAAATTAAAACTTAAAAATCAAAAATCTTTTCATTAAAAAAATCTTGTTTGATGGATGTGGGGACATTCATGAATGATATTATCATTTATCGCATGCATGATTATTATTAATATTAATAATAATTATTATCGTAAATACTTTCTTTATTGCTTAATCCATTTTGATTTTTTTGTTGTTTTCAAAAATCCTTTTATTATTATTTTTTTAGGGATTATTTACTTAATCGATCGATCGATTGATTGCTACTGTTGGTCTTTCTTTTGTTTCTTTTGCAGTGTCATCGTTTGGTCTTCATCCATCCATCAATCATCATTGAAAATTACTGCGACATAATAATGATTCGAAATTATCATCAAAAATGTGTTTTACGTTCGATTTTTCAACAAATTCAGGCAAGTAAATTTCCATTACCATTCGAATCTAGAAGAAATATTTGTTTGAAAAATCAACGGTTGTTTGTTGTTGATCGATCGAACAATGATGATAATGGTGCAGATTCTTCTTCTTCAACGACGAAAAAAACTTCACCAAATTCCAAATTATTATTGGAACAACGTTTTGAAAAATTTCGTGATGAAGATTCACAAATAATATTCGATGATTTGGATGATTGGTTTAATCAGAAACAAAAATCCATTCGAAAGATTAGGAAACCGAAAACATTCGAATTGAGCAGAGGTCGTGATGGTGTGTTCGATTTGAATGAAATGATTGAATTATTACGCGAAGAAAATCTTCAGGATATCGTCGTAATCAAAGTGCCCAAAGTGTTAAAATATTGTGATTATATGATTATCTGTACGGCAATGTCGAAAAGACATTTGAAAGTAAGTTTTTTTTTTGGTTCGTTTGATTTTTTGCTGAAAAATGTTTTCCTCAATTCCATAGACTTTCGTTGAAACATTAAACAAACTTTACAAAATGAAAAAAAATCCCCAAGATCCATATCTAGATCTGATTGATAAAAGTGATGATTGGCGTTTAATCGACATGAACAATCTAATTGTACATTTGTTTATGGAAAAAACACGTGAATATTATGACCTCGAAACATTATGGGCAATCGGATCGGAATTTGATGATAAAATTCAACATCGTCAACAACAACGTTCGGAAAATATTGTTCAAGATATTCTTGATCGTCATTTTGCCACGAAATCATCATCAATCGAATCATCATTATTAGATAAGAATTAGTCAAAAAAAAAAAATTCATTTGTTTTTTACCTGAACAAAAATTGTATAAATTAAAAATTAATTTGAAATTAAAATCATACAGGTGATGATCATTTGGTCGATAATGTTTGCCATTGTTTTTGTTGTTGATGATAATGTTCGATGTAACCAAAATGTTGTGGTAAATTCCCGACCAAATTTCCTAATAATGGTTGCCGATGATATGGGTTATGGTGATGTTAGTCTGCTTGGTAATCATTCCCTACCGACACCAAATATCGATAGAATCGGTCGAGAAGGAATGATATTAAATCAACATTTAACAGCAGCATCAGTTTGTACACCAAGTCGTTCGGCATTTCTTACCGGACGTTATCCAATTCGTAATGGTAAATTGTTGTTGTTGTTGATGATTTTCTTCAAAAAATTCACCTTTAAAAATTCAATTGCTTAGGAATGACGGCAGCCGGAAAGAATCGTGTTTTTCTTTTTGTTGCATCATCAGGTGGTTTACCACCCGAAGAACTGACCATAGCCAAATTATTAAAACAACAAATCGGTAATGAATATCGTACAGCTTTGATTGGTAAATGGCATTTGGGTAAAGATTGCTCGAAATTAGATGATAATTGTCATCATCCAAATCAACATGGTTTTGATTATTTTTTCGGCATACCGTTGACAAATTTGAAAGATTTTGGTGATGATGGTCAAAGTGTTGTCATATCATATTATCCACATTTTTATTTACTGTTAACAATGATCGGTCTGTTAGGAAGCACTCTTGGTTTAATGATAATCATTCGATTTCAAAAATCATGGTTAAAATCATCAATATTGATTATTTTAATATCAATAATATTACCCGCATTTACGATTATATTTCAGAAAAATATTTCCATTTTAAACGGTGTTCTTTATCGTAACGATCAATTAATCGAACAACCAATTCATTTGAAAGGTATAACCAAAAGATTAACCGATGAAAGTGAACAATTTATTCGAAATACAATTGCGCAGAATCAATCTTTTTTTGTTATTCTTAATTTTATTAAAGTTCATACAGGTAAAGTTCTTTCATTCGATTCTTCGATTCTTGAATTTCTTTGATAATTTTCCAAAGTTTTTTTCTTCATTTTTTTTTTTTGATTTGATTTGATTAGCACTTGTACCATCGGAAAAATTTGAAGGAAAAAGTCGTTATGGTAAATATGGTGATTGTGTTCTTGAATTAGATGATGGTGTTGGTCGAATGCTCGATTTATTGGAAGAACTTGAAATTGTTAACAAAACATTTACATATTTTACTAGTGATAATGGTGCACATCTGGAAGAAGTTGATCTTAATGGTAATCCGGAAGGTGGTTCAAATGGAATTTATCGTGGTGGTAAAGGACATGGTGCAATGGAAGGTGGTATTCGTGTACCAACATTTTTACGATGGCCAAATGTTTTACCAAAAAATTTGACAAAAATTTCCCAAGCAACATCTCAAATGGATTTATTTCCAACCATATCTGCTATATTAAATCTTACATTACCCACGGATCGTATTTTGGATGGCCGTAATATTTTCCCGCTATTAACCGGTGAAAACCATACAAGTCCACATAATTTTCTATTTCATTATTGTGGTATTTATTTACATGGTGTACGTTATATCGAAGATAATGATCATGTTTGGAAAGTTTATTTCTATCAACCAAAATATAAACCACAAGAAGATAAATGCCTGTTTGTTTGTATGTGTCACGGTAAACTGGTGGTTAAACATGATCCACCTCTGATTTATAATATTGCCCAAGATCCAACTGAAATCAACCCTATTGTTGATTCAAAAATACGTTCAAAAATTTTACGAAAAGTTACAAAAGCTGTACAACAACATCGATTATCATTGAACACAAATATTGAATCACAATTTTCATTTGGAAATTCCATATGGAAACCATGGTTACAACCATGTTGTAGTTGGAAATTTTGTCATTGTTAGCCAGTCAGTCAATCATCAATCATCATTACGTTTTTCTACCGAAACAAACTTTTTATAAAACTTTTTTTAATTACAAATTTTTTTAAAAAATGTTACGGTCTTTCATAAATTTATAATAATAAATAAATAACCAAGGTAAAAAAAATCAAAATAAAAAATCTTTAAATTCTAATGAACCAAAATCAAATGATTTGGATTTCCATTCGAGATTTTCTTTTTGAAATTTTTCGAAAAATTCTTCCCAGATGAAATTCTTTTCAGGTTGTTCAGGATTCTGGTGGGATTCAGTAGTGATTCTGTCGACGTCGTTGATCATTTCCGATGATTCTGTTGAACTAGTTGAATTTTCATGATAACGATTCTGACGACGATGAATCACGTGACTAAACAGAAATTCTTCCAAATCATTTTCGAATTCTTCTTTCTGTCGGAATTCCATTCGAATTCGTTGACAATTTTCTCGTTGATTGCGGATATTCCGTAGAAATTCAATCAGGATCGATAGAACCGAAAACATTTGTTTCATTAGTTTTTCAACCAATCGGAATATATCACATAATAATTTTACCATTAAATTATTATTGGAAAATGCTGATTCTTTATAATCAATTTTTTTCATTTTTCTTAACATATCATATGCTTTTTGTATATCATCATATTTGGACCATAATTCCGGGTCGATTTCGGGTGATTGAAAAAAATCTTGAAATAAAAATAATTCTTTATTGAATTTGGGTATAATTCTTTGATTTTGATCGAAATGTTCAGTAATCTGATGGCGCCATTCGTGAAGATTCTTGAGTTTTATCAGTATTGGACGAATGTCTTGATCATCATAATCATCAATGGCGCCACCATCTTCCGGATTTTGTTGATAATTTTTCCATAATAATTTTTCCGAAAAATTTATCAATGAAAATAGCTGATTTAGTTGATTGAATAGGTGGGAATTTTCATTTTGTAATTGATTAAATTTTTGTAATGAATTTAGCAGGCAACTTTTTAATGTATTATGTATGAAACGATATTTTTTCACCGTTTGCCGAGCTACAAACACTGAATTACGCCATGTTAATTTTAAATCATCATAATCATCGCCATTACCATCATCAATACCATTAACATTCATAAGCATTTTTTCAACACGATTTGGTAGGCAAAGAAATTTATAAAATTCTTGATAACTGACTGGTTTTGAATAATCAAATAAATTTATAATAATAGGATTATAACGTTCAAACCATGAACGTGGTTGATACCATGTTTGTATGATTTGCTGGCCAATCCGTTCGGAAAGTTTATCACCATTTTGATAGAATAAATATTGATTCGATGGTATTATATTTGAATAGGAAAATATTTTCTCTTTCAATTCTCGAAGTTGAGTTTTTTCATTAATTTCCAATGTAAATGTTTCATATGAACAAATTGAAAATATTTCAATGATTTTTTTATTTGTTATTTTTTCAATTTCTTTATAAGCCATTCGACCGCCACGTTTTTCCGGATCAAATTGCAGGACCATCTTTTTTTTCAAATGGAAAAAAAATCCCAAATGATCAACGAAGGGTTGAATAAAAGTTTCATTAACTGAACTTACCTTCAGCCATTGTTCTAAATCCGATTTAAAAGTATTACCAATATGATTAATTGGGGGGATTTCTTTTGAATAATAAAAATTTCCACCCATATCATCAATTTCCGTACAAATATCATCCGGTTTTTTCCTACGTATTGCATCTAATACTTCTATTACAGGATGATTAGGTAGAAATGGTCGCCGACCGGTTACGATTTCGAATGCAATAACACCAAAACTCCAATTATCAACTGATGATGTATATGGAGTGGTGAGGAAAAGTTCTGGTGCGGAATAGGCAAACGTTCCGACAAATGAATTTGCTGATGTTGTTTCCGATAGTTGTTTTGCAAAACCTAAATCTGTTAATTTATATAAAATTCTATCATTGGGTAATGGTTGCAGGACAATATTTTCCGGCTTCAAATCACGATGTACAATATTCAAATTATGTAGACAATTGATTGCCGAACCAATTTGTTTCAAAATCTCTCGAACTTCTTTTTCACTTAAACCACAACAATTTCCCGATTCATTCAAAACTTTACGTAAATCACCACCACTACAATATTGCATTGCTAATATTGGTATACCATTATTGATTGATAATTGTTCAAATTCTTTTGGTAATTCTAATGCTTTTACAACATTTTCACAATTTAATTTTTTCATTAATTTTATTTCTTGTTGCCATCTTTCATTGTAATAGGTTCTGCGGGTTAAAATTTCAATGGAAAATGAATGAAGAAAATCAATGAAAATCATCATCAAAACAAGCAAACTTACATTTCTTTTTTACTAAAACGTTGAACATCCATATAGCTTTGTTTCAATGCCAATTTTTCATCCGTTTCTTTATTAACCCATAATGTTATTGTTGCAAATGTACCCGAACCAAGTGTTTGGACACGTTTCCAATTTTCAATCGAATCTAAATCATTTAAAAATTGTTGTTGCTGTTGTTGTTGATGATGTTGAAATGGATTCATCATTTCCGAAGAAAAATATTTATTTTTTTTACGTAAATATCAATATTGCGGTGGTGAACTTGACTCAATCAATCAATCACAAATCAATCAATCGATCAATAGCTAATCAATCACAAAACAATCGATCAAAAATCAAGAGTAACACCTGTTGAATCAAAAATCAAAAAATCAAATGACTGATTAAAGATGATGAGCATAGTGTTAATGTGAGTAGAAAAACAAACAAACAAAACAAAACGAAAGAAAATAATTGTACTTTTGTAAGGTGTTAACAACAACAATTAACAATGCTGAAAATTAGAGAAATTACATTGTCGTCGTCGTAGTCATTTAAAAAACGAATCAAAAAATAAATATCATAAAAATTTGATCATAATGATGATTATGACAATGTTGGATGGCAATGTGCGTGTGCAGGTGATGGGCAAAACCCTTGAACAACAACAACTACCGATGATGATAACAATGGTTATTATTGATTTGGAAGGAAAAAGGTGAATAAAATATGGAAGAAAAAAAGAAAACAATGTGATGCAATGGATGCAATGTTCAATTCAATTTGTTTTAAAACGAAAAACAAAACAAACAACGACAACGACGACGACGGCAATTTTACCTGAGTATTATTGTTTGATTATTATCATCATCATCATTCAAAGTGTTTTATTGGTCTATGGATAATCAACCAAAAAAAGAAACTTGTCTATTTGATTGCATCATTGCATTTCAGGTATGATAATGTTGTTTCTATATGTTTGCACCGCGAAAAGAGACCACCACCTTGAACAAAACGATGGCGACAACGACCAGACAACCACACACACATACAACAACCTTCCTTCTTCTAATCTTCATTCATCAATGAAATACATTCCATACATTCATTCATTGATAATCTCTATCTCCGTGTATGTAAGTAAACATTCCACATTTTTTGTTTTTGACATTGAAAAAAGAGAGAAAAAAATTAACTGATCAAGTTTCGTAATCACCTTGCTTTTTTCTCTTTACTTTTTTCCTTCCTAAATATCAAAAAAAAGAATCAATGAATGAATCATCATCGACAACATTGAGGTTTTTTTTTGTTTTGAAGCAATCCATATTTTCTCTTTGAAAAACCAAAATGTAAGTAGAAACAGAAGGAGTGAAAAAAATTTCCGGTTATAAAATTTGAAAGAAATTTACTCATTTTCTTTTAAATCCATTTTAGTTTAGTTTTTTTATTTTATCAATTTTTTGTTTGATTGATCTGATTAATTTGATTCTTGAATTCGAATCTTCTATACAAATATAAATCCAAAAAAAAAGAAAAAACGAAAAAAAAGTAAAAGTTTTATGGCACTAAAATTAAATGAAATTCAATAAAGATAATGATTGATTAGATGATATGATCAGAAAATGTCAAAGATACATTTGATTTGATTGTATCGTGTGTGTGTGTGATATTTTTTTTTTTAGTTTTGTTTGATTGATTAGGAAAAACTTTGGAAAAAGATTATTTGTGATTAAGGATGATTTTTTGATGATGATGATGATGATAATGGTCTTAACTAAACGATGATGATGATGATTCTTGTTGGAAAAAAAGAAAATTCAAAATTCAAAAGGAATGAAAAACGTTGTTTGTGTTCGATCCATCGCGGTAGATGGCGGTAGCAGGTCCATTTGTGTTTGATTTTTTTTTGATGGAAATTACAACAAAAAAATGGTTCACATTTGATGATTATTATCCAAAAAGTTGACATCATTATGAATTCAGATTCATCCAGTCATCCAGCAATTCATTCAATTGATCATTCAAGTTCCATTTTACATTTGCCTTTAAGCTGTCGTTTTTGAAAACGACGAATACGTTCATGCCATTCATCACCCCAATCAATAACAATACTATTACGATCAGCAATCAAACGATAATTTTGTAATGTTTCTTTTTGATATGTACCTATATAATTAAAGTCGAAATGATTAGGTCAGATGATGATTTTATTTTGGGGAAAAACGTTTTGGAACACTTACCAAGTATTAAATATGTATGTTTAATTTTTAATTTTGGACATTTACATTGAAAATCTGACATTGGTATCCATAAATAATCCAATGGTTTTTTTAATCTTAAATTTCCATGTTTAAACATATGGCCAATTTGTATTGTAAATCTTATCCAATCATTACCAAATGTTTCACGTGATATAACATTTGCCTGGATAGCTGTGGATATATTGAGATCAAAATCAAACAGAAAAAAAATCGAAAATCAAATTTGTCACAAACAAACATTTGACAGAGATTAAATAATCCTGAAACGTTCCCGAACAAAAACGGACAAAGCAAACACTGGACACATATGCTCGGACACAAAGCTCGGAAAAAAATATATTTTTTACTTTTTTTACTTACCAAAATCTTTGCTACAATATTTAAGCATATTAATACGTTTGGTTGATAATCGACATTCAAAACAACCGTTTTCGGCTATTTTCATTCAAACGAGATGGAAAATATTTGAACAAAAATTGAAAATTTTGTTTTTTGGAAAAAGTTTGAAAAACTTACATGATGTTGATTCTTGTTCATCTTCTTGACTTGTTGTTTCACTTGATATGAAATTTATTTCATTATTTTGTGGAATTTCTGCAATGAAAACGAAAACGATGATAAATTTGAAAAAGGAAATTCATCATTCAAACTTACTTATGCATGGTTGAATTGGTGATCGTGATTGTTGATATCCCTGATTTTAGGATGTTTTTTGTTGATGGTTGCGTGGGAGTAAAAAAATTGATAAATTTTTCAATTTTGAAAATGCAAAATTTTATTATTTTAAACTTACTTTAGCACAACGATTACAAGTTAAACCGGTAACACCAGGTTTACATTGACATTGACCACTAGTTATATTACAAGTACGACCAGATGATCCAACCGGATGACAATCACATGCTATTCAGACATCAATGTATGTCATTTTTGTTGAAATAGCCAGAGCAGAAAACAAAAACAAAACGGATATGATTCATTTTGGATCGAAAAGCGAAAAAAGAAACGAAAAAAAAACGAAAGAATTTTAATGAATAAAAAAAGACATTGACTAACTTACCTCGACATGCTTTACGATGTGATATTGGTTTACTTGAATCACGATAATAGCCTAAAGGTAATGAACGAAACGAAAATCAAAATTGATTAACATATTGAAAACAACAACAAAAGAAAGAAAGCGATCAACAAAGATCATACACACAATGACAGAATGGCAATGTGTTTATTGGTGTGTCAAACAATAGAGAAAAAAAATCAACAACGATATTTTTTTTTTGTTGGATCAAATATGGAACTAATGGAACGGGAGAAACAAAAAGCTGAATGTATAGAAAGATCTGACAACGAAAAAAAAAATGAAAATAAATCATCAGAGGGAAGGAAAAAAAAGTGATCCAAAATCGTTGATAAAACATAGAACGTATGTCAATGAAATGTGTGTGTTAACATACCTTCTTTACAATAATGGCAATGACGACCAGCTGTATTATGGCGACAATTTAAACAAACACCACCACTTTTACGTCCAGATAATTTATAAAGTTCCATATTGAAACGACATTTTCTGGCATGATGATTACAGTTACAAGCTACAAAAATAATAATAATAAAATGATAATGATATTTTTAAAAAAAATATTAAAGGTAACATCAATGTTATTAAAATAAGAATTTTCTTCTTTCCTTCGAAAGATGCACGTTTTTAATGATTGATTAACATGATTAGAAAAAAAATCGCAAGAATTTTTGGTTTGAGCAAAAGAAATTCTGTGTAAATGGAATTCTATACGAATTCTTCTTTGGAAATTTAACTGCTAAAAAAAAATATTAACATTGTTTTCGCTTGAAAGATTTTGATTTATTTTATTTTATTTTAGTTTCAACACTTTCAGTTTCAAAGAATTTTGTTTTTTTTTTGTTCAATAAACTTTATGACTGAATGGAATGGGTGAAATTCTTTTTTATTTGAAAAAATTTTTTTTGAAAAAATTTTTGTTCAAAAATCGAATTACGTGATTTCATTCCAATCCATATAATCAACAAAAAAAAACACAGTGAGAATCCAGGAATGGAAGAAAATTTCCGAAAATTACATTTTCAAACAACAACAACAACAAATACCCGATATCAAAATACCGACGTTGTTGTTGTTGTTGTCGTCAGTCAACATTCCGTTCTCCAAAAAAAAAACCAAACGAAAAATCTATTAAATTAAGTAGATTTTTTTTTCAGCGAAGCTCATTTTAACTTTTTTTTGGTCGATCATCATCATCATCATTATAATTTGTTCCATTGAATGGAATGATTAGTTGAATCGAAAGAATGTGAAACACAGAAAGATTCTATAAACATTCTTAACATACTAAAAATTCTCTTTTTTCATCTTTATTGGCTTTTCTTTGGGTTTTCTTTTCATCAATTATTAATACAAATTACCCACCAGAAAGAAAAAAATTTGAAAGATTCAATGAACTTTGTATGAATAAAAACGAAAACGAAACTAGAAAAAAAATTCCAAAGATTCAGTCGTGATTCTCACATGAAACAACATTAATTATTTTTTTTTGGCAGCCAGAATTCTGTTTTTGCGAAAAAAAAGAAATTCTTTAATGTTGTTGTTGTTGTTGTTTTTCAGTTAATGTTTAAAAAACATTATGTATTTTTTTTTTAAAAACATTGGTCTATCATCATCATCGTTGTTGTTGTTGTAATTGTTTTGACAACAACAACATTTACAGGCAAAAAAATGGATTTTCGGGATTCTGAAAAAAAACGAACAAGAAGAAATTTTCTGTTAAGTAGTTTTAGCCATCTATCATCCATCTATGATTCTTTGATTTTCTTTTTTTTAAAAAAACAGATATTCCCCTTGAGAAGAAAGAAAGAATCTTTACCTTTTTTTTATTATCCAGTTTCATTAAATGTGTGTGTGAAAAAAAACAAAAGAAAAATAACAAGAATCCTTGTCAGACGAACAGAATTGTAATCCCGACAACAAAAAAAAATATTACACTTATGAAATGTAAAGTGCAAAATGGAAAAAAAAATTTTCACTTTCTGATCATATTCTTTTCCTTGATTATTCCCAATACTCATTTATGAAAAAGACGTTTTCAATTTTTGCTTCCATTATTCTTGCGAAGAGAGAGAATGAGAGGAAACGTATCATGTAAAAATATAGATAAAAATTACCCAAACACGCACCAGACATTTAGGATTCTTTCATTTAACGAATGAAGAGAACGAAGCGATTCGAATGATGATTTTTCATTTTTTTTTCTCTCTCATGGGATCGATTAAGAAAAATATATCACCATTATCATCATCATCATTCTTCATGAATTTTCTTCTTCTTTCTTTTTTTTTAATTTAACAATGAAAAATCTCTACTGACAACAGCAACAAGAATATTCTCTAGAAAAAAAGCTGACAAAACACTAATGACTAATCATCGCACACAAACGAAAAGACTAACTGAAGAAGAATCCTATAAAAACGTGTTTCACAGGATAAAAAAAACGATGAAGAAAGAAATCACCTCAAAATAAAACTTTGGCGGTATATTTTCATTCGGTCATTGTGCATTATTGACAATTTGAATTTTGAATTTCGGTGTTTAACTCTTGCCACAAATAAAAAATAAGACGAAGACGAACTGAAATAAAGTTTTGAAAAAAAAATCAAATGAAATAAGTAAACAATTCAAAAAGAAAAAGAAAGAAAAAATCTAAATCTTAAATTCAAACTGAAAAAAAATGAAGAAGAAAAAGATTCCGACAACATTTGACATGTGTTCGGTACAATATGCACACACACCTGTCCACCTGCAAACCTTCGAAAGAAAATCAAAAATGACCTGAAAAATGATTTTAAGCCAAGGGGAAAATCAAACACAAACAAACAAAAAAAATTATGATAGACCGCTTGGCTTCAACCAACGAACGAATGAAAATGCAAATTGTAAAATTGAAGAAAAAAAAAGTTTAATTCATCATCAAACACCTTCAAGGTGGTCGCGATCAGTGACCAATGTCACACACACTCTTACACAGGTAAAATCATTCAAGTGGTCGTTTCAATTCAATTTATTATTGTCGACCAGGGTCAAAAATATTATCATCATAATCATAATGATAAATAATAAAATTTTTCTAGCTAATTTCACTTCTTCTATACGGAAAAACTGACTTCTTATCTAATTCTTGTCGAAAACCGAAAAATTTATGAAAATTATAGGTCAAGTGAGTATTATTATCATGGTAAAATGATAAAATATTGGATAAAATATTTAAGACTTTTAAACTAAGGTTTTTAAGGTTTTAAAAAGTAAACTTACGTTGACATTCTAATGCTTCATGTGCTGTAGCTCTTGCCCATGGTTGATCAAAATAAAATTGTTTACATTTTTCACAATCTCGTCCAGCCGTATTATGTTTACAATCGCAAATCAATTGACCATCATTATCTTCAATACATCTTCAATAATCAAATAATCAATAATCAATATCAATCAAAAAATATTAAAATTTCAATCAATAAAACAACTTTAAAAAATCTTACCTTGAAGCATGACCATTACCTGATAAGATTGGCAAGATGGGAAAAAAAATGAAAAAATAAAGTTACATAATTGAAACAAAGAAACTGACAAATAAAAAAACATGCACACCAATACACAGGTGTATTTAATGAATTAATTATATCTCATTTCATGAATGTTTTCATGATTTTTGACTGAACTCAAACAAAAAACAATCATGAGGATGATCATCGTGATTATAATAATCGTTTATTATGATTATAATAGTAACTTACATTTACAACGACCACCAACAGCCAAATCGGATACAGCATAAAATATACTATCTAATCGATTATTGTTGAAGCCATTATCATTACCATCATCGTTACCATCGTTAACCGGATTTGTTTTCATTGTTTTTGTTTTATTTTTATTATTATCATCAACACCATCTAAATCATCATCTTCATCTTCATCCAAATCATCCGTATCATCTTCATCTTCATCATCATCATCGTTGCTGTTTGAACGAAATTGTTTAATTTTATGGGTTGGTGGTTGATCATTTTGAACCAAAGTTTTTGATGCTGCGGCAGCCGAAGAATCCATTGTACTTAGTCTATTTTTTCAAATTGAAAAAACACGAAAAAAAATAATCAAATTTTGAGTGATGGACGTTTGAGAAAAAAAAACATTCGAAATCGAAAACGTTCGAATTCGAACACTATCGACTATCGATACATTCGACCATCACTATCCATATCCACATACCTATTGAAAACAATTTTAATATCGGTTGCTGTAACCCAATCTTGTAATACAGGGCTATTATCAAAATCATATGCTGATGGACGACCTTCCAGCGTTGAAAATGCTACCCTTGATCCTTGAATTGGTTCGGTATTTGAATCAGCACATAATGGTTCCTGTTCGTTGGCTATATATTTTAACCGATTGATTTCCCGGATTAAAAATCGATCAAAAAATCAATTCAAAAAAACCAATTACCTTTAGTGATTGCAGCACGATTTTGTCTACCATAAACCTTACGACATTGACTAGAATAATATTGAAACGGATGCCATGTTTCACCATAATCCATACTTTTTAATATTGCCATTGAATCAGGTTTCATATCGCAAAATTGTAAACTAATATATGTTAATTCATATTTTTTACCTAATCTTAATATAGCTGTAACATTTTGTTGTGGATCATCGAATGTTTCCGATATCCAACATGTTAAATTATGTGGATTATTTAAATCAGTTAAATATTTGGATGGATGACTATAACGATAATCATTTTGATCACATAATTGACAATTATGTTGTTGTTGTTGATTTTGGCTATTTCCACCTTGATCTTGATCATCATTATCTTGATTCAAACGCATAAAACAATGTCGTGTTGGTGTTTGGCCACATTCACTTGATACCTGTGTGCAATTGGGAAATGTGAATGTTTTTTACGTTCGATTGGTAATTAGATTTTGGTTAATTACCTCTACTTGTTTACCGAATGCAGCGTTTACAAAATCCGGTATACATCTCTTGGGATTTCCTTTGGTTGTTTGGTTGGTTTTGGTTGAAAAAAGTGGAAAAAAAATTGAAAATTTTTAAAAAACATTTGAAAAAAAGTGTCAGGAGTGAGAAAAAATGATTAATTTCTTAGTTTGGGTAAAAATGCAAGAAGGAAAAAAAGAAATTCTTCATTAGGGAAATTATCAGCATAATTCGAAGAAAAAAACTGTCAGAATTTTTCTTTCATTTCTGACGGAAAATCGTCATTAGTGTTTTTTTTTTTGGGAAATTTTCTGTAAAATCATATTTTTTTTCATCGATAAAAATTTTTTCAAAAGTGAAAAAATTCACTTTGAAAAATTTTTTTTTCGATTAGAATTACACATTATGATGATCAACATTAATTGCTTGATGAAGTTTTTTTTTGTTAGCAAGTAACCAGAGAAAAAGCTAAAAAAGCTTCTATAATGATAATGAATGGTGGTGTTGCTCATTAACACTAATCATCATCATTATCATCATTATATGAATATTGATTGGATTTTCTTCACTTTCTCCCTAATTTCCTGCAAAAAAAATATGTTCCCGATAACAAATGGAAAAATGATGTTCATAATGATGATGATGATGCATTTGGGTTAATTTGGGTTCGCATCATTGGATTTTGGAAAAAAAACAAAAATTTTGAAAAAGAAAATCCATACCTGAATCATCATAACATGGATCGGTTAATATTGAATTTTGTAACAATGATGATGATGATGAATGTGAAAAATATTGTGATTTTTTCGGTAATGATAAACATTGATGATCAACGATAATATTGTTAATCAACAATATCACCATCATCATCATTATTTTCGTATTGATTAACATTGTTGTTGTTGCTTGACATAGTGTCATTGATGATGAATTTTTTATTCGCATCTTTTTTCTTTTAATCATCATCATCATTTGGTTATTTTACGAGGAAAATCACATGTCACATGATTGATTTCAGTGAAAATTTTTTGGTTTGCAAAATTCAACAGTAAACACATATGAAACACTTGGAACCAGAAAAACGAAAATAGAGAATCCACACACAAACACACACACACACTGGTGAATCACTTCAGACCAATCCAATTGTTGTGTGAAGCTTTTGGTTAATATAAATATAATCTTGTTTAATCCCCATATGATGATGGTGGTGGTGGTGAGTCATTTGGTTTTCGCACTTTAATTGGCTGTTTCACAAAGCATCAAAAGAATATTCCAAATGAACGAAAAACAAACACTCAAAAATGAATTGATGAGGAAAATTTCGATTGGTCAAGCAAACGATGAAAACATAATCAAATATTTTGAACATTTAAATGGACACCTTTTTTTCGCGCGCCAACAAAATCAAGAATTTTAAAAATGAAACTGAAAAATTAGACTTTTTTTCGGGCAAAAAACTTAAAAAAGAATACACAAAGTTTCAAGTTTTTTGTTTTTTTTGAATATTCCACCGTGTGTGTGTGTGCGCACCGATAGAAGTATGAAATGAAAATGAATGGCCAGAAAGAAAAAAAATCTATCCCGCTACTTGATCTGTTCTGATCAAAAGCTACGCGCTTCATTCATTCATTCATTCAGGACTTGAAATGGATTTTAGGTTGGTCTTGGTCGTCGATAGGCAATATATAAGCGAAGGAAGGGAGATGAACAGAGCCAGCAAGCTGGCTTTTCTGATTGAAACGATCCACGCATATTTTGGAAATGAATGAATGAATGAATGGTGAAAACAGCTTTTTTGGCTTGCTATCTAAACACAGCAGGCTGAATACAACAAAATGTGTAAAAATGATGTGATGTTTTTTGATCGAAAAGGATATTATTCTCAGCTTCTCAGCCTAATATCGTGTGTGTATAGTAGTAGGGTAGAATCACTGATGATGATGATGATGAATATATTTAAAAACTGATGCTGATTTGAAATTTTTATCCAAAAAACAACTAACCAAAATAGGAAAAATAATTTTCATCAAATTTTTCATATTTTTTTTTTGACTTTTTGAAATTGACGGAAAACAGAGAAGCAACATTTATTCTTAATTTGAACTTTTTGTTCATCTTCAGAAGATTTCCAGAAAAAAAAGAAAAAATTATCATTTCATAATCAGATAAACATTTCTGCTGAAAATATGTTTCAACATTTTTTCATTCACAAAATGACATTTTTGTCGTTGTTTGTTTGTTTTTCTGGATTACATCTTTTTCATTTTTGCTTTTTGTTGCTTATCCTTCTCTTTGCTTGATTGATTGTTATAACATATTGATATTGCCTTGACTTTGAATATTTGTTTGTCATTTTGATTTTTTTTTATTTTGGCCAATTCAAAATAAGAGAAATATTTGTATAATTCTTAATTTAATTTAATCAAATTAAATTTATTACACCAACAACAAACAATCGAGAAAAAAAACATTGCATCAATTTTTTTTCTTGTAAATTTTGATTGGTAATTTATTTTTGTCCAAGTTAAATTTCTTCTGAAATGAATCCAATTTGTCTTTCTTTCTGGTCTGTTTGGTCTCTGCTGTGTTTGTAAGAATTTTTCTGTTTAGACATTTGTCTAAACAGAATGTTTATAAGGATAATGTTTCTTTTTTTTTTCGATTTTTTTTTGGCTTAAACATCCTATACTTATAAATGCCAATTTATAATTTATTTATTTTGATGGAAGGGGGTTTATTTTGTTTAGTTTTTGGTTTGCATCATTGATTGTCATTTTTGTTTTTTTGTTTTTGGCGGTCACTGTGTTTGATCATCATCATCATCATCATTTGGATATAAACATTAAACAAAACAAAAAAAAAAACCAACAGAATTACATAACACAAAGAATCTCAAATTAGATTCTGTGTGTTAACAATAATAACAATAATGATATGCAAATATCAAACTATACCATTTGTATTGGATTAAATCAATCAAACTATAGAAAAACTCAATTTAGATTCGTTTTTATTGATAATGAAGAAGAAGAATCATTCAATAAATTCAAACACATAATGTTCGCAGATATGAAGATAACGATTGAAAAAATGACCATCATGATTCATTCAAGAATTAACATTCTTTTGACAACCAACCAACCAACCAAACTAATCGACCAAATGAAGCCAGAACAAAAACAAAAAAAACCAAAAAAATTGTTTTGTTTTTGATCATTTGGAAAACTGGAAAAACAACTGCGAAAAAAAACAAAAACAAAACATCAATCAATTAGCATTTTAAAGTGACCAAAAATTTTTGCTTCTTCAAGTGGATTAACATATGTCCTGATGATCATTATCAATATGTTTTTGAATTAATTTTGAATGATTATCGGGATTCTGTTAATGAATTGTCACATGACAAATCGTCATGCATATGATGATGACAAATTAAAGAGATGGATGGTGGTGGTGATGAAATTGAATTTCTTCTTCGTTTTCTGTCTGACCAAATTAATCATTTTAGACAGCCAAAAAAACTTTTGAAAAAATTTATTTCAATTTTTTCTGGCTGTTTTTGGTTTCACTGATTCGAATTCGAATATTCGAATGTCTGTTTGTGTGAAAATAGCCTTGAAAGAAAGATTTCGAAACTTGTATTTTTCTTTTCTCGAGTAAAAAACTGGAAAAATAAATCATCAAATTAATCAACGATAACAAAACAACAAACAACAAAAATAAAAAATAAATTTCCATCATAAATCATTGGCCGAGAGTAATGTTGTTGAAAATGAGTGAAAAAACATATGCATATTGCAATCATCATAATCGTTTTGATAAACGGATTTTTTTGGTTAACAAGCCAGAGATTTTATCCTGCCATCCAGCCACAATATTTCATTCGAACAACTCAAGCCACTAATCTTGACAAGGTCAGGTGATGAAACTCTTCACTTTTTTTTTTGATTGGTGGATGCTTTTGTTGTTTTTCATCGAAATTTACTTGATGATTGATGGACTGATGGATTTTTTGGTAGTGTTTAAAGGGTTAAAAAATATGATGATGATTATGATCATAAATTATGTAACAAAACAAATTGTTTTGTATCAAAAATTTTCATTTTACATAAAGGACATTCATCTTTACGTTCGGATGATGTTCGAATCATCATTAGCCAATCTGAAAGACAATTCCAACAAAAAATATGACCACAAAATAATAATGTTGGATTTCGTTGTTGTTGATATAATGATTGAAAACATAATGGACATTTCCGTTGTGTTCGATTATCGTCCATTACTTTTGTTTCATTAATCGATTGTTTATCGATAGTATTGATCGAATGTTTCTTGTTGTTCGAATGTTTTTTTCTTCGATTAATCAAAATGGTTCGAATAAATTTTGAATAAAATGATAATATCACCGGGATTATGGTCAAAATGGATAATATTTTCAATGATAATTGATTCGAATCGGTTGTTGGTGATGATTTTGAAGTTGCTGTGGTGGAAAGATAACCAATCGATAAACAACGTTTTAAAAAATCTGGATATCGATTTTGTATGAAAAATATTGCCAAATTAATATTGCCAATTGATTCGATCAGGAATTGAAGATTTTCTTCAATCATCATTCTACTGTCATCATCATTTTTAATCATTATTTTTGATGCAAAATTCAACAATCTTTTCGGAAATGAATATAAAATGGCCAATGTTAAACGTTTCCAAATCGATGGTATCGATCGATATCGATGATCAATACAAATTATATGACCATATTCTTCACCTAATGTTTGTTTACCGGATACTGTTGTTAATAAATAATAGACAAATTTGGTAATATCATCAATATATGATTGGTATTGAATCCATTGACGTGTTGGAAGAAATTGTTTACAAATCGAATTCGATTCCGATTGTAATATGGATTTAATGTAAACATTATCTTTATGTTCACTACGTATTATTTGCGTAATATTTGGTTGAAATTGATTCAATTTACCATGATTATTTTGATTTTGAGTCATTTTTTTTTTGGAAAAAATGAAAATCTTGTTGAAAACATCCAAAACAAAACACTTGTTTCATTCGAAAAAATCTCTCACTAGATGTCGCAATCGTATATTTATCCTTGTCCTTTTAACCGTTCAACAATTGATGTGTTTTGGTTATTTTTTTTCACATGTTTTTTTCTCGAAAAAAAACTTCAGAATTATCAAGATATTTTTTTAATGAATTTTTTAAAAAATTTAAGGTTTTGTTTATGAATTTTCAAACATTTAATCAAAAATTATTATTATGGACAATAAAAACCCGGTTTGTTTTGGCCCGAAATGGTATGTTTTGATGATGATTTTTTCTTTAATTTTTGATTTGAAAATACTTTTTTTTCCAAATCCAGTTTCCAATCGAAAACATCAGCAATGTAATTATGATGTACTTGGTGTCAAACCAAATGCATCGGCATCGGAAATTAAAAATGCTTATTATGAAAAATCGAAAAAATATCACCCAGATTTGAATAAAGAACCTGGATCGGATATAAAATTTCAACAAATCAATTCAGCATATGAAACATTATCAAATGAAACAAGTCGTAATGATTATGATATAAGCCGTGGTTATTTATCCAGAAATCCTATACATAATAATCCAACAACGTCATCTTCTCGAAAGTAAGTATAGTGTAGGAAAAACTTATCATTATCATCAAAAACTGTTTTTTTCAATTACAGCCACGATTTTGATAATTACACCATCTATACAAGAAATATTTATCGACGAATGAAACAAAAAGAATTTGACAAAGCATATCGTAATTCATCCACTTATGGTGGCCCAAATAATACTGGTCGAAAAGATTTTCGTCAACAAATGGCCGAAGAACAAGCATTTTATGAAAGTTTAGATGAAACTTTGAAACAAAAATATGAAGAATATTATATTCGTAAGGATGAAAATTTGCGCAATAATAATCGTGATGAAAAAATGCGATCAAATGTTATGAAAAGTGATAGTCAATTTATTATTTTTGCAGCATTGATACTTTTCTTTTTGATTGTTGGTTCGGTTAATGATATTGCTATTAGTAAGACATCCGACAACGACAATAACAAATCATCATCAACACTTCAATTGAAAAAATAATGCGAAAAAAATGTTTGTTTTTTATTTCATTTTATATAACCCTTTCAGTGCAATGTTTTTTTCTGTGAAAATAAATAAATAAAATTGAATTGAAAATTTCAAGAAAGTTCAAAACCAGTATTCGAATTGATTGCATAACGTAATTTATCTTTTAGAGTATTTTTTCGTTGATAATTTGGTAATTTTAATAGATTGAAACAAGTTGAACTTGTTGGTAACCTGTTTACAGGATCTTTACGACCGATGGAAAAAAATCCACGTAAAACTGAACCTAATGTATCACCAGTATCTTGATCATCACTAACTTCAACACACCTGATTGAAAATGGTGGTTCTAAATGTGCAAATCCTAACAATGGTGGTTTTGAACATGATGTTACAAATTTTAAAAATAATCGATGTTCATCCGGGGAAAAATCATTTTGTAGAATATCCCATAACCAACAAATAACACGATGATTCGGGTGGAAACCACCAAAATATTTGGTATGTTTACGTAAATCTTCTAAATCGATTGGTGTATTATCACCAGAAATTATTCGTTGAAATTCTGGTGTTGAAAACATTGAAAGCCAATCAGGATTGATAATTGAACGAAATCCTCGAATGAATGCTGCTGTTTGTTCATGAATTTGTGTATGCATACGAAAATGTGCCATTAAATGAATATAACTAATTCGAGTTTCTTTTGTAACCGGTATAGCTTTACCACCATGTAATAGTTCATGTGTAACAATTTCACCCATACAATCTTCATCAACCGAAAAAGTTAAATCCAATTGTGATATATCACCATCATCATAATGTTTAAGATATGTTAAACTTTTATACAGTTCTGGATCTAATGATGGTAATTCATCAATCGATGAATAAAGGGCACTTTGTTGTTGACCAAGAACTTGACTTAGAAAAAACGATGCAAACGGTACATCCACCACAATCCCTTCATAAACAGCTTTACCCAACATTTTACCAACAAATTCAAACAATGATAAATGATTTTCATGTATATATGATGTTGGTGATGGATAAAGACGTTGTTCACTTGTGATACGAAATAAATTCAATCCTGGGTCGAAAACATGTTTAATTGTATCCTCGAGAAATTCTTTAAACACACCATGTTGATCAATACCAGCCTCGTCTAATCCTTGTTCATTAATAAAACGTACACGAATAATACCTTTTAATGCTTGACTAGGAACGGAATTCAGTTGTTGATAACCATCTTCAACAATTCTTGAACGATGAATTGTTATTAATGGTGAATTAATAATCAATGTTGATGGATACATTTGTAACATTTGTTTATCATTTGCAATGTATTTTCGAAACAAAACTACACGTTCTTTATGTGGAATTATATGCGGGATTTTTTGCAGAATAGCTTGTGCTGATTTCTTTCCGTGTTCCAAATCCTTCATAAATGATGAAACACGTAGTTCTCTAAATAAAAAGGTAAAAGGAGATTTCAAGATTAAAGATTTTGTGTCAAAAAAGAAAGAACAAACTTGATAAGCCAATGATCTGGCGGTGTAAATGGTCGACGACAATCACGTTTATATAATAACATCAATAGTGAATGAGTTGCATTCAGCAGCGTATTTGATGACATGTTTTGAATATCTTTTTTGATGACAAGGGAGAAAAGAGTGAAAAAATTAGAATTTGAAAAATTCAAAAAACAAAACTTACCAATAAGATTATGCCAAAGAATTTTGAATACAAAATTATTTAAAAAATATGATATTAAAATCAGATCATCAATTCTGAATGGTTTTTGATTTTCATATAATTCAATATCATCCAATATTGTAATTAAATGTGTTGAACATTCACAAAAAATTATCAGAATTTGAAATTCAGGTGCACAACTTTTTGAATGTAAACTAAGATAATCGAGAAATGCCCGACAAGGATTATTTGGTCCAATCATAGTTATAAATCGCCATAAATGTGGTAAAATTAATTCTTTATATGATAAACCAGCAAGAATATCATGTTTCATTTGACTTAATGTATTTAATGCTGAAACATATAATGAACAATAAAGAGCAACTAGAGTTGTTTCAGGTGTACCCAGACGATATGTTGGCGACCAATTATATGATGCAAAACCAGAAGTGGATGAATTTGAACGAACAGCAACCAATGATGTTGCGGCACGTTCTAGCGCTCGACCAATAAAACCTTTACGCCATGATACGGCGGTTGTTGTTGTTGTTGGTGATAATATCGTCGAAGAAGAAGTTGTCAAAGATGAATCATTTGATAATGAACCACCATTATTATTATTCGTTATCAACGATGAAATGACTAATTTATTTTCATCACAATTTTTTTGTTGAATCGTTGTTGTTGTTGTTGTCGGTGTAACAAGTTTAAATAATGATCCAAATATTATTTCAATCATTTGTGGATTCCACAGATATTGTAATTGATTTTTAACATAAATCATTGATTCATGTAATTTTTGATCAACATTTTGTGAAAACCATCCTAAAACTGGATGCCAATGTGTTGTTGTTGATTGTTTACTTAGTACATATTTCTGACAACTATCCAGCATTTTTTTTATTATACACTATATATGTTTGAAATAGAAAGAAAAATGTTAACTCTTTTAAATTGAAAATCATCAACAACAAAAGCTTACCACAAATTCAAACATAAATGATTGAATAGATTTGAATGAAATAAAAGCCAAATTAATATGATTAGCTAATAAACACAGTGTATAATTTCCTTCAAGTTTCCCGAATATTTCCCGTGATTGTTCTTCAATCATTAATAATTCTATTGAACGTTTTAGAATTGGTTCACGATATAATAGTTGAATAGCTTCAGGTGCCAACATATTCAAATGATAAATTAAGGCAGGTAATGAAAATATATACAAAAGAAATTTTTTCAAATAATCATCTGAATAGGAATTTGTTTGTAATGGCCGAATCGATATGGTTATTATAGCTGTAAGGGAAAGTTTTTTCAATGAAGGTTTCGTCCTGGTTAAACCACGCATCAATAAATCATTCAAACATTCATAAAGATTATTTGATTTCATCAGTTCATCGATTAATTGTTGACAAATCGTTTCACCTAATTGCCGATATTTATCATCATTTTGTCGTAATAATAACCATGATGAAGTTGATGTAAATGAAACTAAAATATTTAGAAAAATATTAATCGATGTTTGATGATTTGGTTGTTCGGGTCGTAATTGTCGAAGAAATGAACATGCAGTTGTAGCAATATAAATTATTTGTTGTTTCCAATCCGGAATCAGATCCGGATATCGAATCATTATACCAATATATGAATAATCAGGATCATTTGAAAATAATGATGTTAAAAATGTTTGTTTACAAATTGTTTCGAAATAATGAAAATTTCGATCCAAAATATTGACTGGATTTTCACTCGATTTTTTCCATGATAATGATGACGATTGATTTGTTCTGCTTCTTCGGATAACGAAAAGTAATTTTTTCAGAATATAAAACAATTCTATTGATTTGATTTTTGATCGATGTTTTGTCGATTCATCATCATTATCGTCGTTATTTGTTTTCAACATTTCATCCAATTCTTGATAAACATTTTGAATAAACTGTTGACGATAATGATATGAACGAAATGAAGCCTGTCATCAGAAGAAAGTTTCAAACTTTCATTAAAAAAAAAAATAAAGATTTTCGAAAGAGAATTTCTTTACCTGAATCTGGGTGGCTGCACCATTCAATCGGCGATCACGTTCACGTTCTTCACGTGCTTGTCGAGTTGCTTCCAAAAATTTATCACGATCGGCCGATTTTTTTGAGCTGCTTGAATCGAACATTTTTGCCGTTTTCAGTGAATCTTTTTCCCGTTTCAAAGAAAATACAAAAATCAATCAATTTTTGGCATCATTGACGAGGACTATAATGATTTTTTTGTTCAGTTCAACACAACGACGACGAATGCAAAGTCGATGATAACATCAATTTTTTAATCATCATTATTATTAAAAATCGAAGATAAAAACTTGTTTTGGCAAACTTTATATTTACAATTTTGTAAATAAATATTTGTTTCACACCAATGATGATGATATTTTCCAATCGATCAATTTTGTTTGTTTTGTTTTTGTTTTTGTTTGTTTAATTGAAAATTTTGCTCCAGAAAAAAAGAAAAGAAAAGAAAAAACAATTTCATCGAAAACAAAACAAAAATAGAGAATTCGATTTCGATACAATCGATATCTGGTGTTATTATTATTGTCAAAATAATCAAAAAACTGTTTCGACATGTTCGTCATCAATATGTTTAAATAGTTTTATGGCCATTAAAAACTGAGATTTTTCTTTTTTGAAATTCTTTTTAAATACGTTTTATTTTTGAGAAAAAATGGACGAAAGAAAAGCTCGATACATCCTAACAAATCTAGATGAATTGGCCGATAATCTTAAGCTAACTGAAGAATTTTGGCAACGTTTTGAACGAGAAAAAATTTTTCCAACAACCTATATCGAACATATGAAAGTTTGTTTTGAATAATTTTTCCCCTTTGAAAAAACTCAATGTTTTTAATATCTGTTGTTTTTGGTTTATATAGAATAACAAAGAATTGGATACGAAAATTTTGAAAAAAAATTTATTAATCGATATAACCAAACGTTCATCACCATCATCATATGAAAAATTATCAAAAATTTTTAAAGATTTATTCTCAAATAATCGTCTGGATGATTGGTATAAAAGCCATTGTAAGTCCATTATTGATCATCATTTTTTCAAAAAAACCAAACACTAATTCCATTTCCATAGATTCAAATCAACGACCTGGTTATTGTTTAATAATAAATAATCAAAATTTTGAAAAAAGTGATAATCGTATTGGCTCGGAAAAAGATGTTCGAAAACTTTCCGAAATATTCGAATGTTTAAATTTTCATGTTGTGGAACGTTCGAATCTGACTCGATCTCAAATGTTAACCCTGATGTCTGATTTGAATGATGATAAAACTCTTAATGATTATGACATTTTCCTCCTAATAATCATGTCACATGGTGATTCAAAACAAATTATTACGGTGGATGAAAAACGTTTAAATTATGATAAAATTGAATATAATTTTAGTCATGAAAAATGTCCACAATTGAAAAATAAACCAAAAATTATTATTTTTAATTGTTGTCGTAAAACGACAACAACATCGAATGATGACGACGACGATGATGAAGATTTGAAAGAACGAAATTTTGAACGACAAGAATCAATCGATGGTGGTGGTGGTACAATCAAAGATATGATTGTCGTCTATTCAACGCTTAAATGTGAGTTTTCGATCTGATTTTTTTCCATTTCTAAATCGATTTTTTTTTTTGAAAATCCAAAGATTATCTATCGGTACGTGATGAAGAACAAGGAACATTTTTTGTTGATTGTTTAGTGAAATCATTACAAGAATATAAAGAATCAAATTTGGATAAAATTATTGAAAAAGCAACCGATTTATTAAATGAAAAAGTTACGGATATATCGAATCAAATTGAACGACGACAAGCGATTGAAATATCGAAAAGAGGTGTTGATAAAGCTGTTTATTTTCGTATTTCACCAAAAGAAAAAATTTAATTTTTTTTTTCAAAACTTTTTTTGACAAACAAGACAACCATGTAATTCTTTTACTTCCCAAATCAATGTTACCCAAGAGATACTTGTTCAGACACGCACCTTAATTTAAAATTTAAATTAATTTTGTCAAAAAAACCTTTGATCTTGAAATTCATTCGATTTTTGTGTTTGATTATCACCAAAACTCGACATGATGATGGCCAAAATCATCGCAATCTTCTTGATTATTTTATTCGAAAATCTTTTCGAAAGTCAACAACAACAACAACAAACAAGAAAAATATGGCTCGCTGATTCAATTGATTTTCCATTTATGATTGCGTTGAAATTTCGTTCATTGGAAAATCAAAATAAAAGTTTTGTTCAGGAACCATTTTGTACTGGTTCATTGTTGAATCATCAATGGATAATGACAGCTGCAACTTGTGCATCAAAAATTGATTCCAATGATTCGAATAACCAACAACAACAATCATCGGATTTAAAACCAGCCCAAGCTATAATCGGCTCATATCGTAATATATCATTTGTACGATTAACATCGATCGATATCGATAAGGTAATCGTTCATCCATCATATGATTCACGTACAATGGTAAATAATATTGGTTTATTACATTTGAAAAATTTGGCCAATGTTCGTAAAGATCAAGATTTTCGTTATGAATGGGATGATCAAATGACTGTTGAACAATTATACGATACAATCCTAATGACAAGATTAAAATTAATGTTTACATACTTGATGAATGGTAAAGAAATCCCAAATGATCAATGTAAACAAATTTATCATAAATTAAATGTAAATTTACCGGATAATAGTTTATGTTATCAGGCAAAAGATCCAATTCGATTTCATTCGAATTTAGCTGGTGGACCATTAGTCTACGTGAATCGTCAACGAATACCAATACCATTGGGCGTTTTATCATTTGGTTTGCAAACACCAGATCCAATGGTTTATACTGCTATTAAACCATATTATGATTGGATTCTTACACAAATTAATTAATTTTGATTTTGATTTTGGAAATTTTCAAAATATTTTCAAAATAAAATATTGATTTATTTATACGTTGATGGTTATACATTTTTTTGCGAAGTACTTTTTTCCTATAAATTATTATTCCACAAAAAAAATGTGATGAGTTTTTCTTTCTTTTTCGTTCGATCGAATCGAATCGACTTCGTGTATTGAAAATTTTTGTTTCGTTTCGAAAAATTGTTCTTTTTTAATCAAATTCTGCCAACGAAACAAAATTCATTTGATAAATTCTGTTTTGTTTTTCCTCCAAACAAAAAAAAAATTGATTTTAATTAAAATAAAGATTTTCAAAACTTAATTTCGAACGTGTGTTTAGTCGGCGTTTTTTGGTTTTCATTGAAAATAAATTGAAAAAAAAAACACCATCGTCATTATCGTTCTGTTTTGTTAAATATCTTTAAAAATCGATGTGAATGAGGTTGTTAAAATGTAATTCCTATTTGTAATTCTTGCTCATCATCATCATCATCATCATTCGAATCATGTAAATGTTGTTTGTTCTAACATTGGATTTATATTTCGTTTCTTTTTTTCTCTCTCCACAACAACAACAATAAACGGCAAATTCGAACAAAAATTTTTTTTCCAGCAATCGATCAATCAGTGATCGATAACAATCACTAATCAATCAATAATGTATCGATTATTTGTAATTAAATTTTTTATTTTAATCTTTATTTGTCAATTAAATAATTGCCGTATACATCATTTAAAATTACATGTAAGTTTTTTTTGAAATCGAACCAAATCATGGTGATAAAATCACTTTTGCTTTTTTAAATCTTCCTAGAATGATATACGAAGATATTTTCCAATATCAACATTTGGTTATTATACAGGTGGCCAATTGGAAGTTACTATTAATAGTTTTCGTTATCATCCAAATGATTTGGATGAAACGGCTATTTCGGTATGAAATTAATATTTGATTTAACATTTTCAAATTCTGAATTTTTTTTTGTCAAAAAAAGGGAAAATTTGGTTTTTCATTAACACGTACCATGAGTAATAATATATCACCTTATATTGTAAGTTTTCCCTTAATTTTTTCCTTGAAATTTGATTTTCATGAAATCCAAACACAGGATGGCCAATATAGTCAATTAAGCTGTACGCTTAATCAAGATATGGATTATTTTCAAAACGACATAGGTGTTATTATGATGAAATTTGATATTAAAAATAATAGGTAATTGATTATCGATTTGATTGATTGATTTTTGATTTTGTTTTGATTTTGTTTTGATTTTTGAATTTTCACAGTGTCCTGCTACAATGTAATTCCGATCTCAATAAATTGAGTATATTTTCATCCGAACATTTGATTGCAAAACGTTCGATTGATTCGGCCAATGTAAATAATGCTGATGACAATAAATCCAAGCAGTTGACTGAAAATGTTCAACAGCCGAAAATTGAAAAGATAATGCCGTCCGATGATACAAAAATTCCCAATGTTGTCGATAATAGTGAAAATTCTGCTGCCATCATTCCTTTGGTGGACAAAGTGGATAAAAATGATAAAAATGTACCACCACTGCAACAACAACCATTACCGCATGAAATTGAATCGAAAAAAAATCTTCAAGAATCATCATCGAATGAATTATCAAAAATTGATAATTTAGATTCGTTGGCGGCTGTTGATCAACAATCAGCAATAACAACGACAACAAATCCATATCAATGTTTAACCAATTCATTTGAAATGAAACGTTTAGGTAATGTTCATGATGGTAGTTTAGAATTTAATTTCAAGGTAAAAAAGTTGATTTCATTTTTTTGTTCGCTCGATTCATTAATATCTTTTCTTCATTTTTTTCCAGTTCAAAGTTTTTATTGCTGATCCAAAATATGAAGGTTTATATTCATTACATTTTCATAATTGCCTTAATTATCCAAAATCCATTCAAGATATAAATAATCAATATGATACATCAATTGATTTGGATATAAAAATTATTGAAAATAATTTAGATAATTATTTATCGGCTGGTGAAATACCATTACCACAATTATATTTTGCATTATCCATTATATTTTTTATAATGGGTACAATATGGTTTGTATCGATACGTTCACGTTGGGAAGAAACATTTAAAATTCATTATTTAATGGGTGTATTGGTTTTTGTTAAAGCATTGTCGTTGCTTTTTCATAGTGTAAGTTTGATTGATTGACTGATTGATTTATGACATTTTTTCCCATTTTTTTTTTGTTGATGATTTAGATCAATTATCATTTTATTGCAAAAGAAGGATCACAAGTTGAAACATGGGCCGTTTTATATTATATAACACATTTTCTAAAAGGTGCATTATTATTTATCACTATTGTTTTGATTGGTACCGGTTGGGCATTTATCAAACATATTCTTAATGATAAGGATAAAAAAATTTTTATGGTTGTCATTCCATTACAGGTTTGTTATTTTGATTGATTGACTAATCTTTTCCGGATTTTTAACATGATTCATGTCATCAACAGGTAATAGCGAATATTGCTGATATAATTACCGAAGAAAGTGAAGAAGGTGCCCTAATACATACAGTTTGGCGTGAAATATTCATACTTGTTGATATGATTTGTTGTGGTGCAATACTGTTTCCAGTTATTTGGTCAATAAGACATTTGCATGAAGCATCAGCAACTGATGGAAAAGCAGCTATAAATCTAAAAAAATTACAATTATTTCGTTTTTTCTATGTAATGATTGTATTTTATATATATTTTACACGGATTATTGTCTATCTGGTCAAAATAACTGTACCATTTAATTTGGAATGGTTGGCACAATTATTTCAACATTTAGCAACATTAATATTTTTTCTATTGACTGGTTATCATTTTCAACCAATAACAACAAATCCATATTATCAATTATTACAGGATGATATTGAAATGGATGAAGAAGTGTATGTATTTTTTACTTTATTTTGAATTTTGTTTTTTAATTTTACCTTTTTTTTGTGTTCAAAAAAAAAATTTAGTTTATTCATCCAACCAAATACGTTTAGCGAAGCAAAAAAACGTAATCGTGATCTTGAATCGGGTGATTTAAAAAATTTATTAAATACAAATTCTAATACATATGATTATGATTGAGATGATAAATAATTTTGTTGCTTCTGTTCTGTTGTTTGAAACACAATGATCCTTGATAATCACAATCAACCTATTCGAATCAATTTTTGCCATTATTTTTTTTTGATTATAAATATTTTTTTTTTAAAAAAGTCACTATATCATTATTATTATCATACTAATAAAAAATCTATTTAAAAACTTTGATTTCAAAATTTTTTCAAAATAAAATTTTCAAATTTTTTTTATCAGTTTTAAAATCCACAATTTCGATTCGAATTCGAACGAATTTCGAATGTACCATCCATTCGGTACGTAACCAAACAGCAGACAGACAGACGAACAAAAACAACATCAAACAAAAAACCAAAACAACATCAAAAAAACCAGAAAAACCAACGAAAACAAAAAACCAGAATAATGTTCAAAGCCATTCTTTTAATATATAGATAAAGATAATAATCTTTATTCTGTATATATTGTGAGTTTATTTCGTGGATTCAATGTTTCATCATCATCATCATCATCACCCGATCCGACACACAAAAAAAACAAGGTTTTTCGGGCCCGAAAAATAAAAAAAAAATTCAGCGCATCGTTTATATAGATTCTTTTTCGTATATATATAGAGAAAGATATTCTCACTCAAACTCGTCTTGATCTCTATTGCTGTTTTCGGTAAACGGGACTAAAAATAAAATCGAATCAAATAGATATGGGTTCCATGAAGAATATTATTATGTTTTTGTTTCAAATGAACAAACAACAACAACGATGACAATGTTAATCAACGACAAAAATTGATTGAAAAAACAAAATTATCAATTTTTTCTTAATCGTCGTATTCGAATCATCAATTTTCTTTATTTTTCTTCGATTCGATTGCGAAAAAAATGCATCCAGATAATGATTATGTTGTTGATCGACCTGATGATGGACAACAACAACAAGAATCTATATCAACTATTCCTTTGAATTGGTTACAAACGAATCAATGGAATTTAGAACAATGTTTACAATGGAAATTATCAATTGAAAATGATTTAATAAAATTAGAAAAATTACGTTGTTCAACGAATGAATTCGATGATTCTACCGTTCAACAGATACGTTTTTTAGAGGTTTGAATATTTTGATTTTTTCACAACAGAAATTTTCATTTGTTTTTCCTCCCAAATAGAATAAACTGGTTCGAAATTTTGTCAAACTGATTCTAGCTCGAAGACATTGGTCAAAATGGAATGAATCCGTTGATGAATTACAAAATTTTTCATTAGTATCGAATTGGTTCGATGCAATCGGTTTGGATTATAAATGCAAAGAGGTTTGCTTTTTGTTCGATGAAAGCTGTTTTTCATTTTTTCACTTTACAATATTTTTCTTTCTTTTCACCACCATCACAGATACTTTTGGATCATTATGAAGATATTGAAGAATTATTAAATGCTGATGATGAAGAATTGAAAATTTTATTGATGCGTGGATTTCATTTGAAATTGGATGAATTAGATTTTGATGACGATAATCTTGATGATAATGGTTACAACCACAACGATGATGATGATGATCTTAAATATTCATATGGTCGTCTATATCGACAACAGCAGCAACAACCAAAATCGAATGGATCGATAACGGATCTCGAGGATAATGATCGTATTGATGATGATCAAGATGAAGAATCTACCATTAAACATGATTTACGAATGTATATTCGTGATTATATCCTTCGGGTTTGGAAAGCACATCATTCATTAAATCGATGTTTAGATTTAGTAAAAAATTTTAATGAATTATCATCCAACGATCTGAGCCTGTATTGGGATTCATGGAATCATTGGATTCAACGAATATCAACTATCGATAATCGAAAACAATCATTACTTTCAGCCATTGCAATGTTAAAAAAATCCAAACATTCACCAAAACCATTACCACCGTTACCGGATTTGAAGGCAAATTTTTTCCTCAGAAATTATCGTCTAAATGGACAGGATTCAAGATCAACTGGTTCAAGTCCATTATCACCACCCGTTCCACCATTATCAGCTGGAAATTTTAGTCATCGATCAACATCATCATCATCATCATCAATAATACAATCAGGATTTCATAATCTGAATTTGATTATCGATCCAAATCATATTCCTTATTCAAATTCACAACAACAGCAACAACAATCTTCAGGCAATTCTTATCTACAACATCGACGTCCTACACCACCACCAACACCTCCTGTTAATCATTATCATCAACAACAAACAAAAAAGTCTTTCATTTTACTATCGTCGGCTAATCTTTTTTCAAATGTATCATCATCATCAAATCGTAATTCGAATGATAGAAAATTTCCAACAACACCACCACCAATACGTCGTCATCAAACAAATATTTTCGGTATTGGTGAAAATTTCCCATTAACTAAAAGTAAATCACATGAAGAACATCTATCGAATCGTATTGAACAATTTGATCCAATGATAAATAGTAAATTATTGAAAAAATATAACCTGGTTCCAATACAATCCAGTGGTGGTAAATCACAAAAATCTTTCAGTAATCAATTTCAACAACAACATCATTATCCTCAACAAAATCATTCAAATTATCAACAACATTATCATCATCAAACATCGAATAATAAACATAATTCATTGGATAATTTACCACCAATGCCATCAACGATAACGACAGCGTCAACGACAAACAGCATTGTATCGCAATCACAGCAATCATCATTTCCACATTTACAACGTAGACGTTTAGCAACTGAACCTGGAAGTATAGGGTCGATATCACCGATACTAACATCATCAAATTGTTCATCACCATTAGCAATATCACCGGAAAATTATAACGATAACATCACCAACAACAACAATAAACAACCAACAGCTATTGATAATTGTTTTTTGGATAATTTATCCACATCGGTACCAAGATCACCAAGATCACAAGCAATGAGTCATTCAATTCATCATCGGTTTGTATCGACAATGAAAATCAATTCCATACAATGTAATGTTTGTGAAAAACAAATGTTTTTCGGTTTTAAATGTCGTGATTGTAAATATTATTGTCATCGTGATTGTCAGGATAAAGCACCGAATTCTTGTGGTTTGCCAAATGAATTGGTCGATATTTTTAAACAAACATTAAGTGAACAGGTTGGTGTCAGTGGTGGTAATAGCCATCAACAAACACGATCATCATCACCAAAAAATCATCATCAACAGCAGCAACAATCATCAATAATACCACAACGTGCAAAAAGTCAAATGTCAAATTATTATTATTGTAGTAATTCACAAATGAATCTTATCGGTGGTGGTAATGGTGGTTCATCATCATCAAATCCATCATCACCTGCAGCTGTTTTTCTTAATCATCACCATAATCATCAGCAACATAATCATCAATATCAAATATATAATAATGGTGGTCATCAATCATCATCATCAAATAATTCATCGGCAACTATATCACCAACTGTTGGTCAACAATTTCAATATTATTCAACAACAAATCAACAACAACAAAAAACACCCGGTAGTGCAAGTAATAGTTCACAATTTCAATTTCCTCCCGATATTAATATACAATCAACAATGTCTATTGATTTTGATGATTCATCATCATTAATGGTAACCGAACAATTTAATAGTCCAAATTCATTATCATTAACAAATGATTTAATGGATATTAATGATATTGTACAATCGAATAATTCAACCGCAGCAACTATTTCGACTATTCATGAAGAGGAAGAAGCTATTTTGACCGGAGGTGCTTCACGAACTTTAACAGCATCTCCAACCAATTCATTGAATAATCATCAACAAAAACAATGTTCACCACAACATAATCATCAATCATCAACATTGATTGATAGTGATAAATCAAATAATTCAGCATTGGTAACAAGTGGATCATCAGGTGATTCAATTCGTACCGTTACTGGTCGTTTAGATTCACAAGATTCATCGGATATTGATCAAAATAATAATAATAATAATAATAGTGGTAGCGGGGGTGGTGGTGATGGTAGCGGCGGCGGTGGTGGTGATCAAGATCAATGGCCAAGACAAAATTCGGTTACATCAAGGGAATGGGATATACCATATGATGAACTGATTATTGAAGAAGAAATTGGTACCGGTCGTTCCGGTGCAGTTTTTCGTGGTAAATGGCATGGTAGTGTTGCTATTAAACGTTTAAATATGGGCCAGTTGAATATGAATGAAGAAAAAGCATTCGAATCATTCAAACAAGAAGTGGCTATTTTTCGTAAAACACGCCACGATAATCTTGTATTGTTTATGGGTGCCTGTATGAAACCACCACATTTGGCTATTGTAACATCCCTTTGTAAAGGACTGACATTACATACACATATCCACATTAGACATGATAAATTCAATCTGAATCGTACAATTATGATTGCCGAACAAATATGTCTGGCAATGGGTTATCTACATGCACGTGGTATTATACATAAAGATTTAAAAACAAAAAATATTTTCTATGAAAATGGTAAAGTTATTATAACGGATTTTGGTTTGAGTTCGGTTGCAAAACTTTGTATATCAAATCGGTTAGTTTGTTTATTTTGTGTTTTTTCATTTGAAAATTTAATGTTTTTCGTTTTTAGACGCGGTGATTGGCTTACCGTACCAAAAGGATGGCTTTGTTATTTAGCACCGGAAATTATTCGTACATTAAATGTTCATTCACAAGATGGTGGTGATGATTTACCATTTTCATTCTCTACGGATATCTATGCATTTGGGTATGTGAACAAAAAAAGGGTTAATTAATTGCATCTTTTTCATTTTTTTTTCTAATAGAACCGTTTGGTTTGAATTATTATTTGGAAATTGGCCATTTTCTGGCCAACCACCTGAATGTATTATATGGCAAGTTGGTAAAGGTATTAAACAACCGATTGTTAATTTTCAAGCATCTAAAGAGATTAAGGTAAAAAGATTGATGATTTGATTTGATTTGATGGATAATTTGATTTTTGGTTTAACCCCGACAAATATTAATAGGATCTTTTATACACTTGTTGGGAATTTCATCCAGAAAGTCGACCTGATTTTTGTAAACTTTATGATTATATTGAAAAATTACCAAAAAAACGTTTACAACGTTCACCATCACATCCGGCACATTTGCAACATGCATCCGATGTACAGCAAACATTTTTCTAAAATACCAAAAAAACAAGTTCCTAAATCGAAACAAAAAAAAAACGAAATCATTTTGTCAATTTCACATCACTCATCATCATCATCATCAACATTCTGCATTCAATTTTGGCTGTGATCAATCAATTTCATTGATATTTTAACAAATTATAATCATTATGTTTGATTCATTTTTTGACCACTTTTTTTTTCTTTCTTTTGTGTGCTTTTTTTGGAAAATTAATAAAAAAAGATTCTAGTCTTGACCACCAAACTGACCGATTCAAATTACTTAATAACCCAACAATGGCTTGTTAGGGGAAATTTTTCCGGTTAAATAAAAAAAATTTTCAATTGTGCATCCCTTTTGTTTTTCGATTTTTCTTAAAAAAAAGTCCAAACATTCGTTTGGACCATACAAAAATTTGTATTTAAAGCTCCCTTAATTGTTTTGCCCCACGGTGGTCTTTAGTAAAAGGCGAAAAACCATCACGTTAAATGAGACAAAACAAGAGCAGCGACTATTCCCGAAGGAACAGCATAACTTTTGGTTAAATTAAAGGTAAATATACATAAGAATCATAATTGATGTTTCATTTCAGTTGTGATTGGAAGATTTTCATTTTATTCGGTTATTCATATTGGGATTTTTGAAATTTTTTTCAAAATTTAAATTCCATATTAATTAATAAATTAAATTTTGTATAAATTTTTAATTAAAAATTTTGTTTTATAATTTAAAAAAATCCGATTAAATAATTTTTATAAAAATTATGACCAAATAATAATGACATGATGATTCGAATGAACTAAGCTCCTCCCCTCTCCACTATCGATATTGCAATCGATTTTTTCTCCTCTTCTCTCTCTCACCTCATATATACTGCAGTGATTTCTTTCTTTTCATTCAGAATTCTTTATTAAAAACACAGAGAAAGAGAGAGAGAATCTAATTATTTTCAAATCACACAATGGATGCGGGAAAAAATCAATTAACACGATTGGAAGATGTTCTGGAAAAATATATTCCCGCTAATGAATTGATGGATGTTAAACGAATTCTGTTTGGTGCCGAAACTCCGTATGTTTGTTTAATTGTTGGGTGCACATTTAAATAATTTTTTACTGTCTTTTACCTTTAAAAAATCAATCAAATTCTTCGATCAATCAAATCGATTATTAAGAATATTGAACATTTCGGAAAAAATTTCCAATCTTGCACGTGAACGTAATTTCGAACTGCGTGGTTATCGTTTTCCATGTCCAAAAGAACAATTAAGACCTTCGCGTATTGTTCGTGTTGGTTTGATTCAAAATCAGATATGTCGTCCTACTAATGATCCTATTGTCGACCAACGACAATCATTACATAATCGTATTGCAGAAATATTAAATGTAGCAATGATGTGTGGTGTAAATGTTTGTTGTTTTCAAGAATGTTGGAGTATGTTTTTTCAATTTGTTTGATGATTATGTTTCAAATTAATCTTTATCTTTTCATTAGCCATGCCATTTGCATTCTGTACTCGTGAACGAAAACCATGGTGTGAATTTGCTGAAAATGCTGAAAATGGTCCGACTACAAAATTTTTGAAAAATGTTTGTTTACAATGGAAATTTTCAATGAATCAATCAAACTAATTATTATTTTTCCCCTTGAACATATATAGTTGGCAGCCAAATACAATATGGTAATTGTATCACCAATATTAGAACGTGAACAGAATTCAGATATCATATGGAATACAGCGGTTATTATTTCAAATCATGGACAGGTTTTGGGTAAAACCCGAAAAAATCATATACCACGTGTTGGTGATTTTAATGAATCAACTTATTATATGGAATCAACATTGGGACATCCAGTTTTTGAAACTGATTTCGGTAATATTGCCGTAAATATTTGCTACGGTAGACATCATCCACAAAATTGGATGGCATACGGTGTGAATGGAGCGGAATTAGTATTCAATCCATCGGCTACTGTTGGTGAACTGTCCGAACCATTATGGTCGATTGAAGCACGTAATGCTGCTATTGCAAATTCATATTATACATTTGCTATCAATCGTATTGGGACCGAAGTTTTTCCCAATGAATTTACATCGGGTGATGGACAAAAAGCACATCGTGATTTTGGACATTTTTATGGATCAAGTTATGCATCAGCACCAAATGGTTCACGTACACCTGGTTTATCCAGAATTAATGATGGTCTATTGGTTGTTGAATTAGATCTTAATCTTTGCCGCCAGGTTAAAGATCATTGGGGATTTAGAGTAAGTTTTCGAATCAGAAAAAATCAACCGAAAATTTTATTAATTTCTTTTTCTTCTTCTTCTAGATGACACAACGTTTAGATATTTATGGAAAATTATTTACTGAAGCATCCAAACCAAATTTTGAACCACAGCTTATACGAAATCCAAACATTCAACACCAACAACAACAACAACAACAGGAACCAATGAAAAATTTGGATAAAAAGACCAATAGATTGTGATCAATGGATTGTTTTTCTGTTTTGCTTGTTTTTTGTTTATTATTTTGATTATTATAAGATTTAAAAGATTAGTTGATTAAAAGAGATAATTTGTTGTTGTTTTGTTTTTCAAAAAAAAGAAGAGATACCTATGTTTTTTCGGTTAATAATTTCCACCTTGTTCCGAATCATCATCATCATCAGTATTCATTTGTTTTTGTTTTTCTAATTCTTCTTTTAATTCTTTTGCACTACACAATGGTGTATCAACATCGAATGTATTATTAAATTTTGAATAATCAACTAAATATTCTCCAGTATCATGACGATAACGAATTAATTGTTCAAAACGATGTCCCCATAATATTTCTGATGGTAGATATGATGTACGTGCTTGTACTAAAAATTTGAATTAATGATGGGGGTGGAAATATAAATTTAAAAAATTAAAAATCAAACACCAAAGAAAGAAACTTACTTGATTGTCCAGTAGATTCAACAGTTCCTTCTAGGATGGCAATTATCTCGAATTTCTCTCTGGTCATATCATCAACATTCATCTTGATTTGGAAAGAAAAGAAGGATTAAGGAAGGAAATCGAATCAATTTTTGGTTTTTAAAAAATATCATCCTTACCTTATAGAATGGACTATTTTCATCGATAACATGTACAATAATAGCAGGCCATATTAGAAAAACTTCATCATCAATTTCATCAAATTTTACTGATAATTTTTGATGAAAATATGGTATAATTTCACCTTCATTGGTCATTTTTTTACGTATTAATTGTGCAGAAATTTTCGTACCAATAATATGTGAACGATCTCTTAGATCACCAACACGAAACATCAAACACATTTGTCCATCACGTGTATTAACAATAGCATAACGGCTAAACATTAATGTTTGTGAACGTTTTTGTGGCCGTGAAAGTTTAGCGAAAATAAAACCAACCATAAAACATTGTATCATAACACCGGTAATTGATTGTAACATCATTAAAAATAATGCTTCAGGACATTCTTCCGTAGTATATCTTGAACCATAACCAATTGTATGTTGTGTTTCAATTGAAAATAATAATGCACTGGGAAAATTTTTCAGATTTGCAACACATGGTGTCCATTGTTCATCATGTAAATGTTCAAAATCGGAATGTGAAAATGCAATCAACCACCAAATGATTGAAAAACCAAACCAACTAATTAGGAAACCCATAGCAAAAACTAGTAGATTCCAACGCCAACGAATATCAACCATTGTTGTAAATGTATCTTGTAAATATCTTTGACTACGTTTATCAACATGTTCCGGGCAAAGATTAATATTACCATTTTTTAATATAACACGTTTACGTATTCTACCGGGGAAAAATTTACTTTCACGTCGTGCACCTAAATTTGGTATTCGTAATAATGATGTACTTTCTTTTGCTAAACGTGATTTTCTATCTTCTTCTTCTTGCATTAATAATTCTCTTGCTTCAATCGGTAGAATTGCCATTGCTTCATTATCACTTGCATTATTATTATCCAGATAATTATTATTAATTTCGGGTATTGTTTGATCGGATATATCCGATTCCGAATGATATGCCATTTGTAAATGTGAAAGATTTGTTGATTTATAACGCATACCTTGCCGGATATCATAACGTGATTTTTGATCAACCGTTCGATCGGCTATTGGAACAATAGTAGCCGTTTCGGGTGTAAATTTTATCAATGTACTTTGATGATGTTTAGGTGTTGATATTGTTTTCGAATGTTGTTGTTGTTGCGAACCAAAGGATAATGTTCTCATTGATTTTGAATTGGCATATTTTGGATGCTCAAAACGAATGGAACGTACCGTTGAATATGGTGAATATTTTATTTCATTTGCAACAGATTTATGTCGACTTATTGATGATAATAATGGTGGTGGTCGTCCATGTTGATTTGATGGTAATGCAGCAATCGATTTTGCTGCTGTTAAATCTTTTTTTGATGTTGAATCTTTTGATGTTTGTTGTTGTTGTTGTTGTTGATGATCCATTTTGGATGTTTGATCAATTTTCGGTTGAATTGGTTTAGCATTACCATGTTGATGATTACCAATTTTAACATTCGGTGGTAAACTTAAATAATATAAATCAGGATCACTAAGACTTATTGTTCGGTTACTTAATTCACTATTACTGCTACTAGTATCGTTTGAAATTGGTTTCGGACTTGATGTTGGATTGATCGATGAATCAATTTTTGATTTGTTTTGATCACCGATCGATTTTGTTTCCGGAACAATTTTCGAATCATTTGTTTTGGATTCGGTGATGGGCGAATCAGAAATCGATTGTGAATACGATTGTTGTTCGATTTTTGTTGGCGATGATGGTGATGGTAAATTCATCATTATTTTTCGTTTTTCCGGCGGTGGTGATGGATTAAAATCCAATTCAATTGCTATCGATGATGGTTTAGATTTTTTCACGGCTGCTGTTTCTTTTTCAGCTTCAGTTGATGATTGTTTTGGAAGATTATTTTGTTGAAATTTTATTGGTGATTTCGGTGACAATGGTGATGTTTCATCAATACCAGGTAACATTGATAAATCAGTTTTTGTTATCGGTGTTAATTCGGATGGACTTTCCGAAATCTGTGTCATTGGTGGTAGGGTATCAAATTCAGTTGATACTGTTCGTATTGGTGGTGCATTTATTTCCGATATAATTTTTAATTTTTTATCATTCGAATGATTGATTACTGCTTCAGCTGCTGAACTACCAGGTTGCAGTGATGCTGAACGTTTTTGTTTTGTTGGTATTGATTGCTGTTGTTCATTTATGATGGTTGGTTTATCAACAGGCATTTTTAATAATAGAATTTTTTTTCTTCAAAGGGAAGAATTTTTCGTTTGAGATTCACTCGAGAAAAAAAACCGATTAAATTGAATGAATGAAAAGTGTTGAAATCAATCTTTTAACACTTGTTCATCAACAAAAAAAAAAGACAAGACAAAAAAAAGGATTCTATTTAACACACCGGCCAAATTGAAGAAAATGAAATTATCATTTAGTTTCTCTTTTTCTATATCTCTCATTCATTACACACAGATATCGAAGGACAAACCATAATGGATTATTATTATTATATGGATTGCCATTTGTTTTGTCTTTTTCGAATCGATGAAATGCTTGATCACGAAATCATCAACAAAAAATTAATTTAATTTCAATGTTTTTTTTGAACAAAGCAAAAAAAAATCGGAATAAGCAAGTACATTTCAACAACAAATGATAATGGATTTTTGTTTTTTTACTCATTCATAAAAAATGATGATTATTTTGATGATTATCAATTACCCGACCGAAATCGGGTATGGTAGAATAATTCATCATCATTATCATCAACCAAAAATAAAAATAAAAAAAACCAAACAAACCAAACAAGGTTGAAACACCAAAAAAAAAAACGATAAAAAATGAAAGTCAGCATCCAATGAATAAATGAAATGTAAAGAAATTTTTTTAAAAAAGTTTTTATTGAATTTTTTTTGTCAGAAAATTTGTTTCACTTTTCAAAATTTAAAATTTCATTTTATGTGGATACATACGATTACGTAATTGAAAATATGAACCCAAATAAGACATTAACAATTTCTTTTCTGAATGTTTACGAATAACCGACAACAGTTGTTTATCTAAAACTTTTTGATCAGTTTTACGTTGTTCATCTGGTTTCCATTGTTGTTTTTCCTGTGCAAATACATTTTCACCACCACCACCAGCAGCCGATTTCTTTTCTTTTTGTTGTCGTTTTACTTTAAAATATCGATCATTAATATGTTCAGGTACTTGAACAGTGGATAAATCCAATTTTGTCGATGTAACAATAACAAATTTTTGATGCATACGACGTAATGGACATTTGTTTATCGTAAATGGCCCATTAACCAATAATAAACCCGAAGCAAGTTGTTTAAGAAAAACAACACGTTTACCACGATGACGACCAGCCAATACGATTAAAACACGGCCTGGTTCCAAACCTTTTTTTTTGAATTAGAAAATTTGAGTTTAGTGAAAATGCTGAAACATTCAATTTTTTTCAAACAAAATTTACCTGGTTTCAATGATCGTTTATGCGATTTGAATGTAACATGTCCGGAACGACGTTTTTTGAATACAGGTTCAGTTGGATAATAACGGCTGGTACGTTTTTGCAAAACACGTCGTTCACCACCATTTTTTTCGCCACCAATTTTCTTGACAACAAATTTCGGACGTTTTTGAATTACTTTATCGGCAGAAATTTTTTTCTTAGCAGCAGTTCGTTTCAATTTCGACCATAAATGTCGAGTAGTACGATGCGATACTAATTTCTGGGCATTTCGTGACATTTTCATTTGTTTGCTACCAGCACCTGCTGCAGCAGCTTTGGCTGGTGATGCTTTTGGTTTTGGTGGTGCCTAGAATATTCAGAATTTAAATTTTTATTGGAAACGAAAAACAAAACCACAAAAATATTTACCATTTTTCGAGAAAAAATTAATCACAAAACTCAAAACAAAAAAAAAAGTTTGATTCAAAACACACACACGGCAATACAAAAGGAAAAGGAACAGAAGTATCAATTCGAAAGCACACACGTGCACACAGCGAGAGAAAAAAAATGTGCGTAACGTTCTTTTTGAACTTGCCGTTTTGGAATTTCGGGATAGGGAAAAATCAACAGATGGCGCTGACTTTAAAGTTTTCAAAAGCAACAGCGATTTGTTTTTGCAAAAAAATTATTCGAATTTTCGAATTTTCCAGGGTAAACGTACTATTTTTGCAGTTTGCGGCCTAAGTTTTGTTTCTATATCCTGAGGCATTTCGTAGTATTGAGCACGCTGTTGTCCACGTTGACTTTTTTTTTCATCGTTTATTCAACAAATGATCCTTATCTTTTTTCAAAAAAACATTGTTAATAAATTATAATTGTTTATCGTCCATTCTCAAAATGAAAAGATACAAAACACATTCATCTACCAGACGGGATATCAATGATCCAGATTATATCAAAATGATAGAAGACCTAACAAGAAGTGAGCAACGAATCAAGGAATTCAATTCTGGGTTGTTGTTGAAGTGTTTTTTATGCACTAAATATAATGTTTTAAAAGGTAAAACATTTTATAGCAACAAGAAGGAATTTAACTATCATTTAAAAACATATCATGCCGACTATTTATCGTAAGTTTATTGGCAAATTCTTTTTTGATTCTTTTTATATTAATGAATTGTTCAATTTGATAGCTCGTTTGGTTTTAAAAAATTATCAAAAGTTGTGAAAAATTCATGAACCACAACCAACAACATTTCGGTCAGCGAAGAATTAGAAATAATTCCAACACTAACAACGACGATCGCTCCTGTTGATGAAGATAAGGTAGAAACAATTAATGATGATGATATTACAGCAACCATAGGCCAAAATCAATTATTTTTCTCTTTATACGTTACACTGGAAAATTCGAAAATCTTTTTTCGAATTTCGAAACTTTAAAAACCTATAAAAACCTAATGTTTTAACTTGTTTTATTCAAAATCAAACTTTTATTAAAGTTGGAAACATTCCTAATAGGTTATGGGCCTAAAAAAAAGCTTCCGAATTCAAAACTCTTTGCTGTAACATCTTGATGTTTTCGATTGTGAATACCTCCGATCAAAGTATACTTGAAAACATTAGCAAGGATGGTGGGGCAAAAATCAAGATCAAGCTTTTTTTCGCCGATTTTGTGAGAAGATCAGCCAAGTGACTATGACATCAAAGCCACTGTCGGAAAAGAGGTGGTTCTCCTACAACATGTTATTATTTTACAGTAAAAAAAATGATGATAATTTTATTAAAAAATTTAATTATAAAAAAAATTACCAAAAACATTCAATTTTCGATTGATTTTCGAACTTTTGTAGTCATTCCAGGTGTAAATTCAATTGTTTCATATTCATCACGACCATGATCATTATTTAGATTTTTAGCCATTTTTAAATGATGTTGATTTCTTGGTGTCATTCGACGATTCAACGATTTATTTGATGAAATCTGTTGATCATCATCCAATTTCAATGTGGATGTTTCACTGCAACAAATTGATTGATCCGAATCATTATTTGTTGATGATGGCATCCAACGATTATAAATAGCTAAAGCACGTGCTGCTATTGGATTATCACATTTAGCTAAATCAATTTTTGTTGATTTTTTCTTTGCAGATTTCCTAGCGGAAGAATTATTCGATTGTTGTTGTTGTTGTTGTTGCTGTTGTTGTTTTTTTGCAGCTTGTTTTCGAACGGTCGAAAGAAGATTAAAACTACCATCATCATCGGTAGAACTATTGAAATGATTTTCAATATTATTCGGTGTTGATGTAATTTTATCATAAAAATTATTCTTATTATTTGATTTAGGTGTATCATATAAATCCAATCGTTTTTGTGATGATAATTTGGCTATTTCGACTTTACCATCATTATCGTTGTTTAAATTTTCATTCGATTGATTCGTTGTTAATTCGAATGTTGTTTCATCATCAATAATATCACAACACGAAGTATCTTTTGGTCGAAATGGTTGATAATTTTTTGATAATCGATGATTTTCTTCTTCAAATCCCAATAAACGTTCACGTAGATTTAATAGTTTGGTTTCGAATGCGTCCAAAGGATTATTATTTTCATTTAAGATTTTTGAATGAAATTCTTGAACTTTTTCCTGAGTTGAAAAAACGATTAAATTTTGTCAATTGAAAATGAAAGAAAAACTTACCAGAATTTGATCAGCATCATCGATGGTTTTGGATTGAAATTTTGTTAAATTTTGATTCAAACGACCATTAATCTTATCCGTAATTTCTTTGGTTATTGTTTCAAGATTTTCGATTTCATCTTTCAATTTTCCAATACCAATTCGTAATTTTTTAAAAAATGATAAACATTCTTCTTCATCACCATTAATATTGTTGCTGTCGTCAATCGAATGATGATTATTCATTTTGTTTTTTTTTGTGAAAAAATCGAAAATCAAAAAACAAAAAAAATTATGCGCGCAAATTAAATCAACAAACTCAGCCAAAAATTGACAAGCAAGCAAGCAAGCGTAAAAAAAAATTCAACGAACATTTCGAAATCGCAAATATCGACCTGAAGATGGCAGCACTGGTTTCAGGATAAAGATTTTCAAAAAATTAAAAAAAAAATTGAATTTTTTTTTCAATTGAAAATCAACCTAAATGGTAATCATTTTGTTCAATTTGTTCGTCTGTCTCCCAGTTAATCAATTCAACAACAAAATTAATTAATTCTGGTTTGTACCTGATTCAATGAAAGTGAGAGACATTATCATCAAGTGATTTTCATCTTATTTCCCGTGTTTGTTTGCTTGTTTGATTTAATCTGCGGATTTTCAAACATCCAAATTTTGCAAATTCATTATGATTTGAAGCAATTTCCGAACAAAAATTGAAAATTTCAAAAAAAAAAAACATTTTTTTTTTAAATATTCTTTACGCGCATGCGATCTATTTGCATGACAACAAACAAAACGAAACGAAATTCGTAAACGTTGACAAACTGCAACACTCCCTCCTCTCTAAAATTTGTTCCAAATTTTTTTTTTTGCTTGCTACTATCACTTTTACCACTGCTACCACTAAGATTCGAAGTAAAAGATTCGAGCGCCAAAAAAAATAAAATAAAAAAAATTTCAATTCTGTAATCCAAAATCTACAGTTTTTTCCAGAGAAAATTTTGTTTTTTCGAAGAATTTTTCTCGTAAATTTATGGATTAAGGCAAGAATTCTATGGAATCGGAATTTATTTTTTTATCAATTCCAAGATTAATTTTCCAATGAATCCAATTTTGTTTGATCATTTCATTTCTGAATTGATCCAAAGTAGTAGTAGCAGTAGTAGAGGAAGTGGTCTTGCAAACAAGTGGATCGTTTTTTTTTGGAAATGGATTCAAAGGGAAGCTTTCTCTCTGTCAGGATATGATGCTTTGGATCTTCCTTTTCCCGCTATGCTTCTACCACAAAGATGTTGTATGTTTGTTTGTTTATTATCATTTTCGTTCGATTCATATTTTTTTTTCTCTCTTGCTTATTTCGTAATGTTATTGAGTTTTTCGTTTCGTTTTTTGTTTATTTTGATTCAATTTTTGTTGATGGTGATAATGTTGTTGTTGTTTTGATGATTATAAATGAAAATATAGTACGATTTAGTTGTACGATTGTAGATGATCGTTCAACAACAACAACAACAACGACGATAACAACGATGAAATGAAGATTTCTTTCAACAAAAAAAAATTGATCTACATTAATTTTGGTGAAAAAATTTTGGATTTTTGAAAAAGAATCAACCTTGTCATCATCATCACCATTGAATGTAAGTAAAATCGATACTGAAAAAAAATTCAAAATAATAAAAAATCTTGTAAAATGGATCGACATTTTTTTGAAAAACAAAACAAAATCAATTGTCACTATTATGATTTTCATTAGATTTTTTTTTGTTTTTGAATTTTCGCTTTTGCTCAGCGTTTTTTTCTTTATCCTCCCTCCCCTCCACCAAAAAAAAGAAAAAACGGAAATCCAATATATCATTCTATTAGATAATTTTTCCAATAATCAAATTTTTGTTCGTTGTTATTATTGTTTCCTGTTTGATTTTTAGCTTGTTTTTTTTTTTTTTTTTTTTGATTTTGAAATTCAAAATGTTGTTTCGATCTTAATTAAACTTTCCAACAGAAAGAAATTACCTAATAATCGAATGTTTTTTTGTTTTGTTTTGTTTTTTCTCATTCAAATTCATTTACCTTTTGTTTTTCATTCAGCAAAAAAAAAAAAAACAAAAAACACCTTTTCTTCACCTTTCTCAGCACAGAAAAACAAAACAAAAAACAAGGGAAAGTGTACGAGCTTCATCGTGTTTCTTATCAAACATCATCAACATCGTTTGGCCAAAAGAAAATGAAAATCGATTTAAGCCAATTCAACGTTTTCTCTTTCCTGTTCTTTTTTTCTCTCTCACTTTCAACTTCTCAAATCAAATCAGCAAACAAACAAAATAATCATCATTGAATGATCGTTGTTTGTTATGTTATGTTTGTGTTACGTTGAAAACACATCTTGTCCCGTTATTTTTTCTCATGTAACTTGTTGTTGTTGTTGTGAATCAAATTTTTCTTTCCTTCTGTTTGTTGTTGTTTATAACTGTGTGAAACAACAACTGAAAACAACAAAATCCATATCACATTTTGGCATTTTAGTAATAAAAAAAAATTATGGAGAAAAAAACTGTACTGTGCACGTATCTTAACATCGAACAAACACAAAAGTCAAAGAAAAGTGATAGATTTTTTCTCTCTCTCTCTCTCTCTCTCTCTCTCTCTCTGTTCGTATGAATGAAATGATTTTATCAAGGTAAAATATCATTTTTTTTTCTTTTCATTTGCCATTTGCTTCAACGAAAATGAAAAAAGGGCCACATCGTCATCAATTATCATCATCATTATTATCATTATCATTAGAAAATCTTTGATCCTAAAATGATTCTCTCTCTGTTTCTGTATTTTTTGCCATCATCTCTTCGGTCGCCACTCCTTCAATGATTATTTGTTTTTTTCTGTGTTTTTGGGAGAAAAAAAATTAGCCTTGTTTCAAACAAACAAACAAACAAAATTCCTATAATGATATGATCTAATCATGAATTTTATTCATTGAGAATTTCATCGTTTCGTTTCCCCTTTCGTTTAGTGTTCATCATTCAATTGATCAAATCAATCAGTCATTCTCAAAACAAAAAAATTCTCACATTTTTACAGTCAATTTCTCGTTGTTGGAATATTCCCTCCATTCATTTGTTGCACATCCAGTCAAAACTAAACACACACACACACTGATTGATTATTTCAACCCTTTTTTCTGTTTGTTTGTTTCCCTTATTCAAGATTTGGTCCATCATCAAATGTGTGCCACACACACATCAAGGCAGCTCCCTTTTTTTATCTAAATTACGAAAAAAAATTAACGAACAAAATTGACAACAGCAACATAAAATGACAAAAACATTTGTGATTCCAAAAAAAACGTGTTTGTGATTTCTTTTTTTCTTCATAAAATAATAATAACCTGAATATACGAATCAATCTTATTATCATCTTATTGAAATTTTGCCTTTTAAAAAAATTTTCAACTAAACACGCAATCCACCCAAAAAAAATATTATCATTATTATCATTGGTCAACCCTTTGTTGTGTTTAAAGTGTGAAACTAAATTCAATTCAAATTGATTGTGTGATATTTCTAAACAACAACAAAAATCAATTTTAATCATTTTTTAAATGTTGCATTTAAAAAATGATAAAAGATCTTTGAAACTAATTATGCAATATCTTTCTACTAAGAAACACTATGGCATTTCATCCATTATGATGATCATTTAATGTGAGTAAGAAAATATTTTATATTCTCTTTTTTGGTTTTGTTTCAATTGTCAAATCCTTTTACCTGTTTGTGAGAGTAAACAATGATAGTTTTTCTTTACCGTTAATTTCATTCAGATAAACTTTTTGCTACCTATACTACTTTAACACCTATGTTTTGCATTTGTGTAAATAGTTAGGGAAAAAAATGAACAGCGAGGGGAAGAGAAATGACAAAATTCCACATTGATATCCAGATATTTTTAGCTAATTTCATTTCATTTTTTTTTATTTATTTAACATTGAATGACGCATTAAGAATTGAACGGTTTTTTGTTTTCTGTTGATAAATTGGTGTGATATGATGAAAAAAAAACTTTGTTGGGGAGAGAGACAAGGGGAAAAGATTGAAAAAATGAATGGATTCCATTTTGGATATTTTTTTTCAATGATTGATTGAGATAAATATGAATGAACAATATAAAAAATTGTATCCATTTTTGGGTTGTTTCAAGTTTAAATTGATTATCAATGATGATGATGATGATAAACAAACATTCGATTGGATTTATTGATGTCGTTGTTTATCATTATCATTACCATCCATTGGTATGTAATGATGTCATTTTTTTCTTCTTTTCATATCACATCATCATGTTTTTTCTTTGAACAACAATGTAATGTTTAATGAATAAATAAATAGTTTTTCTATTCATTCAAGAAATTTTAAAAATCAGATCATTTTGCATGATGATGATTATGATCATATCATTGATTTTGTATCAATTTGATTGAGTGTTTTTTTCCAAAGTAGAGAAAAAAAATCAAACAGGTGTCCAAAATACAAAATTGATGAACTTTGAAACGAAAAAATCCCATTTTTTGTTTGTTTCTCTCCCCATACTGAATTTGTTCATCATCATCAGCATTGTTTTTGTGTAATGATGATGTGATATGTGTTTGTTTGAACGAAACCGTTATTCTGTTATTTTTTTTTGTTGAAATGTTTCTATTTTTAAAAAAAGAAGAATATTCTTCACTCCCGCATTTTGTATACAACTAAAAACTTTTTGTCTTTCAATACATAACACAAACCAAAAGTAGGTAAGTCATATTGATTGATAATAATGATGAATTTTTTTTTCTAATTTTTATGTAAGAAATCAACCATAATTCTTGAAAAAAAGTGTAATGTTTGTTTATTTTGATCCTGGATCTTTTCTTCTTTGAATTTTTATCTTGTTTCTTTTTCTGGAATTTTTTTTCTAAATGATCATGTGTTTTTCTAAAAGTCTTTTGCCAAAAGAATTATCAAAAAAAAAAAATTCCAGTTTTTTCTTTGATTACAATGCTTGTACAAAAGATGGAGCCATTTGAATGAATATTTTTTCATCGTAGAATTTTCTCGTGATCAACTTGACATATCGGTTTAGTTTAGTTTTTATTACCATGATATTCATTAAGAAGAAAATTCATGAAATTCTAAATATTCTTTATTATTTGCAATATAGCAGGAAATAATGATAAAAATGTTGATGAACGCATGCGTGATTTTTTTTTGTTTTTTGTTTTGAAAACAAAATGAACCTATATTTTTTTTTTGGAAAATACTAAACACATTTGCATACCACTACTATTGTACTATCTTTTATGAATGATGATCAAAGAAAAAAAAATGACCGTCAATAATTATTTTTTCCGGTAAAAAAATTAAAATTTGTAAAAAAGTTTTTTAATTTTTTCAACTTGTAAATTTTTATTAACATTATCTAACCTTATTAATGTTGATATTTGTGATCATCAAAATAGTAATAATAATTAGTTCACAATTTTTAAATTATAATCAACATTGAGAAGAGAGAGAGAGAGAGAGAGAGAGAGAGAGAGAGAGAGAGCTGATTGATTAT